CTACGCAGATAGGCAGACATATACCGGACATCGGGTTTGATGCAGAAATGCATCGTGATAAATCCGACTTGGGCTGTATGATTTCGAATAGCCTCATGAGCCAATTTGTCAGTATTTCTTTGATTCGCTGAGATGCTGTTGGAGGTGGACATCGCTTGCGGAGTTTATTATAAATCCTGAATCCTGGGTTGAAGATCGTCCTTCGATTGCACGGGCCGTACGATTCCAAATAAGACAGTTTCAAGTGTATTAGTGAAGGGTCTCTGGGTGAAGTACAGTAGGTGCAGTAGTGGCCAACCTGTAGCGTTGTGGACGCTGTATTGTAACTTGATTTCCCGGTAAAAAAAAAGCGTCATTCCTTCGCTGTAATGCTTCGCGTTTCGCTCAATTGGCAGACTTGATATTCATCGCACGCGTTGCTGCTTCTGGGCTCGATGGCACAAGGATTGAAGCGAAAGGATTCAGTGTACCATGGGCATCTCAAACGACCCGACCCAGTAAAACAGCGCTGAATGCGAGCGTACCTCTGGCGAGATGGGCAAGGGCAAAAGGCGGAGGTACGTACCGCAACTGCCCTGGTCTGCATTGGGGCTCAGAGGGTGATGGGTGGGAGATGAGCACCAGCCCTGTGAGGCCAGCACCATCACAAGTGAAAGTACGTACAAGTGCAAGTGCAACTTGCAAGTCAAGGTTTGCGGGGCCCGGCGCTGCGACACCCCTCTCCTTGGATTAGGTCTAGGGAAGGCACCAGGGACCTTTTTCTGGATGTGGCCGTGCCGTGCATCCTCGAGAAGAAGGGGAGGTGTGGGTGGAGTATGGATGGATAGGCAGGAGCATGGGCCTGGGCGTGTAACTCCAGCCTGGAAATGTGAAGGAGGTGTACACCACAGACTGTCCTGGGCTGTCTGCCTGCCTACGGTACCTACTGCAGATTGATCAAAGAGAAAGTGCAAGGCATGGGGCCTGGCAAGGCAAGACCAATGCTTGACTTGGGTGTCCCCTCATCATTGGATTTCACGCCCCAGTCAAGGGTCTTCCTCGTCACTCATGCTTGGGTGCTTTTCGTTATGCCTACTTTCCACAGCTTTGGGGATATTTAATATACAGCCTCTTCCCCCTCACCACCGACTTGCTCTCCATCTATCTCCAACAAGTTCTTCACCAGATTCACCTTCAAGTAATATCTTCGATCTTCTTGATCTCTTTGAGCTTTTACTTATATATACCCACCTATCACCCTCACCTCAAGCAACACATCATCCCACCTTGATCGTTGCCTCTTGATAGCTTTGGATAACAAGACAAAGAGAAGAGGAAGACATAACGGAAACAATTGAGACTCTCAACAGTGTTTTGGACAATCTAAGAGCTTCGTCGTTAACAACTCGACGATTACTTCAACAACACCCTCTCTCACCCACACAACAAACATCACAATGTCCATGTTCATGACACAATCAACTTACGCCTACGCGGCCGCTCCCCCACCTCCCAGACAATACTCGGGAACAAGCAGTGCTTTCAGTGCTTCTGCCAACCCTGATGAGGACTGGACCAAGATCTCCGATCTTGCTGAGCGTCGCAGAATACAGAACCGCATTGCTCAGCGCAACTACCGTATGTAGACAGCAGAACTCTTCTGGAGCAGATGGACAGTACTAACATACACTTTCAGGCAAGAAGCTCAAGCGCCGCCTTGAAGACCTTGAGCGCCGTGCCGGTTCTTCTGACGATGCTGAGTCCGACAAGCAGCCCCAGAAGCCTACCAAGTCGAAGCGATCCCCTTCTGCTCCCAAGACTCAAAAATCGCAAGCCGCTCCCAGCAAGCCTGTTGCCTCGCAGGGCCAGTTCACTCCTCCCATGGAGACTGATGAGCTTTTCTTCCCCGCCACTTATGACGACCGATCTCGCTCAGACAGCCCTCCTCAGTTTACCTACTCGACTTATCCCGCTCCCGACGAGATCCTCCTCCATCCTTATGGCTCCGCGCAGCACTACCCAGCCATCACAACCGCTGATGCCTACCCCAACTACATGACAGCCTCTACAGTGCCCATGACACTCCCTTCCATGACACACTTTAGCGATGCCATCAAGCGAGAGCCCACATACTCCAGCGACGAAGGACTCGCTCCCTACATGACCTACGGCTACATGCCCCCCATGGACTTCAACTCAAGTAGCCCATACGATCAGAACCCTCATGTGAGTCACGCCAATCAAACACCCCGAAGGGTTGCCCGAGAACCACGTTGCTGATGGGGTTGTTCGCAGACTCCTCCGCTGTCGCATTCATTCGACCACTCCGCCAACTGCTCAGAGGCTGGTTACGACTACCCTACCACACCTCTGTCAATGCCAGGCTCGCCCAACATGAACTACCACCAATAGGACATTGGGCAGGCATAACGGAGAGATACAGCGACTTTGAGAATTTGTTTAGGCGTTGGGTATGGGGCCCTACGAGGCATAGCATGGCGGGTTTTGATATTTTGGACATTTTCACACTCCACACTTTTCACTTCTTGGATACAGTCAAAGGTATCTCACAGATGGTGGAAACTGTCTGCCTTCGTTTTATGTACACGGGTCGAAGCGCTCGACACTGTGGTTTTCTGTAACGGCTGCGAGATGCACAGACGATTGCTTATTTGGAACGGCGAAGGAAAAGACGACGAGTGAGGCGTTTTGGGAACGTATACATTACGCATGTACGCATTTGGATGTATGCTTGAATACGAGTGGACGGGCACTGGTGAAGGATGAAAGTAGGCAAGGAGGCAAACAAAGATGGTGGCTGTGGGGACGTTTCAACAAGACGACCTCGAGTAGACCACTTACACATGATAGTTGAGCAAATATCCAGAGCCATTTATTACACATACATACTACGCTAGATGATGAAATGTGAAAAACGTATTGTACGAATCAGAAGCTTGCTCCGTTGAATAATGATTGTGATGTGGTGAAGTGGCCAGAGGGTCCTGGACTACGGGTAGAGGAGGCTGGCTGAATAGAGTTGAAAGACCTTGATCGAGACATATACATGGCATGCTGGGAACCCAACGACTGCGGCCAAGGTCATGCAAGTAGCTCGAATGAAGTAAGGCTTTGATCATAGACTTGGTTTATCCATTGTAATTACCTCCACGGTTACACGGAGCTGAACAAGTAGAGCCTCGGGTATTTGCTATGGCATTTTGATGGCTTGAGAGGGGTTTCAGCTGCATTTACTTTCTGCACTCGGATATGCAGCCAGCTTAGCTATCTTGAGCTAAGCTGGTTGAGGCGGCATCCAGAACTCGCGCCGCCTTTATGAGAGCCTCGTTTCTACTACTTATTGGTGCCGTCCATGATATGTACTTCCCCCGCTCGTCTCGCCCTCCTTATTTGGTTATTCTGACGGCGAGTGAATGCAGTTACTTCATCCCTTCGGCGATTGCTCATAACGGTTCCTTCGCTCGTGGGATAAAGAGCAGGCAAAATGCCGAGTCCGAAGTGCGAGTCCGAGGGTTGGAGCTCAGACTAGTCCTTGAAGGATTCATTTTCTCCTACGGGATTTCACGTTCCAAGTGCCAAAGTCCTAAGGTTGGGTCCTACGGATACTGTAACTATACTTTCCTACTGCTACCACCACGTGCCAAGAGGAGGGTTGCATGGGCGGGAAAAAAGAACCGGGCGGTTTTGCGATGTGCTACGAAGTTGAGCCAGTTAAAGAAACCGTTGTATTATTGGATGCTTGTGTAGTAGGTAGCTCTGACAACGCGCGCGCGTGTGCATGTAATGTACGTGGTCTTTCCCGGCTCCTACGGACAGGCTCATGGAAAATCAGGCTGTCGCTTGAGTGTGAATACGCTATACGTCTTGTACATTACGAGATGGCGATTGTCTTCAGGGATGCCAATCCCTCGTGTTAGTGGCAAATGTATTGCTGGGGGTTGCAGTTACGGCTGTTACGGATAGCTAGAACCGTAGGAATGGCGAGAAGGAGTCGGACTCATCTCTCAGGCTCAGGAGAGGGGATAACTTAAGGGGCGTGTTGTATGTGCCGCTCAAGCCCATGCCATGCCTCTCTATTTAAGTATCAAGTAGATAAGTAGGCTGTAGAATTTGAAGGATTTTGGGTCTTGTCATTTGTAAATTGTAATGTACATACATGTAAGTGCAGACCGGCTACAGTACCACTTACCATTCCCTTCCTCGACGTTGCAGTGCACCGATTCTAGTTCTGGCCATGGCCCAAAGGCTCTGGAAATTACTCAAAAGAGAGAAGGAATAAAACCCGGTTCATCAACGCTAACCAGGAGAGATCAAACTCATCAAAGGATCTGGGTCTTGTTTCTTTTTACCTGCAGTAGTGCCAAAGACGAGGCGATAGTATTTTCCCCGATATCAAGCGCTATCTATTCGACTGTACGTATCACTCACTATCAGGGCTGCCTGACTCTCCTCTTTCTTTGTCTCGGCTCGGGTCTGGACTTGTCAGCCGCTATCTTGTTATGAACTAAAGTAGACACTTCAGGCTTAATATGCGCTGTCAACCGCGTCTGGGGCTTGGATTAACGCGCGGTGATGATGCTCTGATTATCTAGACTTCTGAGGTGTGAACTTTGTTTGCACGTCTTGGGCTACCACTCTACTACCAGCCGTTGGTTGATATGGGGACGACACGGCAGGTTGGAGCTAGTCTAGCAGATTACCTACCGGTGAAATGGACTTTGGTTGACTTTACAGAAAAAACCTCAAGATAAACTAATGAATATTCATTAAAGTATATCTTGATAAGTGGCATTCAAGTGCCATAGATATTTTGTCGATGCTGTTCTCATGAATCTGATTTTGAAGCTTTAATTGATTGCTGTACGTAAGCAGAGCAACTGCCGTCTTGGCGGTGCTACATCAAACTCTATTATGTCATACATTTCAAAGAGCTTCACACGGTAAACATCAGCGAATTGAGCTTGATCCAACTCTCAAAATCATCAATTCACTTCAAAATCATGGGAAGCAACATAAACTATCTCTTTGGTGGCACCAAGTATGTAAACAACCCTCAATTCACGACAACCAAGCTAATTTCTCTTTCAAGGCCTTGGGACAGCAGTCTCTGGACAGCTTCAGATGATCGCGTCCGCGGCGGCTCCAGCATCTCACAACTAACAGTGTCAAGCCCCACGCAGGCCGTCTTCCACGGTCATCTGGATACAAAGACGCTCGGTGGCGCAGGCTTTGCTTCGCAGCGTACAAAGGGCGATCTTGCGCTGGATCTTTCCCACACAGCGGGTCTGCAGCTCGTTCTCGGCGCGGGGAACTCGACGCAGAAATTCACGCTCAATGTCAAGGACACCATCCCTGGTAAGAGACCTGATGGCAGAGATGAGTCTGGCGTGAGCTGGGAAGTGGACTTTGAGGCGCCGAGTGAGGGTGGTGTGCTTGTCAAGCATTGGGATGAGTTCAAGGCGACGTATCGGGGCAGGGAGGTCAAGAACCCTGAGCCATTGAAGGTGGGCGACATCAAGAGAGTATCCATCATGGCGCGAAGGTAAGACTTGTCAATGCTGATGTGAGAGATTTAATGTGCTGACTGGTATGAATAGCTTCTTCGATAAGCAGGATGGAGACTTCAAGTTGGTTGTCAACTCGATTGGTGCGGTCTGCAAAGACCACGATGATAGTGACGACGAGGAGGATTTGAAGAAGCATGCTGCTGTACCTGCGCAGGCTAGCCCTCGCCCTGCGTGGAAGGCTCTGTTCTGTGGTCTTTTGTAATCAACTGATATAGATACCTCCGCATTCGGCCAGAGAGACGCCGAATGCACTGCAAATGAGCAAAAGTTTTACATTATATCATTTTATAGTTGGTGTTCTTCGAAATAGGTCCAGCGTGAAGTGATGACCTCGTAGAAATATCACCTGTCCTCCTATTTCTAAAAACCCTCGACAATCCCAGTATCGTGCGTTCCATATCGAAACCGTGAGTATGTGATATTCGGCCTTGAAAACGAGTAAAGGTCGGTCATTATTTCATGAGTCCGCGACTGCTACAACTCATCAGCTGTAGAAACCACAGAATATCGCATTTGACGGGATTCTCGCCGAGGACAATGTTCAAGAACGAAGGACTGGCAGTACTGAACGATGAGACGTTGGACGTGGTGAATTAACTTGAAGTCATATGTTCAATCACATCAGAACCGTGATACCAACCCACGGATTCGCTTCTCATCATGAAAGGGATGCCAGTTTAGTGCTAAATGAGAAGATTGAAGCTTCAGTAAGGACTGCTTATCTGGGTGTCCAACATTCTTTTGCATAGCTAAGCTGAACTAGACAAACTATTGCCCCCAACACCACTACATGCCGAAAGCCTCATCAATATACAATCACCAATCATACAACCCCTGTTTTTTGAAAACTTCAATTCTCGCAATATACATCCTTAAACCTGACAAACACCGTGTCTCTGATGCAGGACGCCCCATCCAACGCCAAAACACCCCCAAACCAGGCATGTCGAAGACTGTTATACGTCCCCTCCCAAGTCTATCCAGCGCCTCCTCAGCCTGCAGCTGGCTGGCTATCCTTATATCTGTTACATGAATCCACACTTCTCTCTAGCCATCCCTAGATCTTCCTTGAATATATTCACGCCAAGCCCATTCCAAAAACAATGTCCTCGTGATCCGGGCCCAGCTGCCGAGATCCAAGGACGAAAAGATGAGTAGCAAAAGGCCCATGTCGAGGGCGTTACTGCTCTATATTTCGAGGTATATGAAACAGAACGCAAATCCCATGACCGTCAGCGGCGATATTGAAAGAGAAGCCAGCCAGTGGCTCAGCTGGTTTGCTGGTCTTCTCTCTTCGCATCGAGTCGGAAGGGTTGCGGGTATCAACAATGCAATATGCTTTTGATCCCTTCGCTTTTCCCAGAATATCATAACTAAAATTCAACCGTCCTTCATGAATCGCCGTATCAATGCACAAGGGGTATTGTCACAACAGGGAGAGCTGGGTCTCCCAGATATTAGTGTCGCCTTCTTTACATGCCGGAACCGCCCACAGCATTAGGGTCCACGACATTATCCGATAGGTTGATGAGTAGCTGGGCAAGGCATCTCTTCGTTGCTGCGTCGTCGCGGAGGACAGAAGAAAAGGTGGCGTCGCGGAGTGGCTCGGGTAAGCACTGTCGTAAAGCCTCACGAGCTCGGGCGTTATCACTAAGACTGTTTGGCGGGTTAGATAAAATTGACCTAGCATCTGATACACATGTGAGACATACCGCAGGAAGCATCGGACGACGTGCTTGAGGAGGCGAGCCGTCTGGGACTCGACAAGCTGAGCCACCATGTTGCTCAAGACCGTTCCAACGGCATAGAACCTCTCGTAAGTGGCGCAAATGTAGTTGAGTCCATTGTCGTCAAGGAGGATCTTCTGAACAATGAAAATAGCAACGGTCTTGCTAAGCTCTGAGCCTGTCTCCATGATACGGAGGCAGAGGGGGATAATCTCTGTTGTCAGGAGAAAGTTGATGACCTCAGTAGAGTCATTCTTGACAAGTGCTCCAATGACACCGAGGCTGGTCAGGCGTAGGTATTCGAAGGGGCGAGACTTGGAGGTGGTGTTGAGAAAGGGGTAGAGAAACAGTGGAATGTGTGCTATGAAAGTGTCAGCTTCATGTGCAATTATTTTGTACCAAGGTATACACACCATTGAGGAACAGAGTCCTTGTATCATTGTGCGATGCAACGCACTGAAGTAGTGCGAGAGCATTGCAAACTCGATTCGATGCGGCAGCGGTGAGCTGAGAGGGGTTAAGAAGGGTGTAGACAGAGATGATCTCCTGAAGGAGGGAGGTCATCACACCTGGAGAACATGTTAGCTGGCTTCTTGCAGCTTGAGCCTCAACGACCTCAGACAAAGAGCAAAGCTTGGGCACCTACCAAAGGAATGCCACAGGATCAGGGCCAGCTCGGGAACCTGTTCCCTTTTCTTACTAAGCTCCAACAAAGCAGCTTCCCGAGTGTTCTCGTTGAGGAGATCGGCAATGAAGGCCATGGTGCGTCGGTTGTCCTCCGAAACGTTATTATGGTCGGCATCCTGACCGTGGCCAGCCATCTGACCCGCGCCAGCAAGACGGTTGAAATGCTGCTGCTGCTGTTGAACAGCGGCGGCGGCTGCCGCAGCAACCTGTTGTTGCTGTTGCTGGGTATGGGCATGATGCGCACCTTGCTGCTGGTGCATCCAGGCGGAATCACCACCCTGGGGATTGAATTGGTGGTGTCCGTAGACGTGCGCCGCGGGCATCATATTGGGCGTGTCTGTCCTTGCTCAAAGGGTTGTACGGTGAAGGGGCCTTTGCTATTGTGGCTCAGAATTCGAGATTCTTTTTGATGCTTAGATGATATCAATCTGGCAGGAGTATCGGTCGATTGTTCGGCGCAGTAGCTAATGATTGAATGTTTCGTTGATTCGAGGGCGCAATGCGGAGGCAGGTAGGTACACGACGCAGTTGGTTACTGGACCAACAAGGGCGAATGTTGCGGAATGACGAAATGCTGATCGGAGGAAGAGGTAGTATGCCGAGTATATACTGAGAGAGCGGGCTGTGTCGTATATTCTATTGATAGTGTTCAAGTGTCGAGATCGTGGGAGGATCAAACCCAAGGTGAGATCGTTTGGCCGGTTGGTTTGTGGTGGTGGTGCTCGCACCTGCGACTGGGGCAAGAGCGATTCGCATGCTTGCCTAGGATTGGCCAGCCTGATATATCTTATGGAGCTCAGGCTCTGGTAGACAAAACCAGCTCTGGCATCGGAACATGACGCTTGGACCAGGAGAAGGTATCCCTGTGTAGGCCAATCGCGCAAACATCTACATGGCCTTGCAAGTGCGGGGAGGTCACTCTCCCATGCCCACCTCTGAATAACCTTGGATCGTCAGCCTTGTCCTACAAGCCTCGTCAGAGTTCGATCTGTGTCCCAGACTCGAGATTTTCTGAGTAACATAGGCGAACTTTTTTACAGTGGAAAGGAAAAATGGACAGCGGATAATCTCCAATTAATTACTTCGTTTTACTTGCTATTCTCCGTCGCCCTCTGCAAGTGCTATAATAAATCATTACTACTATGTGTTTCCTGTATGATGCCCGCCCGTGCTTAAAACAACAGAAAAGCGCCCATCAAGCCCTATAAAGTTCTTATACAACCGACTACATGTCCAGTACCTCACTCGCTTGAAATGACAAATGACAGTTCGTCAGCACCCAACTGAGCGCCACATCTATGAACAACACAACCCCTTCCCAATGCTTGTTTGTTTCAACCAGCCAAACTCCACTGTTGGAAACATTTGCCCAGAAACCTTCACTTATAGCCTCAGTTCTCGAAGAATTTGATCGGCCATACTCTTGTACTGCCATGTGTTGCCTGCCATGCGCTTGAATTGGATTCCATGCAGCGATAGCAGTGGCACCTTGACGATAAAAATCTCGAATTCCAATACCATGCTTCCTCCAAGATCGCTCTGCACTTGCGTGCTCGTCTCTCCTGGAATCTGTCGAGATGGTCCCCCGTTGTTTCTGCCAGAGTTACTGTCAAACGAGGTCTCGGAGTTCGAGAAGCTGCGATCTCGATCAGAGCGCCCTGGTGTTCGCGGTGTTGTAGGAGGTCGGTCTGAGTCACGGAAGTCATCCCGATCGCGATCATCTCCCCTCATAAGACCGCCAAAGCTGAAACGTCGTTTGTGGCCGGGGGTCGACCCAGGGCTCATGGGTGGATCTTGCACCTTGTTAAGATCGATACTGGGTGAATGACGACACCTGAATCCACCCTTGATTTCAGTGTAATCGACATTCAATTGCTTCAGTACTCGCTTAATATCAGTTCGAATGGTGGGTACCGATTTGCCTGATGTCGTCGACACACTGAAGAGACCCTTGAGGAAGACTGGCTTGGATAGTTCAGTGTCATCTAATCGTTCGGTCGACACACCGCTCTGCTCCAATTCCTGATCTGTTTCTTCAGGTACGTTGGCCTCCTGAGCAGCCTCTCTCCTCTGGCGGCGTTGCTGGATGCTTTCCCTTCTGGCATGACCAATAGACTTGGCCCTCAGGCTCACAGAACGAGAATGTCCATGGGTGCGGTGCGAGCCAGAGGCTTCTTCATGCGCCACAGATTGGTCAGATCCGCTGGTTGCGGGGGGTTCCTTTCGTCGCCTCATCTCTGCCGAATTAACACTGGTCGATCGTCCCAAAGCGCTTCCTCGCCTCTCCCTAGTGCCGCCAGCAGACATGGGTGGGCTGAGGAGTTCACCGTGCTGACGCTGACTACTGCCGGAACGGTTTTGCGAGTCGGACGCATCTTCTCGGTCACGTCGGCCACGACGGATGCTGAAACTCTTTCGTGGGGCGAGTGGTGAAGGTTCAGCTGGTGAGTGAACCTGTACCACAGGAGGATGCGATCGATCTTTGTCCAGACGCTCAGGCTCCCTACGCTTGCGTGTGCTGAAACGACGCAGAATACCGGCCGCAGTCCCCTCCTTCTTCTGAACATGCTCGGCTCTTGGTTCAGGGGGTGGTGCAGGTGTCTGCTTCGGCGGCTCTGGCATGTCGTCTTCGCCATGTGTCCTTGCACGAGGTCTGCTGCGTCCGCCAGTGGGCTTTTCGCCAGGCATCTCATAGGCGGAAGAGTTGGTGTGGGCAGCTGGAGGTGCTGCAAGTTCTGGCAAGGATTCGGGCTCCTTTGCCTTCTCCTTCTCCTTCTCCTTCTCGCGGGCCTCACGTTCCCTGTTCTTTTCCTTCTCTTTCTCTCGCTCTCGTTCACGGTCTTTCTCCTCCCTTCTTTCTCGTTCCTTCTCCTTCTCCTTCTCTTTGTCTCGCGATTGTGATGCTGGTGGCGGAACCATATCAGCGTGGTCACGGTCCTGCTTCTCCTTGACGAGGTAGTAGATGGATACTAGAGGACTGAATGCATTCATGGGATCATTGCCGATCGAAAGTGCCTCAGAACTGGGGGCCGACAAGGTATCACGACTGTTGCCAGAATTCCTGCGCTTATAAAAGTCGAAGCCAAATGGTCTTCTCTTCTCAGCATCCTTCGCAGGTGGGGGGAGATCCTTCTCTCTTTGGTAGAGCTTGATCGCACGCTGGTACTCCTCCGACTCGATGATTTTGGTGAGCTGTGCATTGATACTTTCAGGTGTGCCAAAGTTGAAGCCTTGCATGGCAAGGATAACCTCTGGCTCCAAAGGTGCGGTCAACGGTTCACGGTTGGGCAGGTAATTGTCGGGAGGACCGTTGAAGCCCTTAGCCATCCACGGGTGCGTCAAGACTTCCTGCATTGTAGCTCGTTGCTTAGGGTCCGTGACGAGCATCCGGGACAATAAATGTTTGCACTCTACAATCAAATTAGTGGGAAGTGTAGAAATCTTAGAGTGAGAGACATACCGCTTGATAACCATGCGGGATAATCGACAAGACCTCTCTTGATCTTGGCATGGAGCGCGGGCATGCTTTGGTCGTCGAATGGCACTTTACCGCAAACTAAGACATAAAGAACAATACCGAAACTCCAGACATCGACTTCGGGGCCGGTGTAAGCTCTGGCCTGCAGTAATTCAGGCGCAGCGAAGTATAAACTTCCACAGAATGTCTTGAGGTGACCCCGAGGAGCGAAGAGGTTACTGAGACCAAAATCGATAATCTTGATATCGCCTGTCTTGCTGATAAGAATGTTTTCGATCTTGAGATCTCGGTGTACGATGCTGTTCCTGTGCAAGTAGTCTAAAGCACTTGCGATCTGCCTGCTAAATTTCCGGGCTTGTTTCTCCTTAAGTTTGCCATGAGAAATGATGTAATCGAGCATTTGGCCACCGTTGACATATTCGAAAAGCATATACCAATGGTGGTTTGTACGGACAACATCGTGAAGAGCACAGATGTGGGGATGGTTCAGGAGGGTGCTAATGGCGGCTTCACGAGCGGTTCGGATTTCCTTGGATTGATCGGCACGCTCTTTGTCGGCGCGAGACTGGTGATTATCGTCGGTCGAACCACGAGGAATAATTTTACATGCTACCTGGTGAGGTCAAAGTGGTTAGCATTACATCTTAGAGCTAGTTGCCTATCGCGATGGGGGCATGAGGGGCAGATTAATGCGCATAGCCGAAGGGTGAAATGATGCATAGAAATAACCGGAAATAGACTTCAGACATACTTGTTCGCTGCCGTCCTCCTTGCGGGCGAGCTTGACCTTGCCCATGCTACCAGCACCAATGGTTTTGCCTAGCATCCATTTTCCAGATTGCGTTGGAATAACCGTACGTGATCTCGCGTGTTTGGAGGTTGAAGCGCGGGGTGGCGCGTCAGCATGATTGCTCGGAGGAGGTGCGTTTGCGTTACTGGCCCCGTTGCTGGGGGCGCTGGCGGAAGGAGCCATATCGGTTTGAGGGGTTTGGTGATTGTTTTTTGAACGAGAAGAGCTCCGTCTATGGGCCCTCGAGGGATCGGGGCCCCTGGCCGGGGGAGGGTGTCGGTCGTTCTTGCTCGAGCTTCGTTGATGGGTTGGGTTCTCGGCTAAGCGTGAGGATTCGTAGTCATTTTGCGAAGCAGATCGGGCGGAAGAAGAAGTGCGCTGATGATGGCTATGATGAGGGGGATGTTGTGAGTTGGAAGCAGAGCGGGAGTGAGAGTGGGAATGAGAATGAGAACGGGAGGCGTAGGCTTGGGATTGGGCTTGGGACAGGGACTGGGATTGGGAGCGAGATTGAGACTGCGAGTGTGAGTGTGAAAGCTGGCGGGTGTGAGATTGGTTGTAGTTGGCACCTGGGCCTGTTCCAGTGGGCGTGGCTGGTGCAGGCGCTGTTGGGGCCGCTGAAGCGGAGGGAGAAGGGGGAACCCGACTTGAACGGGTAGATCGAGTAGAATGAGTGCGACCAGGTCCCCTCGGTGAAGCATCAGCGACGGCAGATGAAGCCGTTCTTGTTCCCATGATTGCTGTACTGTAGTTATAGATGTACCAAGATCTGTTGTGATCTGCTGTGCTGTGCGGGCGGTGTTTGTAAGAGATCGGAGAGAAGACGGTGTAAAAAGGCGGGATGCTGATAAAGTAAATGGGTCTATTCCTGGGGTTTGCTCGAAATGGTAGTGAGCTGTCGTGGAATCAATGCCCAAGTAGGCAGGGAGGAGGATGCACCCGACCCAACTCGATTCCAGTCTTTACCTCTGGACAAGGTAAGGTCCAGTAATTGTATGGACCTTATGGGTAGGTCTGGAGCTTGAGCTTGAGCTTGAGCTACATATGCCAGTGCAAGCGTAACGTAGTCGTAGTAGTAGTCGCTTGCCAGCAAGGTCCTTGAGTTGATTCTCCTGCTGGTCGAGTACGACGGATTGAAGAAAAAAGACAAGAATTACCTGGTCCTTGTCATGAGCTCGAGGCTATCTTGACCCTCTGGTTGCGATGACGAGATGTCTGATACCGCCAACTGCATAAGGGACCAAATACAACACAGATTCAGGTGCTGACCAAAAGACTTAGCACCTGGAAGAGTTAGACCCAAATACGAAGCGAAGCTGCGCTACATGCAAAATGCAGATTGATGGTACAAACAAGGCAAATGTCGAAAGGCGCAAAGCAAGATTGACTTGACTGTACTGATATACCGCGGCAGTCAAGAGCCGAGACAGAGTGTCTCTGGGATGGAAGAAAAAAAAAACAACGCAAAGATGCAAGTGAATAGGGAGGAAGGTGTAAGAGTAGGAGTCAAAACTCTGCAAACTGACAAGCAGATTTAGTAAGAGTCCGTCTGTCTGTCTGGTTTGTCCAAAGAACAAAGTCCCAAATTGGGGGCGTAGCTAATGTTACCAGGTTGGCTAATGGAGATGGGATATTGAATGGACTGGACTGGACTGTAACTAAAAATGACTTGGTCTAAAAGCACAGCAAAGCAAAGAGTACAGCACAGCGCAGCAACGGCATGTCCCATCTGCTCACCTCACCTCTTAAGAGGCTTGTATGCCCGGGATACACCTGGATGTATGCATGCAAGCTGCCGAGACTTCACCACCAGTCCAGCTGTCTTTGATCTAGCACAGCAGGCCATCTTAAATCGTTTCAGGGGACTTTCCACTTAGGTCACAGGTAGCTTCAACTTTCCACCAACGGTCAAGTCTTGAGTGGAGATGCGATATCTCGCTCCAGCTGAAATCTCATTTCGCGGGTTGTCACGAATGGATCAGTTTACTGGTTAGTTCCCGACCTTGACGGCATTGCTGGAGACATTTGGTCTCTAATTCTATTTGAGTTAGGTTTGAGGAGAGCCTCAATTAAAACTTCAGTAGACATCGGGCTTTTTCGCTCCACGATATCTGCGCCGTTAGGTAAGTTAATTATTATCGTACGTACCAAGCCTAGTTCCCTGTTTCCAGCAACACCAACGCCAAGCACAGTATCCGACGTCAGCTACCAGCCAGAAGACCGCATTTCTAACCTGTGAAGTGGATCTGTCGCAAAGTGCTGCAAATTTACGTGGCTGATTAAACGAGGGGTTGGAGGCTGGGACCCATTACTAGAAACCGGGTTTAGATCTTGACTCCTTTCAAGGCAGTTATGTCTTAAAAGTCTACAGTAGTCGTGGAGCTGAGCTGGAATGCATTGCCTCCTTGTCGAAGAAGCAAAATCGAAGCAGCCACAGGGCGGACAAGCGCATAGGACCTTGCGGATTGTGTAAGGTGTTGGTGGGATGGGGTTGCGTTGTGATGCAGCACAATCCATGTCTTTGTGTTCACATCAGCCAGCAATCATTGTCTGGCTGTCTGTTCTTTTCACCGACGACTGTCAGCCACCGTCCTTAGATGGAATGCCAAGACCAGACCTCAGCCGAGTGATCCTCATACAGTGACAGCCAGGCACACAATGGCTATCAGGTCGGACGTCCTCCATCCTTTATCCCTCGCTGGGAGTCATGTCTTGGAGTTTGAGGTATCGGTCAGACTGAAACTACTAACACAGGTGAATAAAGGGAGACCTTGTAGATATCACGTTCATGACCATCGATCTGTCAAAGCAAAACTATGACGTCTCTAAACGATTATGTCATGCCTGAATCTTGAGCAACGGTATGCAGTACAGTACAGTAGAAACTGTTTCAAGGCTACGCTGCCAGTCGCATCCCTCCACAATGACACTCAATTGACAACGTTCCACACGCGTGCACTTGCATAGGTACCCGAAGCGGGAGAAACTTTGAAGACTGGAGTTGCATGGATGGAAGCTCTCCAACATTTGATAGAACCCCCTGTCCTAAGGTCTTGCGCCAGAGCCACTAACTTAAGCTGGCTGACCTGTCATGGAGCTAAACTTTGCTGCTTATCGATAAGACCAATTTAGACGTCGCGACAACGATCGCAGTGACTTTACGATCCATTATCATCATAAGTCCTGTGGCTACATTCGACATATTCGCGTCTTTGCTCTATTGAAGTGAAACGCCGACTTTCAATGCTTCTACGGTTACTACGCGATACGCTGACATCTCAGTCCCATGTCATATAAACGCTCCCGCGCAACCTACGAAGCCGATTTCCATGCACCCTTTGCAACGTTCGGCACCCCTCTCCCTGATGATCCCGAAGCTCGAGACGATGGCTCTTTTGTGCCAGTATGGAAACAGGAGGTGAGGGATGAGAGAGGGCGTAAACGATTACACGGCGCATTCACTGGTGGTTGGAGTGCAGGGTGAGTACATTCACATATCTTATACCGGAAGCCTGGGCTTATCATGTTAGATATTTCAATACTGTTGGGTCTAAGGAAGGATGGACTCCGTCGACATTCGTGTCGAGTCGAAACAACCGACATAAAAAAGATGGCACGACTCAAGCGCAACAGCGACCAGAAGATTACATGGACGAGGAGGATCTTGCTGATGCCGCCGAAGCACAGAAAGTACAGACTTCCCAAGCATTTGCTGGTCTCGGCTCAGGTCAGGACGCAGATACTGGTGGCTTGATGGGTTTGTTAAGAGCCGAAGGAGATACCATGGGATTAAAGCTGCTGCGGCGGATGGGTTGGAGAGATGGACAAGGCATTGGCCCTAAGATTCGAAGAAGTGCACGGCTTGATGTTGAACAAAAGAATTCCGATACCGCCGAGACACACCTGTTTGCGCCGGACAATGCTGAGATGATTCGATTTATCCGCAAGAACGATCGGAAAGGACTAGGGCATGACGGCGAGACCAAGTTGTCGAACCCGATCACAGCAGCAGCCGACGAGGATGACGAGGATGAGAATGTCCCCGAGACGGCCCCACAAACCACCTCTCTTTTCTCATCGCAGAAATCAAAGTCGAAACCCGGGCGTGGTGGAATAGGAGTGGGTATACTGAACGATAACGGATCCGACGAAGAAGACCCCTACGAGATCGGACCCAAAATCCGGTACAATCGTGTTGTCGGTGGTGATAAGAAGAAAAAGAAGGCAAAGAAAGCATCTGCTGCAGTTAACCCTGCGCTGAAGAATGCTCCGGTCTTTGTGTCACGGACAGCCCGAGCTGGTAACGGTCTTGGGAGATGCCATGATGGGCGATTACCGCTTGATGGTTTTGTGCTAGCCAAAATCACAGAGGATTTATCTGGTCTTCTGTTAGAATATGCGCCCCCTCCAGTCCCAGAAGGATGGATGTCCTCCAAAACATCCTCGGAACAGGCAGCTTCTTCAGGGTATAAGTCAACGGCAGATGCTGCAAAAGCATCCACCCATGATGCGAAGTCAAGGGCAGCTCTTCTTGGAGAAAAGAGTCTACCAGGAAAATCGGTTTTTGACTACATCACTAGATCAGCACGGGACCGACTTGCTACAGCATCCGGGAACAAACAACTCCCACAAGGCTTGGGAGAGATACCAGAAGGTTATGCCATATCGGAGGAGGAAAAGCTGCAGGCAGCCTGGGACCAAGCGCCTAAGCTGGATCGCGAAACGGCCATCGCAGCTATCTCACGAGGCTCATCTGGACCCTACGCGGACAACGAAGAGAAAAAAGCACGTTACAGGACCTACTTGGAACACTTCGCAACGGGCAGTCAACCGCTACCATACAAACCCAAAGGAATGGCTTACGATGACTTTTCAAGAGAACTTTCAGAGTTCCATAATTGCGCTAGGATTTTCAAACCAATGACAGGGTTTATGGCTTCTCGTTTTACCACAGCAAAGAAGCCATCGACCGTTTCAACGAACGAGTCCGAGACAGACCTGTTGTCAGAACCAGAGCCAAAGGTAGCTGATCCAGCAGAAGAGGCGGCCAAGATGGGCATGTATGGCAAGATGACTCGAACAGTTGACAACTTTTACCCCACCCGATTGTTGTGCAAAAGGTTTAATGTTAGGCCACCTGCGCACTCTCAACCAGACGCTGAGATGGGAACTGGCTCTGGCACAAGAAGTCGTGATGAAGCCTCAGGCCATATGGAAGATGCTGAGGTCAGTTCAGGGACACCGACTGGGGATGTCAAGTTGGTCGGGAATGTTCCTGGAGGGACTGTGCCACCTGCTCCTGTGCCTGAACCTGCTATTAATCCGGACAAGAATGAAGCAGTCGAGGGAAAGACGGCACATGACGAAGTCCTTCGAGCAATTTTTGGAGATAGCGATAGCGAATAATAGTATCACCATAATTATAGGTCACTAATAAAATCAAGGACATGAAAGTAACTGACTTTAAACTACGATTGACTTTTGACATACCTAAGAAACTCCTAGGTCCCAACTCTGTATACTATGGCATCCATGGATCTGTAGCGGATAAACAAGGAATCGCTAAACAAACAGTTGTGATGTAAACACTCGTTTAACCGAAAAATATTAATATCATTCCCGTGCCCCGGACAAGCATTGGCCTCCTAGGTCGAAATTGACAGGCAAATTTTGTCAGGAACCTTGTACATGATGCCCTGGAAGTGCACATCAAATATTGATTTTTACTACAGCAGCATGAGCTTAAGCTCGATATCTATATCTTCGATATGGGAATATTAACATCAACATCAACTAGAATTTTCCCCATCTTCAACCTTCGATCGGCCTCACTCATCTTAAACATGGACGCCAAGCGTCGAGCTTACAACTCCAACGCCTCTAGCGCCTACACTCCACTCCAAGTGAGCGGCTAAGACCCTGTCGGTAGCTCATAAAGACGTTTGATTGGGCCACTTCATCATATCGCGGGGCTCCAATTTAGTGCCACTCTGCCACTGAAGCTCGGGGGCTCACCTCAGGGGAGCAACCGTCGAATGAGGAATCGCGCTGCTCGCTGTTCTGAGGACCAATGTGAACCTCACTCACGCATCACATCACATCGCATCACATCGCCATACCTCCGTCTCTTGTAGATAGAGCTTCACGACGCGACGGGGCCGCACTTCCGATACGAGAACGAACGAAATTCTTCCCCATTCGGCTGTTACGCTTAATCTCCGCCTGTTTTTAATGTTTCAACCGTTTACCTTGTCGACAACCTAAATAATCATCTTGGAACCGGTCAACGTCAATCGACCGCTCTTCTCCTTTCCGCCTGTTCGCCGATTGGAGGAGCATCTGTCTTGAACGACTTTGTTTTCTTTTAAGAGGAAACCGCCATCCTGTCTGAATTTCAGGAACTTGGAATTGGACCCTCTGCGTCCCTAGACAATAAGACACCATCACCAGCCTCTTCAAGACCGCCAAGCACGCACACGACTTCAAGTCATCGCGAATCGACTCCTGACAACCTTAAATCCGCCATAGAGCCGGAAACTCACATTCTTTTAAGCCGCGAGCAGTCTCCGCCGCCGCAGTATCCAGCGTCCGAACCATCAACTTCACGTCCTCCCCCCTTCTCGTCGCTCTTTACCTCTCCGCCTAACGACGCCCACGAGCGCTCCGATAAATTCGCCGCTTTTGCCGCCAGATCTTCTTGTGAAGCCGAAGCATCAGGTTCAGCTGCGCCAGCATACGAATCTTCCTCCCCGAGAGAAGCAGTTCCATTTGACCCCGACCAAAGCACTACCGCATTTCGCGATCCAGTCGCGGAAACCAAGCGCGCACTTCCTCGGGATACCAAGGACTCCAGTCGCAAGGACGACGACGCAGAACCACCCCCAGCTTATTCAGAAGAGGGCGATAGTCCCCTTGCCGCATTTTCTTTCCTAATGGCTGCCGCAGGAGGAGCTTCAAGCATCATCACTCAGGTGCAACAGGGCGGGCCGCCTGTTAGCACTCTGGGAGATGTTGGTGCCGATGAAACGATTGCTATGGATTTGAGGTGAGCTTTTTGCCTTGAGTTGAGTTGCGGGTATACTAACTCCGAATAGGGGCACAAGATTTTACCTCTCTAGAGACGAGTTGCTTACTTTGCCCGAATTTGTTCTTCTTTCCCTGTTCCCCAATGGTCTATTTCCCGAGGGCCAAATGGGTGGTTTCTCGGATGGCGATGCCGTGCAAGTAGACGTAAGTCAATGCCTTTCTTGTTATAGCCAACATTTAACTCACCAAGACTAGTACGACCCAGCTTCGCTTCAGTACATGCTTGATTTCTTCAGAGACGTTGCACAGTCCATCCCCACAGATGGATCACCAAGTGCTTCGCAGGACGAGGATACTCCCTCTCTTGGTACTTCGCGTGACGACTCTAAGCGAGCCGGTATCATTGTGCTCCGTGAGGACCTTGACTTTTACGCTATTCCTCCCCGAGCGGACATCGGTCAGCTTGATATGATTGCCGTGAAACGGGCGGCCGCAGAGGCCTTGCAGCAACAGAGCGGCATCTTTTCCGGACTCAAGCGAAGTGACGAGCCCGGTACTACTGAGGCCCATCTTATTGAGATGTTGACAGCAGGGTGAGTTGGATCACAGAGATTTGCTTGGACTGACGAAAGCTGACCTATTAGTAGCGGCTTCAACCATGACGACCGATGGGGTCACCGTGCTGGTGAACCTAACAAGGCTGTCATCTGCAGTCTGGCTCTCGCCCGTCTACGCAGTGATATCCGAGGTAACGAGATGGGTACCAACGCCGTTGGCATGGCCCAGAAGCTACTGCTCTTCTGGCGCAAGCCTGCTCGCCGATGCTGGTGGGAAGGTGTCGAGCTTGAGAATGTTGCAGGTGTTGAGGGCAAGCTTAAGGTCTGGATCCGAAGAGTATGGACCCTTGAGATGAGTGTCATCGGTCTCCGCTAAACCATCATGTCCTGCATACCCCCAAGCATCGTCTAATTGTTACCCTCATTTCTTTTGTCTATCACACCTTGTGTAGCTTTGTTTTTGCAACCCCCATTCCCCCAACATTTTCTCTATTTACTCCACCATCCTAGTAGGTTATTATCTTTGTTTTTACTTTTTTTTTCGTCCTGCGACCAGAGTCGGTGATCCATACCATTTGGGCAGATGCAAAAGCACATACGTGGAAGGGAAGAGAGGGTTTTGGTCCATTGAGATTCACAAAGGGCGGGCGTCAGGGTGCCATTGGAATTTTTGGGGTTTCTTTGCGGGAACTCCTACCTGTCTTTTCTTTACATGTTTGATATACAGCACAGAGATAATCCAAGTACCCAAAGCATACGTAATTCCTATATTTGTCCTGGCAGAGTGATGATGCCAGTGTATGATGTAAGCGTCGACACCATTGCGATGTACTATGTACCTACTTGGAGCTGGGTATTCTGACTTCGAAAAGCAGCACATACTGATGGCTACGCCAAATAGCGTCGGTTCGTTGTACTAGAAACTTGACGAGACTAATTAAGCTTCTTTCATGCCGCCTCAAGTGAGTTGAGTCGGTCTTTCTAGCCCCGAGTTCCTCTCGCATCCCATTATCACCACCGTCAACTTGGATAATGTTCCGTTTTCTTGTCCTGAAGGCAAGTGATTTTCTTTAGCATGCCATATTCCCGGTATAAGATCGTGCACGCCTATGGCTTTCAAACTGCGCATCCAGAAATAGATCATCGGTGTGGTTCATCTAAGCTCGACTGGGTATACTTCTTGGGTCGATGCATCACTTGAAAATACTCGCCGTATGAATATCTACATTTGATAGAATGAGGCAAAGCTGATAATTTTCTCAATTGCTTCTGTACTCACTTCTCTTGATATTTCGACTTCAATAGCGCAGTACCCAATTGCAGCGGATTCGATGATAGTCTTCATTTCTGTTGCAAGATGAGCCTGTCTCTTGCCCAATACCTCGTACCGTGGATCACATCAGGTTTTAGAAATTCCAATATATCCTACCTGGGATATACGAATGGGGCATGGCCAGGTTTACTCTGAGGTGTTATTAGTTCTGTTTATAGGTGACTTCGATACCTTTGACAAACAACAACCTCACTATGATCGTCATGATCGTATGTTTAATCACCTGCTGACCAATGTTTTGTTTAAGGTATTCGCTTCGAGACGAGTCCAGAGTAGGAAATCCACCTCGTCTTCCAGAGACAAGTATGAATCGAGGTTGGTCTCCGTTTCGTTTGCGCTGGTGCCATCAATGGAAATGGTTATTCAACAGATCTGCCTTGAGGCAGGCTGAAGAAGATAGTGCACAGATTGTCTATATGGCGATGGGTTTGTAGAGCCAGACAAAACCCCAGTTTAAATTGCACGCCCGTTGATTGAACCCATAAAGTACCTAAGATACCGTTGTGGCACTTGAATAAAGTAACATGGTTTGGGTACCTGCATGATAAGATTCAGTGGCGCAACACTCAATTCATAGTATAACAGCTTGACATTTGAAGCAAATCCAGGAGCTTCGTAGCACGTCTAACCATCGATATCTCGCAATACAATACCTATTGTTAGGTACGGGTGAATGACTTTTACTTAGATGTATTTGCGAGATCGACGAATTCTACAAACACAAAGGTTCTGACTGATCTATAGATCGTCCCTCGTGCATGTAACATACTGCATCTGTCGATCACTGCTATATCTCGTTCCTGCATGATTTACCGATATACTACAATTGGAAACGGAGCAAATAAACCGTCGCATCCGTATTCCTCTATTAGCAGGTCGTATCGAGGATCTAATCGACCTTGGCATTGTCTTCAGCGTACCTGCCTCAATTCTTCACCGTACTCGTATGGAGCACAGCCTCAGACATTTTGGTTAGCACGTCTTGAATCAAGCATTTTAAGTTAAGAGCGATCCGGGGTAACTGGGCAGGATCAGCCGGGATCGACTTGCCGTCTTTTGTTTCATTGGAGCTTTCCGATCTGCACCTTCTTGGCCGAGGCATCAATGACATGTTCGTCTCCAAGGGTCCTTCCTGACTTTTCGTTCACTCCATCCCAAGTGCCTACTAACCTACTTCTTTGCTTCGACGTCCATCTCTTCAACTTCATCTTCTTGTTTCTTCCACATATACGCACTCCCATTCATGTTTACGATTCACGACTAGTTTCATTTCATTCTTTGATACCCATTCGCATAAGCCTTTTCAGATCATTTCCACATTCCCATCACTTGCCTTTCTCCAAAATACCCAATCCGTCACATCTACTTCTTGATCCCCCGACGTCATTCCCCTCACCGTTACAATGGCGTCTCTTTACCGAATCACCGCCACCACATTGGCTTCAACGCTTCTCCTTTCCTCAGCCTCTGCCCAAGACTGCAAATTTGAGACCCTCAAGACATCATACCCGTCACCTAGAATTGCAGAGGACTGGAGCTATAGCCTGATTGCCAACGAGCTTAGACGGCCTCGAGGCATCACGTTCGACAACAAAGGTGCTCTCATTGTCATCGATTCCGGAAATGGCATAATCCATCTCGAGCTCGAGGATGGAGGAGGCACATGCCTGCAGGTCAAGAAGAAGACAACTTTGCTCAAGCAGGACAACGTGAGTCAGCCATACGGTTCCAGTCTCGAATCACCGCTAATCATACACATCTAGTTGAATCATGGTCTCGCCATCTCCAAGGATGGACGTACTCTCTACGCTTCCTCTTCCAATGATGTCTTTGCGTGGTCTTACAACTCGACAAAGGTTGAAGTCGATAACTCTACAGTTCAGACTTTGGTCACCAACATGGCCAACGGTGGCCATACTTCCCGCACCTTGCTCATCTCGGAGAAAAGCCCAGACATGCTCCTTGTCTCTCGTGGCAGTGCTGGCAATGATGATCGAGGGGCTGAGAATCAAGCGACCGGCCGCTCCCAGATTCGTGCATTTAACATTTCATCTTTCAGCAGTCGCTCCAACCTGAAGCCTTTCGACTATCTTCAGGGTCGTCGTCTCGGCTGGGGACTCCGTAACTCGGTAGGCCTCGCAGAACATCCTGAAACCGGTGGCATCTTCAGCGTCGAGAACTCAGCTGATCAACTCGCGCGCAACGGTAAAGACATTCACAAAGATAACCCTGCTGAAGAGATGAACTTTCACGGATATCTCAACGGCTCTCGTGAGGACCAGGGTGGCAATTATGGTTACCCTCATTGCTATACACTTTGGTCTACTAAGAACTTTCCCGATCTGGGTAATTTGAAAGTTGGCGATCAATTCCCTGCTGATCGTCAGTCTCGTCAGTTCAAGGAGGATACCAATCCTACTGATGAGGAATGCAAGAAAGAATACGTTGCTCCAGTGCTGGCGTTCCAAGCTCACACTGCGCCGCTGGATATGAAGTTCGACAAGGAAGGCACGACAGCCTACATTTCTTTCCATGGAAGCTGTAAGTTAGCATTATCATATGCCCTTGCTCGTGGACTAACGTTATCAGGGAATCGTAACCCTCCAGTCGGATATCAGATTTCTCGGGTAGCCTTCAAAGCTGGTCGACCTAAGGAATCATCAAGCAGCAGCGCAGACGATACCTCTCTTATCTGGAACGAGAAGTTGGGCAGCTGCCCTGAAAACTGCTTCCGTCCAGTCGGTCTGGCATGGGATTCACAAGACCGGCTTTGGTTCAGTTCTGATAGCACTGGTGAAATCTTTGTCATGAACCATCGCAAGGAAGACTCCGATTCCAGTTCTTCACAGGGCGACGACGACGATGACGACGATGACAATAACAACTCGGCATTCTCTCTGCAGCCTAGCTCTGCTGCCTTGATCGTTACGCTCGCCGCCGTCGTAATGGGCGGATTCATGGCGTGAGAAATCTGACTCCAGTGTGCTTGAAGTACAGGTTGTCGAGTTGATTCGAGAAGGATCGAGCGTGCGTGCATAGTATTTGTGTTTTGGAATTGTGCGGCGCCTTGGTTTTGGGTGCAGAACCCTGTTCCATTCGTGGCATTCCAATATCATTACAGTGTATCCTAGTTCATAACAGTGCTTAAATTCATACTCTATGACAACAGGCCAACAGAGCTTGCCTCTTGCCTTCTATTATCATCATCCTTTCGTGACAACAATTGCCCTTGCGTTATGCACAATAACATCCTCTAGCCAAGTGGGTAACAGAAGAATTATCCTCTAAGGCTTAGGCTTCCATAATAAAGTAGCCTGACTGTTGGTCTAAGCTAGCATAAAGTGACCAAATTATTTCGTCTCTTATGCCTCTAGGGACCAAATCTTCTGACACCCTGAGGCTAGCATAGTCGGGCCAAGTTTGCATCTTCACATCTCGTCCAATATCGGGTTCAAGAGGTCATAGCAAGATAATCACCCTTTTGTTTGCCTTGAACGCCTAGCTCTCCTATTTGTATCCATCAACGCGTTGATATACTTCATACTCTATTCCTCAATCGTCTTGACACACTCCCACTCGCCCCGGAGGTTCTCCTTCCACAAAGACACCTTGTTGTCCTGGCCACTGATAGCCAGAACGTTACCGCTAAGAGACCAACTGACTCGCCACACAGCGGCCTCGAAGGGGAGGACCTTAGATTCCCACTGAGTTGGGCTTGAAGGATCGGATGTCCAGATACGGACGGTCTTGTCCTGCGAAGCGGAGGCAATGTAGGACTTCTGGAGAACAGTAGGGGACCAGGCAACGTCGCGGACCCAATCGGTGTGGCCAGTCAGGGGCTCGCGCTCCTGTTTGTAGGTCTGAGAAGCAGGGTCAAAGGCCCAGATCTTGAGGACATTGTCGCTACCACCAGTAACGAATCGACGGTTGCCGGTAGCACCAGGACCAGGGGCGCTGCTAACAATGCTGCCGGGGGTTGTAGCGGGTGCCCAGGAAACGGAGTTGACGCCAAGACCGTGGGCAGCAAAGGTGGTGTGGTCGATGCTGTTGTCCTTGAACTCGAGAACGCTGACGTTGCCGTCGGAAGAGGCGCATGCTAGCAGGCAGCCAGCCTCATGGGGAGACCAAGAGACAATGTTGACCGAGGCCTTGTGTAGGGGAAAGTCGTAGATTCGCTGCCATGCGTTGTTCTGTCCACCCTGCTCCTTCCAGATAAAGACCTTGCCATCGTAACCAGCCGACGCCAGGATGTTGCCGTACTTGGGATGCGCCCAGGCAACACACCAAACAGCACCCTCATGTCTATTGTTCCACCTAGTCAGCCATCGTCCATGATCTGGCAGCCTTTCGTACTCACCCCTTAAGGGTCTCAACCAATCGTTGGGTTTCGCCCTCAATCTCGAAGATCTTGATCGTCTTGTCGCCAGAGCATGTAGCTAGCTTGCGGCCGTAGTAGTCGAGGACAGCATCATGCTAGAGAAGCTGTCAGTGTAGTTCGAGATCGCTAGGAGCCTGGTTGTCTGTAGATAGGAGCTAGACGATGTAGCGCATAGCTTCTAATCGCATTGTTCGGGGAATGGAACGTACAATCATGTCCTCATGACCAGAGTTGGAGATAACTTGCGCCGACTAAAGGGGTGGGGAGTTAGCTATACTGTAAACGATACGGAGCATATTTAAGATTGAGATTGAATTCATGATGAGAAAACATACCATTTTGCTTGATTTCACACCAGGGTTACAGCGCAAAAAGAAACAAACAGAAAAAGGGATGGACTTATAAAAAGGTGGTTATCAAAGGACACGATACCGCCCATGACCTGGAGCTATCCGCGCCAGACCGTGGCGGTGGTGACAGTTGGCCAAGCTGTAGGTCACGTGAAGGAATACGTGATCTCTTTCATTCGTCAACCCCCACTTACCGCATTTGTTCCCGAACGGGGACTCGGTACGTACCGGCGTTCATGTTGCCTCGGCCGCAGTTGGGCTTCCCCGGACATTACAGTAGCCGTAATGATGGAGGGTGCAATCACGAGCCATTGATTTCCATGCTTTTGGAATCTGGGGAAGGTCATTTTTTGGATTAATCATCTTCAACATCTATTTCGCCTTCTACTTTTAACCTTCTATACTGTTCCCCCTTTTCTATATACAAACCCCTGTTCGTCGCGTATATCTTTTACACATATCATCGTCTCGTGTCGTTCTATTCAAGACGCCACTAGAGCACCCCGCGTAGACCGAGGCACACTACTTGAATATCAGCATCTTGACAACACTCATATACCCCAACAACATATACAATCATGGCGGACGCATCATGCAGCGGAGGAACTCCCTTTAAGCAACTCATCGACCACCAGGGTCGAGATGTTAGCCATCACCAAGACCGACTTGTAGGCCGCGGTGGTCCTCAAGGTCATACTGTAAGTACGAACGTCGCATTGGACAGACATGTTAACTGAACTCTCTCAAGTCTTTCAGATCTGCACCACAACATGTGCAAGGCGCGGATGGCTTCGGCGCATTTATGGATGGTCAAGCGACTCTTCCAGGAGTTCCCCAGCATCATCACGCAGCAGGGAGGCTAGCAGCTCATGCCGCTGTTCTTGAGCAGGGACATTCACCTGCATTCCACGCCGCGCAAGCAGCGCACTTCAACCAGGGACAGCACTCCCCTTCGGTTGGTGTAAGTAACTGGGCCGCCGACTTCAACCGCTTCGCGAATCAGTCACAGCAAAGACAACCTGCTCAAAATGGCTTTTCTCAAGGTGCACCTCAGGTGCATCAACCAACTCCTCAGATGAACTTTCAGTCCGCCTTTATGCAACCCAACACTACATTCGCGCCTATGTTTGGCCAGTCTAATAATGCTTTCATGAATGGCAACGCAGCATCGACACAGGAGGCTGGATTTGACGACGAAATGTCAAAATGGATGGCAACCAACGCTGGCGGAGGGATGGAAGAAGTAGACGCCATGATGGACCAAATGGCTCGCGAATTGGAACTCAACGATGCAGCGGTAGCAAAGGCAGAGGCCGAACAGGCAGAACAGCAAGAGACCCGCGTCGAACCAACACTGGAAGCAGATCCCACCAACCTTGCAACGCCAGATATCGCCAGTCTTTCCATCGAGACAGAAGAAGAGCCTGTAGTCCAGGACACCGCCGAAGCAGCAAAGACCAAGTCTGAGGTCGCAGACGCAGCTGAGCGCCTTCTCGAATCAGTCGAACACGAAGATGGTGAGAAATGGAAGAACTCGGTATTCTTGTCTCTAATGCGAGATTTCCGCGATGGAAGGAAAGATATCATCGACAATGAGATTCGTGAAACACCAGAGAATGAGACGAATATTGCGAAGGAGGCACAGTGACAACTTTCAGATCCCAACGAAAGTAATAAAGCTTTCGAGTCGGGTTTGCAGCATCAGATTATCTCTCAGCATACGCCAGGGAATCTTACCCCGTATCAAGACGAATTGACGTCGCGATGGGAAATCACGCCGAGGTTGAACAAAGGGTATGGGGATGCGTCCTCGGTCCAGGGCTCGTGTGTCGAACAGCTCAGTCGGACGACATTCTAGGCCATCATCTGGAATGACGGCCTGAAAAGGAGTCGGGGCACTGCCCCAGGTAGTAACATGTATGATTCGTACCTATATGGAGGTGGTAGCTTAGAATAGCAACATCAGTCCATACACTGGGCTACTTGGATATCAAGAGACCCTGCAGCCATTTACGTGCACGTTTGATCAAGTCATGCAGTGTTGTCAGAAGCGGAAGATGATCACAGTTCAATAATTTAATTCAGTAAAAAAGGATTTCTTTTCGTAAACCGGTAGTCGCTCCTATAACTCCAGATAGTCCCATCCGGTCATTTGTAGCCCAAAATAATAGTCATCCCATCTCCCATGATGCAGTCTTGAATAACAACAGAACACGCAGCGGAATGTACACGATGAAAACAAAAATGAGAATCGTGCAGTTCCAACCCAGTCCCAAGTCTTGTATGCATAACGCCGTATGATATCAAAAGAAAAATAGATAACAGACCAAGAACAACTTGCGTTCCTGATCATCGCTGCCTCGTCCATGAGCCATAATCGAATTTGGCGCTCTATTGGGATTTCCATATACAAGCACAGTCGGTTAGTGCCGGGCTTGTCCGCTTCATTAATTGTGGAAGAGATCGCTTGTGGTGTTTGTCCGTCCATTCAAGATCCAGGTTTTCAATAAAGCCCTCGGCCTCATCCTCCTGGATGGTCATTGTAACTCGTGTGCCATTTCTCGTAAGCGGCTGCGTATCAGTTCCGTCGCCGATAACTTCGTACTGAGCACAGGTGGCTACCGAGTCTTCATCCCAGAGAAATCGACGCTCCATCATCTTGTAGACATGAGGGTAAATAGGAAGCTTCCAGGCATCCCAAGCGGTTGATGAAGTCGCATAGCTGTTCTCGGTACTAGTAGGGTTTTCGTCTCCGCCTTGTGTTGGGGTGGGGTGATATCCTGTTGCGTTCTCGCTAGGATAAATAAAGACTTCGATAACGGTATTTGGCCAGGTGCAGATCCAAGGTTGGTCGCCGACCTTGGCATTCACTGGCTTATTTTTGAAACGGTGGAAAGAGTTGTAGTCTTCGTAATCGTCGTTGTCCCAACCTCGCTTGTCCAAGTCACCAAGCTTGGTGCTGGGTACAATGACGGTCTTGTTGTACGTTGTCCTTAACCACCACGCAGGGCCGCGTGCACTATCAGTTGTGTCATTGACCAACTTCATAGAAACCGTTCTGATACTGGGTGGTTGAGCGCCCCAAGGGAATGGAGATTTGTTGTCATTTATGGCTTTGAGTGTAAGGTTGTAGGAAACTGCGTCGGATTCCCCCTTCGGGTCCACGTCCTTGAGGATCTCAACCGACCAGAGAGGATAGACAATGTCGCAGGACCAAGCCGATGACTGTGTCGTATCATTGAAGCAAGCACTATATCCTTGGGGAGAGTCAATGTTAGGAAGTGCGAAGCGGCCTGTAGCCATAGGTGGTAGATCAGTGGGTATTGCTGTCAAGATCTCAGGGTCAAATGTTGTTGGAGTAGGAGGAGGCGAGGTAGAGTATCTACTATAAGATGGTTAGCATAGAAGCCCAGTTGGTCGTCGTTATATAACTTACTCATCAACATCAGGGGGTGGTGGTGGGTGATTTTTGGTTAACATAGTCCCAATCACAGCACCCATAATAATTCCCATCAGAACGAGACCGACAAGCAGGAGGCAGATAGCCCAATAAGGCACGATTCCCCATAGCTTCTTCTTTGCACGGCGTTGCCATTTATTGGCGGTTGGCTTTTCGGAAACTTCAGCAGCAGCAGTGTTGATGTCGTGCGAGCTGTTGTCAGAAGAAACAGCACTTCTCACTGAAGGTCGAGTCCTTGGTAGAGCCAGATCATCATCAGTCGAGGAGAACTCAGGATCACGGGTTGCCATTCCAATTCCACCAGCACCAGGTATTTGGGTACCAGGTATTTGAGGACCTGGAACATCCCTAACCGGGGAGGCGGGTTCCGAAATTGGCGATACTGGCGAGACCGGTGCTTGAGCAGCTGGTCTGGGAACATAAGCGTTATCCGGGTATCTTGTGTAAGGCGGCAGTTCCTCTGTATGGCCCAGAGGGCCCACTAAATCTCCTGCCTCTTCACCATCTGGTCCCAGTTGACGCTGATAAGTTCCTCCTAGACCGTTGAATCCTACTGGGATCGATTGACTGCTACTCTCACCGGAGGTGGTGTTCTGTGTGTAAAGAGCATATGGGTGAGCTGGGCCTTGAGCTCCTTGATAACCCCGATCTTCAGGTACGACTGCATTGGCGGCGGTCGATGTGGTAGCCACACTCATTGTTCGTTGGGGATACATGTTGTATGGATGCGAGGGACCAGAGGGGCCGGTGTAAGGGCTTTCGGCACGGATGACGGGAGCGTCTGATGATAGGCTAGCGTTGTTGCGTACATGAGATCTATCAGCCATCGTTGGGCCATCATTTCGGAGAGCGAGAGAATCATGATTTCGATGCGGTTTTGAGATACTAGAGGGTCGATTTCGAATAGCAGGTGTGATTTCATTTGATGCACGGGGTGCAACTGGTGCCTCTGCTGACTTGGTAGTTGGTTGTTGTGGGATAGACTCGTCTGGCGTTAATGAAGGCTCGGGGTGAGGATGTGAGTTTGGCGTTGGGTTCACTGTGGAAGAAGAGGCGGTGTTGTCGGTAGGTCGGAAGCCATCCGCCACCATCATAGCGTTGAGGTCGTAATCATCTTCAATACCAGCACTACCAGCGGATAATCTCAATGAACGCGAGCGTCGGGTCGAAGAACGACGCGAGGTGGGAGAGACCTTGCTGTCGTTGGGATCCATGGCGTGACGGAGAGGGAGGCCAGGGCTTCAAGCCAGAGACGCCGGCAAGGGCGTGCCCTAGAGGTGGTGAGTTATCGGGCGTTGAAGTCAACGTCGTGATCCGAGGGGGTTTTGTACGGTCGGGGATCGAATGGGAGAAGGGTCGGCAGATCAATGGCGAAAGGGAGGCCGACTCTGAGCGAGAGGTATTTAGTGAAGCGAACGAGATTCGAATTCGATGCGGTAGAGTTTGGCGTCGAAAGTGTAATGATCGAAGGATTTTCGGGGGTGATGATGGCGATGGTTGAGTTTGATTGATTGAATGAATGGGATGATTGATTGACTGATTGAACTCGTTTAGCCGTTTGGTTGAGGTGGATGGATGGATCGATGAATGAATGGGGAATGGGTAAGGACTGGACTTGACTGGACTGGACAGGAAGTGCAAAAAGCCAAGAAAGAGAAGCGGGTTTCGAGAGGGAGCGAGGGAGCGACTGAGTGGCTACACGGTAGCAGGAGGGAGAGAGCGAGCCAACAGGAGACGAGAGGCGCCATACCAAAGAGGGTCCATGGCGGGTTTGAGTGGAGACTAGACACTCATAGTAACCAATTAAAGTCAGCGTCAAAAGGGGAAAAGGTCTAGGGGAACGGGCAACGAAACTAAGCTAAGAGAGGACTAGAATCGCACTGTAGAGTCGCGAAGGTTTTTGTTTTTCTTGGATGAACCTGGCCCTGAGTCTGAGAGTTTTGGGTCTGAGTTTGGGGCCTTGGGGGCCTAAGTTCAGGACGCAAAAGCCAAAGCTTTGACGATCAACAATCACCTGTAGCTAAGCATTGTCGTTGACACAGGTCGAAACGGTGACTTCAATTTTCATATGATAATTGTCAGTCACTGGATTGATCTACAGTAATGATCCCCTACAAAGAAAGCAGCTGTCCTCTCAATCTGCGAGTCAGAGATAATCCCCCTCCCCTGGTGTCTCCGGCGGACCTGGCTAGGGGCGACTGACTGAGCAGTGCCCGCCTCACGCGATTGGCGGATCAAAGAATACAACCAGTTTCAGCACGCAGCAATGGTGATGGCACTGGGCTTTAGGTGGATGGAGAGAGGTTTCATTCCTGCGTCATTGCATTGGAACTCGCCAGACTTTTGCTGGACTAGACTGGCTAGCTACTGGCTCTAGACTGAACTGACTGCAGACTGCACTGGCTATCTATGCATAAGGGTCTTGTTATTGTTTGTTTACGTGGTTGATCTCGTATTCCATCCTCGTCCTTACTCTAGGTAATCATTATTCATGATGAGCAGACTCAGTATCCGTAGTGTAGGTAGGTAATACTGAAAAGGTAATCTGTCGTTTGCCTCTTGGGTCCTGAGTCTCGGCGTTGACCACTTCACCTCCATCTTCACCGTCATGTCTTCCAGGATACATACCGTAGTCATCGGCTCTTCTCCCGCTTGGCAACCAAGCCAGACTAGGATGTTGTACAGAGCCGAACTGACTTTCCTTATCGGTTTCCGTCCAAAGTCCTGCCTTGTTTGAATGCATGAGGGGGACTTGTTGATTCCAACACTTGTGACTGCCGTGATGACCCTGTGAATCAGGGTCTAGAGATGATAATACTGTAGTATCCATTTTGTATCTCAGTAGTCTATCGTGATCAGAGTCTTCTGTTTCACTGCATGCCTTTCTCTCTCTAAATCTCCCTCTCTCAGTGTCTTCCTTGGTTCCATCACATTCCTCGCACCGCTCTGTCGATCCCGGCCGAACCGGCCATGAATTTCTCGGCGACCAGTTCGTTCTGTCCTGTGCTTTCCCTTCTTTTTCCTTGGCTTCCACCTTGGCTTGTCCCAATTCTCGGGTCCCAAGTCAAGTCAAATCTCGGGTCTATTCCGTAGGAAGCCTGGGATCAGCATTTTCTTTAATACAACCAGATGCTAAGAAATAATAGATAAGCAATTATTTCGTCTAGACAGTAACGATCTGATTATCTCATTTTGTCGTCAAGACAGCCAAATCTCTTCCTTTGTTGGAAAAAGACCCAACTTCATTAAAGAGATCCACACAATATCCTGCCTCTTCTTTTTTCGCTTCCAAGTTTTTTCTTCCAAACTCTCTTCTAGAATGTCACTTATTAATTTGATCAAGGATCTTATTCACAAATAATCCGGATTTACGGATATTAAAAAGGTTTTGAATTTTTGGTTGAAATTTCATTCTAGTGTGTTGTGAATCATGGATTGATCAAGACCCTTCAACACTACGTAGCAAGAGGTCTGATCTCAGTGTATTGTATCTCTTACACTTTGCTTGACCCCTCACATGTGTCTCTCTCTAGTGTCCCTCAAGCTTATGCTTCGGAAACGTGCAACACAGACTCGGGAACGTGGTTACTTATCCCGATCACTCAAGTCTCGTGTCATGTTATGCCCGTCCGACGTTGACCAACCAGACAGAAGCCGTAATCTCAAGATGCAGACCAAAATTGAACGATTTTAACGTATGCGTTGGCATGAAAAAGATGGTGTCAGACGTGAGACTCTCATTGCTCTTCCACACACGCAGGTGAGATCTGGCTCTTATATGATACCAACTCTGGTCTACTCTGCTCGCCTCGTTTTTTATGTCTGGGGTAGTCTAGTTCCCCAGCTAAGCCAACCATGAAACGAAACCTTACTCTCGGGTCGTCTAGTGTCTTGAGATCTTGAACCACATGTTCCACATTCGTAGATGTTTTTGTTCGAGGTGGTGAAGCACTCGCATGGACTGGAGATCACAAGAGTTGATGGGAATCAATCTTCCGTGAAGGCCAATGAATGATTATAGCGAATTGATTAACGGTGGTTGTTTCATCTTACGAATGAATGTTTAATGCCTGTACAGGATAGACTACCCATGTCACGATATGCTTCAGTGCTGTTACCCTGCACTTGTCCATGTCAACAACAAAAAGTGCAGTCTAGAATTAGAACACTATTATTGTATCGTGAAAGAGGCTGAAAGTGAACGCATATGCATCTCTCGAGCCTTCATCCTTGGATCGTCAGCCTTATAATTGAAGTTTTGTTACGGTACGGTACTGCACATCAGATCACCTCCCTTCACATGTCCCGCCCGGCTGGTGATAATTCACCTCACCCGTCTTCAGCGGATATTTCCATATCACATTCCATATCGCAAACAAGCCAACTGCATAAACCCTTCCAATCCCCTCATATCACAGCACTCCATCTGAATCCTCTCCCCCTCTTTTCCCACCCAACCAAGCTCCCCCTGTGCCGCGGCAGGTCGCAGCGTACAGCTCATGATACCCAATCAATATGGCGATAGTTGAGCGGTTTGCAACCGCTTACTCACAACTCAGGTGCACTGCAGCCTCGTTTACTTTCTCATGTGGTGTACTCCGTACCTTGTTAGAGAAGTAGAGAATTGAGGAAAAAGGCAGCCACAGAGAAATGTCCTGGCTGCATGACGTCTGGGCGTCGCCTATCCTCGACCGTTCGCATGGTTCAGCATCCTGTTGTGTTTAGTTTCGTCGTTTCCCGTCTTTTGATAGTCGTTCGTTATGCTGCTCAACGGGGTTCTTGTGTCAGGCTAGTTTCAAGGAAGTTGACCCAACGTCCATAGACTCTATCTCTGTGTTCCGTAGCCAATTGAGTTGCACCTTACCTCTATTATTTGGCATCAGCCTAACAACCTCTGGCGAACCATATATACACAATAAAGTGCTGCATTCTTCTCGCTTCACAAAATCTACTCGTTCACAAGATTTGCATCTCTTACACCCTCATCGCTTGTCCTAGATCACCTCTCTCTCCTACAGGCTTACCCCTCTCCAAAGCAGGGCGAACGGTGGCGCACGATCGTCCAGCTTGCACAGCGTCCATTCACCACCATCCTGCTCGCCCGGGAGAGCCTCAATCGCCGGTTCATTGGTGGTTTAGTACTGCACATCACCTGTCGTATAAGCTGCACAACGAACGCTCTCCACACCCACTTCCCCCTGTCTGTCGTTACCCTTTTCTCAGAGCCTACTGCTGTGTAATGTGCGACCGGCCTATAGATGACAAGTAACAATAGCCTCTTTTTTCTACTTGTCGCCCGCAGAATATGAGATGCCTTGACAAGGCAGCCGATCCTGACGATTGCTTTCTTTGTTTGCGTTTGCAATGTGCAGCACAATGCCATAATATAGTTGAAGCTCAACGGGGGTCCGTGTTGATCGCCCGTCTATATCATGCTCCCATGTCCGTCTCTTCTTTTGCCTCGTCCTTCTTCTTTAGTTTTCTTCTCCGTCGATCTCTACTCTTGAATAAGGAAACCCCTTCTTATACACATTCGCCTTGTCTTCCTGTTCTGCACAACACCAATCAAGCCTGAAGCTTTGGTTCGTGAACTGCACTTGATCAACACCACTAGACATCACAAGAACTTTGCCACTCGCCTCATTTCAAGCTAAAGTTATCATCTTTCATCCCTTCATCATGTCACAAAGGTCATTCGGCGGTTCATCCGTCTACTCGAGTGACTCAACATGGACAACTACATATAAAAGGATCCCCAAGAAACAGCCCATGGCTATTCGTTTCCTCTCATGGGCTGCCGGAGCACCTTCTGGAGCCACTGCTCTAAAGAAGAGAACCAGAGACTTTGACGATGACCGTTCTGTCAGGTCTGGCGGTTCATCCTTCTCTTACTGGAATGAACCAGAAACACAACTCTACTGGGTAGCTCACCCTCATGGATACGACTACAGCGGCGGCAGCAGAGGTAGCAATGCCGGTAGCAGCCGCAGCAAGAGAAGCGGACGAAGTAGCAAGGGCAGTGGAGGTGGCTCCCGTAAACACTTTGACGGAGCCGTTCCCCGACCATCGGTACAACCTATGGGGATGCCGATGCCGATGCCGATGAACGCCGGCCCACCTCCACCTCCGGCTCCGATGGGTCCACCCATGGGCGGAGGTTTCGACCCCGGGTTCGAAGGAGGCTACGATGATGGGGTTTACGACCAAGGACAAGGTTACGATCCTGGGTATGGAGGAGGTTACTCTCCTGCCCATATGCATGGCCCTACTCCTCCTATGCCACCACCTCCAATGAACGCCCCAATGCCTGATGCCGCGCCCTTTATCAACGTTACTGGTCAAAATCAACCAGGCAATCCGTTCCAGGGAGGTCGAAGTGGTCCCCGATCAGAGAGCGAGTGGAGTTCTGACTGGAGTGATCAAGAGATGTAGTGTGTTTGTCTTTCAGACCAAGAGCGTGGTCTCTTTTACTGTTTACTGTTTAATGATTGTATATGGTATGTATGGCTAACGAATACTGGGACGGCGAATGAGGCGTTATGGGAACTCGATCATGAACAACATGGGTTGTTGATTGATTGAGCTTGTGTATAAGCATTAACGGATATGGTATCAATCCGAGTTCTTTGTTTCTTGTTATCAAGGTTTGCTTGGAGTTTACTATCTACCTAGTCATCAGATCTCCCAACGATACTGATATCTTTTTATGAATTAATGGTGTATTTCAAACCTCCCATTACCGGCAGAACAAGTGACAATGTCAATGGCTGTTATTTAAGGACGGTAAAAAGTGTTACGAACGGGCTGCAACCATGGAGAAGAGGTAATGCGGCTGAACTATCTGTATGTAGGTACAGTATAAGCCTCCATATCGTGACATCAGAGTACCATTCAACAGCCCGAATGAGTCTACGTAGTACCTGATAATTTAAATCCGAAAAAAGCCTAGGAGTTTGCCCGTCACCATCAATCCACTTCCCTACAGCAACTTCGGATTTGCGCGATGCAATACCACGACCCCCCATGTCGAAGATCCCGTCAACTATTCGACCATACGCAGTAACCAATCCCCTGTAAGTGTGCAGTGAAACACAGCCTCCGGCGACTAGTCTTAGTGGGTCCCTCCCGCTGTGACTCTTTCACCTAGAGCTTGCTTAGCCCGTATAAGTCAAAAGGTCTGGACTCAGTCATGACGACAAAGTGAATTGAAAGAATGAAAGAAATACCCTGAATTGATGTCCTTGTTTTTGCAGTATCGTCAGACGCAGGCCTAACTTAGTTGGTAGTGCAAAACGTTGCGGTCTGGGATGCCGATGCAGTCATCCTGTAAAGGGTTGTACTGCGCATGCAAGTATTTTGCTTCATCCAATCCGATATCGTGAATTCTGGTCTGCTGAATGGAAGAGGCAGCCGAGCAGTTCCCAAGAAGGTTTCAGTGCGTGGGCGGTCACATACAGCCTCAGATGATATCACCAATTGTCTATTATGTTGTTAAGCCGGCACGTCCAATTCGAGTTAACATGGCGAGTAATTGAAGTCATCACGAGCCAAGCAAAGTCAACGACATGCCACGGCCTCCGCTGTTAAACGATATTCAACATAAAGATGCAGTAAAGTCAATTCATAGACGCCTGTTTCCAACCAGTAACAAAGAATTCTGCGTTTGTGCTCCCTTGAAATCAGTGGACCAAAGACCCTGCTGCCTAGTGATGCCTAATCTTGAGACGACAATCATCATACCTTCCAACTAATCGGAAATGTCAATTCAGGTTCACTTTTACCCCACAGTTCAAAAGAAGGCCGGGGACGGGACTTTGTGCTAACGTTACGACTTGAGGCTGAGGCGAAAGATGGCCCAGAATAAAGTCAAACTCTGTCGGGCTGTGAGTCAGTAGGTCAGTCAGGGGAGGAAACTGCGATGGGCTGGGCTGTAAGGCTGATGGCGCACCACTAGCAAAATGCATGTGCGGGCATGCATATGGATGCCTCTTTCTTCGCTAGTACAGACGTTACGTATTACCCATCATCATCATCACTCTCCATTATAAAAGCGTACTTTCCTTTCCTTTTATTTTTTTCTTCTTTCATTCAACCTCATCTCTTGTCTTCTTCCAGGCTTGAGCTTGACTTCGACTCTTATAATTCTGGTGCAACAGTACAGTACTATAACAGCTTACACAACCTGGCTGTTATACCACAATCTACCTCACTACCAAGTATATCCTCCATGTTAGGATCACTTGTTTTTCTACAGCGCATTTCGACAGTCGACAGCATGGCCTCCCTTAATTCAACAAGTCCCGGCGTGGACGAGTCGCCTTATCCCAAGGCCCCTTCACAGTTCGCCATCCTCGACTTTATCTTCCCGGGCTTTTCTACCTTCTCTAGCATCCTGCATGCGTATCTAGGTATCGACCTCAACGTCTACCTCCCTCTACTTCTCATCGTCTCAGGGGTTATCTTTGTCTGGAACTACATCACAGAGTATTCCTGGAACATCATGAGAGGGTACCTTATGTCAAGCGTTCGCATCAAAACTGATGATGAGATCTATAACATTGTCATGGCATGGGTCGCCAACCAGAAGTTCGCTCAAGGCTCGCGCCGCTTTATGGTCAACACCAATATTTCCTCCCGGAGTTGGTTCCTCTTCCGTTGGGATGACGAGGACGATGATGACGAGGGTCGAGGCGGTCCCAGCAAGAAGCCTCTCCAGTACACTCCCTCTGTCGGATCCCATTTCTTCTGGTACAGGGGCCAAATGCTTCTCTTCGAACGCCACGAAAACCGAGACCGTAGCCTCTTCTCTTCTAGTTCCAGCGAGGAACTTTCCATCTCTTGTTTCGGTCGCAACCCACGCATCATCAAGGAGCTCCTCCTCGATGCTCAAGACCAGTACCTGAAGAAAGATGAGAAGCAGACCGTCATATACCGTGGCGCTATGGGCACAAACGGGGGTGAACCGTCATGGCAGCGTTGCATGAGTCGAGCCAGCCGTCCTATCTCTACAGTCATCCTCGACGAAAAGACCAAGAAGGAGCTGGTTGAGGATGTGACAGATTATCTGAACCCTAACACTCGCCGCTGGTACTCGAATCGTGGTATCCCCTATCGCCGCGGTTATCTTCTCTATGGACCCCCTGGTACTGGAAAGAGTTCGCTCAGTCTTGCCTTGGCTGGTTTCTTCCGCATGCGCATCTACATGGTCAGCCTGAGCTCTGTCATGGCTACTGAAGAGAACCTGGCAACTCTTTTCGCCGAACTCCCTCGTCGCTGCGTGGTACTCCTGGAAGATATCGACAGTGCTGGCCTTACACACACTCGTGAACCGACCAAGGCAGAAGGCACAACAGAGGCTGCAGTTCCTATCCCTGCCGCCCCTAGCCAGCCCGGTGCCCCTCCTGCTGGAGCCCCCACACTTCCTGGCCGCCTCTCTCTATCTGGTCTTCTTAACATTCTTGATGGTGTTGCATCCCAGGAGGGCCGCGTCCTCATCATGACTACCAACCACCTGGAAAAGCTGGACAAGGCTCTCATTCGACCTGGTCGTGTTGACAAGATTGTCCAGTTCGGTCTGGCTGATGCTGACATGAGTGCTTCCATCTTCCGCGCCATCTACGCCCCCTATGACGGAGAGGATGTCAACGTCGGAGAATCCAAGACCAAATATCTTGACCCTGAAGAAGAGAAAAAGCAGGTCGCACTCGCCGAAAAGACTCGCCTTGAGACTATGGAGTGTGTTAATAAGCTGGCTACCAAGTTCGCTGCCGCGATCCCCGAGCTCCAATACAGCCCTGCAGAGATTCAAGGTCTTCTCCTCAAGAACAAGCGCAACCCTGAGGCAGCCATCGAAGCTATTGATGAGTGGATCATCGAGACTGGCAAGGAGAGAAAGCAGAAGGAGATCGAGGACGCGGAGAAGCGTCAGAAGGAGGAAGCCGCGGCTCGCAAGAAGAAGCGCAAGGAGGAGCGCAAGAAGGCTAAGAAGGCCAAGGCTAAAGCCAAGCGTAGAAGCAACGGCGAGAGCTCTGGTTCTGATTCTGATTCCGATTCTGACTCTGATTCTGAGACTGAGGTTAAGACCGACGGCAAGAAGGATGAGGATAAGAAGGACAAGAAGGACGAGAAGTCTGAAGAAAAGCCCAAGGAAGTCGAGGCTGGAGCGGAAGAGAAGAAGGATGTCAAGGGTGAAGAGTCTGCTGGAGAGTCTAAGCCCAAGGGCACCTCGGATTCTGGTTACGACACCCCTAATCCGGTTTCATGAGTAACACGAATACACACGACGGCATTGGATTGGAGTTTTGGAATTTAACTATCATATCATTGGGTCAAAATCCTCAATTAGAATAGTTTCTTTGGTAGTCAGCGAAATACAAGGTTTTGCAGAATGAACTCCCTGGCTCCCTCTTTGCAACGTGAAGCGTCAGATATTGGCATACCATTGAGTTTGAATTCTAGCTTACGCAGTGCAAACAAGTACGGCACTGATAAGAAAATCAGGTGAGCGAACACGAGAGATGACAGGCATTGTTAGCTCCGGCAAAGAGATGAGATCGATGACAATGTCGGTTCCATGCCAGGGGTGTGAGATCTCCATCGGTTAGATCGCATGGGCCGAGCAGAATACGGGGAAGGAGAAGGAAAAGCAAACTCCACGATCGAGACTGTACAGTATTCGCATAGAATCGCAAGGCTGGTCTGTGACATGACGTATTCGCAGCGAGTTTGATGCTGCATGGGTAAAGCTATCCGCGGGCTATGCAAAGCAAGGCAAGGGATGAGATGAGATGCTGCGATGTGGCTTACATCCTGAAGAGACTAGGTATATTCGGATAGGATCTACCCGAATAAGAGCGTGGAAGCGAAGACGATAGATGAAATGCAGTAAGACGGTGTTTACCAAATACTCCAACTCCCAGACATGATATCGTAACCGGGTTTGACACTCTATACCTTGATATATGGCTCACCTACGAATGCGGTAGCATTACGGCCCGTATCCGCAGATAGGTACGTATCGGTCAAGACTCCATCGAGTACCCTTGAGCGATAATTAACAGATTCTGAGATGCATGAAGAGCTGCACGTTGATTATCTTAGGTGGAATCGGCCGGACTAAGACACCAAAGCGTATAAGTTTCGGGAGAGTTGGAGCTGACTAGGTTGATCTGAGTTAGAAAGACCCACGCCGAGGAACGGAATGCGGCGGTTTTGGGGCTGAGCGATTGATAAAAGTTGACGTCGTCACAGACCAGGGACGTAAGAGCAAGTGTCGTACATGAGGTAAGGAACAAACCGGAGGATGATGTTGAATATGGGGCATATTGGTGATTCCTCATGGTGTTCTGGTAGGCTGGGAGTCGGTAAGAGTTTTGGAAAGACTCACGCCATGAAACATCGCAAGTGTGAATGCAATTGACAAGTAACTAGATACTGTGTAAGCCGCATAACAGAGAGAAACAGCCGTCAGAATACTATGTACCATCCGGGCTGGCCTCAACGCCTAACCTTAGGGTAGGCCAGCATGTCATGTAAGACCTCTCTGTCTGATCAGGGCTATGACGAAAACACCGAACTCGAGATATGCGATTTCGGAGGGTTTATATGTTGGCATTCATTACGTCTTTACCCTCCGATAGCCTGTCAGCCTATCTAAGCTGGAACGGCAAATAGAACCCGGAAGGAAGAATCACAAGCATGCATGGAGTGGGACATGAGCGATATAGATGCTCTAGTTTGATAGTTTAGTAAATAGCCCGGTAGACATATACTTGCCATTGCTGAATCTCATGAAAAGTATGGCTTGCGCAGCGTCGCATCGGCACAGAGTATCACGGGCTGTGGTTAAAGAGCGCCCATGCAGGTACAGAGTAACCAAGTTTGAAGATTATCAAGAGCCGTTGACTGAAGATGGATGAAAGATTTCCAAAAGGGTTAGTGCCGGTGAGGCAACGGCCCCTGTCTGTTTTAGCGGGTAGTCCCTGGAAAAGCACGGCCTCTGGGTTCTGGGCCTGAACTAATGTACTGCAGAAAACTAAACTTCCCTTTGCCTTCCTTTTTTTCTGTGGAGTTCTTTTTATGTTGTGGCAATGGAAGCAATTGACTTTTGTTCATCTACGAACCGGAGTGTCAGATCGGAAAGATTTGCTTCCTTGTGGCCACATATACATTAAAAATGTTAAGGAAGTACTAAGGTACTGTACCTGACTTGTCTTGTACTCCCGTGGTGTAGATCTGTTTGGTTCATGAAACATTTACAAGGCAAGAACAAGCGAATAAGCCAGTCTCAACAATTGCTTTGAAAGCTATTGGATAAGCACATGGATTATAGCCACCTACAACTGGGATCTACTAAAAGGATTTCCTTGCCTTGATTAATTTATATTACCCCAATGTCAACAGATTGCCCATGTTCATGGAAAATCAACTAGTCGATAGTAAATAAGCCCCTTGTCGTGTTCGTGTTTCCAACAGTAACCTACAGTTGCAGCACTCACCGGGACACTCACCTACTGTGACTTATACCCGTCTAAGTCCCACCAATTAGCGGCTATTAATCCACTCCCACCACAACAATCCTAAATTGGACGGGGAAGAGATAACTTAGTTGCAGCCCAGTACGTATATTTTATTGCCCCTGGAAGTAGCAGCAGTAGGTAGCAGTAGAGACAAGATGGCTGCAGAAACAAGGAGCGGGAAGCGGGAGGGATAATAAGTCGGCAGAAGAAAAAGAAAGGTGAGCTGAGGTGAGGTCATGATGGCAGATGGATAGGCGCTTAAACATGATCTCGAGTCATTACGGCATGGCTCGGTGAAACTCGCCATGATGAGAGGTTTCTATCTAGGAATCCATTATATGAGAGAACAATACAGAGTGCAACAAGAACAATAGTTGTCAGACGGTCCAAGCTTCTCTCACCTCAATATCAATGCGCAGTAGACGGGGGATACCCTCTCTTTCTTTCATCCCATCATGACCATGATCCAAGTATACCCATGACCTTAACAACACAGCAACTTGAAGTCTCGAGCCAATCCAATTACACGACAAGTCAACAGTGCAGTGGAAAAAGGCAAAGGGCGGTGAAAAACTTGATACCTGTGAACCTAACTAAGTCGCCCAACAACAGCAGGTCCAGTCACTCGTTTCACCCCGCCGAGCCAGGCCTTGCAGTCACACCCCTACCACTGTACCTACTGCAGAATTGATCCATCCCCAACTCTGAAGCCTGTCCTGTACCTAAACTAGACCTCAAGATCCAATCTCTCTTTAAGTGTGTACCTTACCTCAAAGCAACGACACGACACCTCACACTTTGAGAACCCGCAATCTCGCGCATTCGTTCCGGGTACCCCCTTCCCTTGTCGACTCTGCTCTGCTCTGCTGGTCTGTCTGCTACTCAACTTATTATAAGTTATCTCCACATCCTCTTCCTCTTTCTCAACTTCTCTTCCCATCTTTTCTCTTTGTCCTCTTCCTCTTCCTCCCCCACCAACCGATTCCTCCCCCCAAGTCTATCATCATGTCTGCCCGTCCTCAGAACATTGGCATTAAGGCCATTGAGCTTTACTTCCCCAGCCAGGTAAGCAAAGGTCCCAGATCCTTCCCCCCTTATGCTGTGTTGCATGCTCAACAACCTCAATGCCTGCATCCTCATGTCGTGCTGCTGAGGAATTGTTGTCGTTGAATATTGCCCCTCACCCAAACTTTTTAGCAGGGACAGAAAAAAAAAAAAGTTCCTGCGTTATTCCTCTCGTGTTCGGGTTCCTGGTCGTGTGCCCCTCCATTCCCAAGATTGTGCCCCTCTATCCAGACGCTCGAAACGCCTCTTTTTGAATGACGACCCTGGCTAACCACAATTTTACTTGCTTTTAGTATGTTGATCAGGTTGAGCTCGAGAAGTTCGATGGCGTTAGCGCCGGAAAGTACACCATTGGTCTTGGCCAGACCAAGATGAGCTTCTGTGACGATCGCGAGGGTAAGTTTGTCCTGTCCCTCACCGTCCCCTGAAAAGGCGATCTTTTTAGCGCGGATGCGCCAATACTACCTTCACCGCGTCCTGCGAAAACTCCATGGTCATGATGGTATTGAATCACCGCTAACTGGTGTTTCCCTCTAGATATCTACTCTTTCGCTCTTACCGCTACCTCGAAGCTCCTCAAGAACTACAACGTCGACCCCAACTCGATTGGTTTCCTCGAGGTTGGTACCGAGACTCTTCTTGACAAGTCCAAGTCGGTCAAGAGTGTTCTTATGCAACTCTTTGGAGACAACACCAACATCGAGGGTGTCGACACCATTAACGCCTGCTACGGTGGTACCAACGCTGTTTTCAACGCCATTAACTGGGTTGAGTCTTCCGCTTGGGACGGTCGCGATGCTATTGTCGTTGCTGGTGATATCGCTCTTTACGCCAAGGGCAATGCTCGCCCCACTGGTGGTGCTGGTGCTGTCGCCATGCTGATCGGCCCCAACGCCCCTATCGTCGCCGAGCCCGGTCTGCGTGGTACCTACATGCAGCACGCCTACGATTTCTACAAGCCCGACCTTACCAGCGAGTACCCCTACGTTGATGGTCACTACTCCGTCAACTGCTACACCAAGGCTCTTGATGCCGCCTACCGCGCTTACTGCAAGCGTGAGGCTAAGCAGGCCAATGGCACCAACGGCGTCACCAACGGTGACGACTCTACCAAGACCAGCCTCGACCGCTTCGACTACCTTACTTTCCACTCTCCTACCTGCAAGCTTGTCCAGAAGTCTTACGCTCGTCTCCTCTACCATGACTACCTCGCCAACGCTGACGCTCCCGCCTTTGCTGAGGTCGCTCCTGAGCTCCGTGACATGGACTACGAAAAGTCCCTGACCGACAAGGTTGTCGAGAAGACCTTCATGACTCTCACCAAGAAGCGCTTCCAGGAGCGTGTTAACCCTGCCATCCAGGTTGCCACCAACGTTGGTAACATGTACTGTGGCAGTGTCTGGGGTGGTCTGGCCAGTTTGATCAGCGTTGTCGACAACAAGGATCTTGAGGGCAAGCGAATCGGTGTCTTCTCCTACGGCTCCGGTCTTGCTGCCAGTTTCCTTTCTTTCCGCATCAACGGTAGCGTCGAGAAGATCTCCAGCGTTTTGGACATCCCCTCTCGTCTCGAGGCCCGCCGTGCCGTCCCCCCTGAGACCTACGACCAAATGTGCGACCTCCGAAAGCAGGCCCATCTCCAGAAGGACTACACCCCCAAGGGTGACGCCTCCACCATCATCCCTGGTACTTACTACTTGACCAAGGTTGATGATATGTTCAAGCGCGAGTACGCTATCAAGGAGTAAAAAGCTCCATACGAAAGCCAAAACACTTCTACTTCTCGCCCACCTATTTAGGTGCGAGACCTTTTTGCTTCTAGACCTGTCGACAGACACGAACAGGTCAAAAGCATATCATGAACATGATGATTACAACGGGAGAAAACTAGACGCATTGGAAGAGGATTACAGCGGATGACGATAGAAGCGCATCTCGCGTGGCGGAGACCGAACCGAGATCCCCTAATTGAGCCAGCAATGATGGTCATTGTGAGCTTGTGTATTTAACGGGATGCGGTCTCTCCTGGAAGATATATCAGGAACCTCAAGGCCCATAGACAAGGTCGATTGGTGCTTAGAAGAAGAAATTAGCAATTTTTGGAATATAGAAAGAAACCTATTCCCAAACAACTGAGTACACTGTGACATCTCTAATTCGTGTCCATTTAAACATCTAGCAATCTTCTGCCGACATTCAAACATATCCTCATCCTCTCTGACTTGTCTCTAAATGATCTTACATAGCTCTATTTCATATTCTTACACAAACATGGGTATCCATCTATTTTTCCTCCTTGTACTTCCACTCGGCATGTCGGTGGAGCATGTAGTCCTTGCTCTGGATGCCCTTCCAGATGCCGTAAAGGCCACCCAGTGGGGGCTTGCTCTTGAGAGAGCGCTTCCACTTCTGGCGTTCTTCCTTTCGCGCCTCAACGTCGACCTTGACCTTGTCGTGAACAGTGGGCAGTGTCTCGGCGTGGTACTTCTTTCGTAGATCATCATACCATTCTCGTCCGTACAGCTTCCAGAACTCCTCTTCATTGTAGTAGGTGTGCGCGTAGAGCCACTTGAGACCACCGAGCTCAACGAGCTTGTCCTCGAGAGCACGGTTCTTAGCAACGAATTCCTCTGGGTCGGCGGGACCCCAACCCCAAAGACCAATGTTCAGGGATGGAGGGGTGGTCACAGTACCGTCAGCAGCAGTGATTGTCTCGCCGGTGTGAGGGTGGAAGGTTGGGGGAGCAGTCTGCTTCAAGGGGCAAAGCCAGAGGGGCCAGATGTTGAGGTTCTCAGCAGTGTAGTCAACGAAGGTCTCGGCAGTCTTGTAAGGAAGACCAAGATCCTGGACAATGAAACGTGCAGATTCACCGCTGCCATGGAGAGCGCGGTACAACATGCGTGTGTGCAGAAAATCGTCGAGGAACCAGCGGAAGAACTTGGTGAACGGAACGCCCTTGAAATAGGTGAATGCAGCTGCTCCAACCCAGAAACCACCCCGGTCATAACGGAAGAAGTACTCAGCGAGAGGGATGTAATCGACAGGAGAAGACGAGGCAGATTCGGCGGTGACAGTGGGACCAGCAGAAGGGACATTACGAGTGCGATCTTGGACGTGGAGGTAGTACCAAGGATCCCAAGCACCACTAAAGGTCTGGGGCTTGATATCGGCAGGTTTATCATCAGTCAGGGTACCAGTAACGACGACACCATGATCCTTGGAGAAAAGGATACCGTCGACGTAGTCGTTGGAAGGATTCTCGGTTTCGGCGCGAATACGGGCAACAGCTTCGGCGACGCTGCTGGTTCGGTGGTAGGTCGTCTTGACGAACTTCTTAGCTTCCTGCAGCTGAAGCTCGAGAAGCGTCGTCATGCCCAAAGATCCAACAGCTCCAGCAGCACCACGGAACAGATCAGCATTCTCCTCCCGCGACGCCTTGACAACCTCTCCGTTTCCAAGGATCATCTCCGCCCAATTGACCGTATCGTTAAAGAATCCATGCTTGAACGAGGAACTTTCGCCCGCTGTACCCGCAAAACCTCCTCCAGCCGTAATACCAGGAAACTCCATAACAACAGGTGGCACAAGACCGTGCTTCAGCGTACTCTCAACAAGCTTATCCATGGGCACATTAGGCTCCACAAGAGCTGTGCGAGTCGCCTTGTCGACCTGGAGGACATTGCGAAGGGCGCTGATATCGACAACGGGCTTGCCTGTGTTTTGGGGCCGTGTGCTGTTCGTGCTGCCGTGAAAGATGCGGTAAGGCTCTTTGCGCTCGAAGAAGCCGCGGACGGCCGAGGCGATGGAAGTGACGGCCTTCTTGTGGCGCTCCATGTTTGTGTCTTTGTCCTCGACGACGTCGTTTTTGGAGACGGCGTCTTGAGGTTGATCATGAGAGATCAGCGACATTGCGGATTAAAAGTTTGGTGGGTCCCCCCGTTGCGGGCCGGTTTTCGGGGATCGGTGGAGGCGGAGCCGAAGATGAAAGAGCAATTGTTGTATATATGAAACAATTGATTTTTACGAGAGTTGATAAAACCATTGACGGGTTGCAGAAAGATGTTGGGATTGATTGTGTAAGTCTCGGCTTTGGTACGTTCCGAACGTCCCGGTTGATTGAGTTTCAGTTGCTAGGGAGGGCTCGTGTAAGTAAGACAAACGCTACCCTGGATTTACACCAAATAGTTGAATCATACGATATGATATGTTAATTAGAAAGCAATATATACATAGCAGATTGATGAGCAAAACAACTCCTAACGCCTCATTCGTAACGTTGTGGTATAATCACCCCCTTATGCGCCGCCCATGTACACATACCAATAGCTAGATACCTATAGCTTCGCCATTGGAATTTCTCCTTCTGAATCTTCCAATCCTGTCTTATGTAAAACCCTTTGTCTGAAATCCTCTTCTGAAGCATCGCTCAACTCATCGAACTTCAATGGCACCTCCTTGCCTGATTTGGACTTGATCAAGACAGCACTTGACTTGATGTTATCAGGATTCTCAACCACTGCACTTATAAAAGATGCCCATCCTTTGTAACATCGTGGGGTAGAAGGCGCATTTCGTAGCATCATCGCAAAGCAATGAGGCATACCCTCATACTCCTCAAATACCACTTTCACTCCGTCGGCTTCGAGTTTGCGTGCAAGGTACTTATCCTCGTAGGCAAGAATCTCCCAGCCTGTACAGAGGTAGATAGGCGGTGCCCCTTTCCAGCTCTGTGCCATGACGAGCGAGGCCATAGGGTGCGCCGCAATATCATCGGCAATGTACAAGTTGCGCCTTGGTGGATTAGCCGGCCACGCCTCACAGGGAGGTATCGTGAGCTGATCCATGGTCTCGGGCTTGGGCAGGTAGTCGAACTTGGTCTCTGTGGATGTTTCCCAGGTCGGAGAGCTTTGTGTAACATCGAGCCATGGAGAGTTTAGTGCTAGTCCAGCTGGTAAAGGAACTTGGCGTAGTTCGCCATGCCAGAAGATCGGAGTTTCGTGCTTGCGGAGTTCAAGGATGAGTTGAAGTAGTGCGAGTGAAAGATTGCCGCCGGCACTATAAGTTCTCAGTCAGTACTTGTGATACAAAAAGCCAGGTGGATATTAGACTCGAGACATACCTGTCACCAGCAATAACTATATGCTCCGGTTGCACAGGGTCGTGGTAAGCATCTGGAGGTGGATATAATAGTGTGAAGTAAGACACAAAAGCATCCAGCAACGCCGAAGGGAATGGATGCTGTGGTGCAAGACGATAGCGCACAGAGTAGCACCGACCACCCGTCAACTGCGCAAGCTTCTTGGTCGTAGGACGATGTGTAGCAGGGTCACAGAGATAGTAAGCGCCGCCGTGCAAGTACAGCACAGTTGTTGGTTTCTTGCAGTCTTGCATCATGCCGTGATACCTCTCCCGTTCCGATACGTCAGGCAACGGAGCGTTACGGCTCACACCGCTCCGATAACCGGTCCATTCGGCCTCAACATTAGCAAACTTGGGAACAGGAATTCGGCAGGTGGACCCTCCGGTGTGTTCCAGGGTAGCGATGAGGGCATCACGAATTGCTGTCTCGGGAGGTGGTGGACTGGTATATTTGCTGACCCAGATGTGACCCTTGATTCCTGGGTCGCGAAGAGTAAGTGCTTGGACGGCCGATATACTACGAGGAGTTTTTGGTGTGAGTATAACGCGAAGACAGGCGATTATAAGGGCGCTTCGAAGGTCGAGGTATTTTGATGAGTCGGATAGGTGAAGGACGTGTAAGAAGGATTGGCGGACAATAAGGGGGAGTAACGGGACAATTGTCCGTACTGTTTCGAGATTCATCTTGGTGGTTGTATAGAGTTATTGGAGAGTAGAAGGAGTTGTAGGAGTATATATAGTTGTAGTTCCAGTGTGAACGAGTAATGATGTAAGTGATTAGAGCATCAGTGAAAAGTTTTGACACTTGCAAAGCACTGCATCAACACCATATATACAGAGAACAAAACTAGATCCTCGTAAAGAATCGAATCGGGAAGGTGTGTTGGCAATAGAAGGGATAGTAGAATAAAGAGAATAGCGGAAGAGTCGTCGTACAATACCGAGTTATAAGTCAACAAAGAGTCGGTAATCCCCGGACACTCGAATGCAATACCTTTCCCCACGCCAAGGCCAATCGCAAGTTCTCGTTTTAAGATTTGAAATCGCGGTCAAATTTCATGTTCGGGTATGGGTGCTTTCTAGGATATCCATGACACTTGTTGCTTTGCCACTTTTGTAAGTGTGTGGTGTGGTTACCCAGAGGAAGCCTTGGTTTCTTCTGAACAGCAGAGTATCCAATATTGACAACGAGATATGTATGCAAAGACAACAAAGATGCAAGCAAAAGCCACAAGTTACGCAGAAAAGAAGAGCCAATTAGTAGAATCTACAGTCCTGCAGCTGAAAGAGGAGCAGGAGGAGGAGGAGTTGACAGGCTATTTCGACAAGCCTCGGCATAGAATATGGGGCCATCTGCACCCAACCCAAACCAAAACCAACGTAACGTCCGGGAAGTTTTAGGTTGTCCATCCTTACAGTGACGTCGAGAATGGCAGTTTCTGCTAACTAGCGCTACAGATACTCAAATGGGCATCCTCGGTAATTAGACAGGACGAATATCTGGAGCCCAATATCGAGATATTAGTATAGACATTCCAGCTTCCTTTTAGGTCTTTCAGAAAACCCCGGAAAACAAAAAGATTGCAGCGGTCAATGCGTTGGCATGCAGTCTGTTAGTGGTGATGTTTTCTAGACTCCATCCCAAAATGGTAATTCTTGCGGAAACCTCTATTGATGTTGCATCCAGACTTAGCAGGGGGATGCATGTAAGCGCGACGCAAGCGCAAGCGAGAAACCGATTAGACAAAGTGGACAAAAAGGAAAACAACCCCTTAGCGCAAGCCTTTAATTCAACCTTTGACTCTGGTATATCATGCTGCAGAAAACACATATGTGGATCATCACGGGATTGCAGTACGTATGTATAGGCACTATATGTCTTACATACCCCGAATGTTTGTTTGTTCACGATAGTACGGATGATACAGATACAGTATTTATGTTCCAAATTGACAAATGTGTAATATGATGTAACGCTATAATACCTTCTCGCAACACAAAAATGCCCGATCAAGTAACCCCGTATTAACCCAAAACTATAGATGCGTAAAATACTGTACAATTAAGTGAACTAAGCTTCAGAACTTTTTCAAGAGCTTGAGCTCGCTCCGGCCTTGGTCTCATCGGCCTTGACCTGAGTCGAGGACGTATCATTCTGGTTAGCCATGGCCATCTGCCAGGCGGGAATGGCCTTCTTGCCTGACATGTTGGCAAGAGGCGAAGATGAGCGGTTGAGCTGAGGAGCAGAGGGGAATGTTGGCTTAGGGATCTCTGCGGCAGGGGTAGTAGTGGCAGACTCAACCGTGGCCTTCTCCCCACTGGTCTTTGCCGCAGGGGTAGAGGCAGCGGGAGTGGAAGCAGCAGCAGGAGTAGTTGCGCTGCCACCTGCGTTTCGCATGTAGTTCATGGTTGAAGAGGGAGTTGTGGCGCTGGGGGTGGTCATGCGCTGAGAAACCAATGTCTTGAGGCTGGTAAGCTCAGTATTGATCTCGCGCAGGCGACCATCAGTCAGGGACTTCTGGTTCTCGAGAGCCTTGGGAATCGCGTCCTTGAGAGATTGGACCTCGTCCCTGATTCGGGTCGCATCGTCCTCGCGTCGTCGGTTGGCAGCCTTGAGGTCGGTCATAACTGTCTCGAGGTCTGCGATCGCCGCGTCAAGCTTCTCAGTTCGCTCCTTTTCGGCATTCTTCAAGCTCTCTGTATCCTTTGCTAGCTGTTCAACTAGTGTGAAAGCTCGGTCGAATTGGTCCTCAATCGATTTCTTATCCTGTTCCAACTTCTCCGGTGTCGGAGGTGCAACCATAGGGTATACGTAGCGCTGGTCACATGTTAGCCAATGTCGTGATACAGTCGCGCGTTCTAATCCATACCTTTCCGAGCTCGTAAAGACCATAGGACACTCCTCCGACTACAGTAGCCATAATGAACCAATCCCTCCAGTCCCGGCGGGGAGGAGGTGGTGGCGGCTGCCAGGCATGTTGTGCATAGGGGGGATAGTATTGCTGATTGGAAGGAGGGCCAGCTGGAGCGCTTTGATAAGGCGCAACAGGAGCTGCTGAGGGTGCGCTGCCGCCTGTTCGCGACAGCGCGGCGTCGATTTCTTCTTGGGTCAAGTTCTTGCTTCGAAGGAACGATATGCGACTTTCGACCGAGGATGACGCGACGCTAGGATCTTGTAGGACTGTGATGGGTTAGTTGGCGCATTCGGGCGCACTATCGCGAAAGTACTACTGACATTGAATCTATTCAGGAGTTAGTATTGACGGTTTCCAACAAGCTGCCTGCGTGGCTGGGAAGAAGGGATACTCACAGCAGAGGTGACTAGATCCTCGCGGATAGACATGATTGATGATGTTAAGCCGTCAGACGGCTCTCACCTCATCAGTTAAGTCGCAATGGAGAAGTTGTAAGAAGGAACTGCTAAATAAACTTGACCGATGATGATGGAAATGTTAAATGCATGTGCTTGTCTGCGGAGGCCGGACCGTGGAGTTCAAGAACGTGGAGGCGTGGAGTAAAGTCGGGAGCGTGACCGATCTGGACCGAGGCTTGCTCTGAGCTGCCGAAGTACGTACCTGCCGACCATACAAAACGGTTCCCGTCTCCCCTGCCGTCAATTGCATGAGACTCCAAATGCGATCACGTGCGCTATCGATTGAAGTCCCACTTTGCCAGTTCAACGCGACTCCACCTGCGACCACGTTAGAAACCTTGAGCCAATTAGATTGAGTACATGGTTTGTTTACTTTCCTCCCAAGCAACAGTTTTGTAACGCCCAATCTCCCGTATCTCAATTAGACGCCTTACCCATTTTCACATCCCACCTTGCATCAACACCAACAACGATAATCCGCCCGCGCATACCACGACTCACAATAATCACTTACACTGCGCATTCGCATCATTGCTGTCGCATAGAGTTCCTTTCGTCAGAACATGTCCCAAGATACGGGCCTTTGGAGCGTCCGAAGACCCAGAGAGGTGCGACATCCCGACACTTTCTACCACTTTATGCGCCACTGGTAGAACGTTATTTATACTTCAAACTGGATAGTTTTCTAACTCCCGACATAGACCCTTGGAGGTATTAGTGCAAACACCGCCATTCCTCAGCCCGGCTCGACTATGAAGCGATCCAGTTCGAATATTGGTGGTAACTACCCAGGCAGCCATGTGCGCTCCATCTCGGGATCTAGGCATTCCCTTGCCATGCCGCGCCCAAGCCAGCCCATGTTTCAACGGTCATCGTCTGGAACAAATCTTCAAGACATTGGTCTTTCTTCCGTGAAGCGCTCCTCGTTCGCACCGAAATCGACCTTCACTCCAGGACCCGCCGCCGCCAAGCGAGCTTCAACTGATGGCGATCGACGAAGTAGCGTATACCGACCTCGTCAGTCTACTGTGCCTGCGGCTAGTCACCACCAGAGCTTCTTCCAGACGACACCTGCGCCTGCTGGCGTACCCCGCGATCCGCGACCTCTAAAAGACCGATCTTTCCAGGCTCGAATTGGACAGGAGATTATGGAATACATGGTCCAAAACAATTTTGAGATGGAGATGAAGCACGTTCTTTCACAAAACGTTCTAAAATCGCCGACGCAAAAAGACTTCAACTATATGTTCCAGTGGCTTTATCATCGCATCGATCCTAGCCACAAATTCCAAAAGAATATTGACCAGGAGGTCCCTCCTTTACTGAAGCAGATGCGATACCCATTCGAGAGGAGCATCACCAAGAGTCAAATTGCTGCTGTCGGAGGACAGAATTGGTATACATTTCTTGGCCTACTTCACTGGATGATGCAGCTCGCTCAGATGCTCGATGGTTACGTGAACTGCCAGTACGACGAAGCTTGTATGGAGGCCGGCATTGACGTTAGTGGAGACCGTATTATTTTCGACTTTCTCAGCAATGGTTACCGAGACTGGCTAGCCATGGACGAAGATATGGGGGATGAAGAAGCTGAACGTGTTTTGGCGCCCCATGTTCAATCCATGGCAGCCGCTTTCCAGCGATCGAACTCAAAGTACACGGAGGAACTCGAAACGCTTGAGGCTGAGAACGCCCGACTGTTAAAGGAAATTGAGGATCTGGAAAAGTCAACGCCGGACCCCGCAGTTCTCGATCACCACTTCAAGATTATGGAAGAGGACAAGATCAAATTTGAGGAGTACAATGCGCTGGCGATGCAACGTTCCGAAAAGTACGAGAGCCGGTCTCAAGTGCTACAAGAAGAGCTCGACAAACTCTTGGAAGAACTTCACGAAGCCGACGAGGAGAGACGTAGCCTGCAAAAGGCGGTCGATGCTCAAGGAATCAGTATGCAGGATATTGACCGCATGACTGCGGAGCGAGAGCGATTGCAGAAGGGCATTGAGTCCGCGGGTGGACGATTAGAGGAAGTGAAGAAGAAGGTGTCAGAACGAGAATCAGAGGCGAGCCGAAAACTGGATGAGCTGGAGCAGATGGTTGATCGATACAACACAATGGCGTACCAGATCGCACTGATCCCCTCAACAGCTGCCAATGCCAAGGGCAGGGAGTTCGAGCTTCAAGTCATGGTTGCTGATAATTCCGACTTCACTTCATCCATTATGAAAAGCTCATCGGGCCCATCATCAGCAGACCGTCTTCTAGTCGATCCCACTACAGGTTACCAAGCGGGCCACATTCTCAACTTGGACCTTCGAGGTCAAATCCGTAACAGCTTCTTGTCGCTGCGTAAAGAGATCTCAGATCGACGAGCTACAGCGATGGAGGAGATGATGAAGGATCACGACCTGCTAGATGGCATCAAGGAGGCCATTGAGGATAGACGCAGCGAGGTTGAGGCTCTCAATCATCGCGTTCGTGCAGCTGAAGAGGAGTACGAAAAGACAAAGGAGGTAACAACAGCGCAAAAGCTGGCCTCTGATGCTCACATCGAGAAGATGGAGAAGGAGCTGTCCCGCATGCGTGCCGGTTTGTCCGAGAACGTTCAGATTCTGGAACAGCGCGAAATCAACACAACAATTGAGTAAGTGAAAACCCAACTTGTACCTTGGATGACAGCCACTGACCAGGTCATCAGATATGAGCAGCTTGTGCTTCAGGCCAACGCTCTTCGAGAGGAGCTTCATACGGAGATTGACCGAATGCTCAACGATGTCATCAAGTTCAAGATCCATGTCCAGAAGAGTCTTGACGACTATGAAGGTTTCGTAACAGAAGAACTCGAAAAAGAGCTCGGCAGCGACGAGATGGCCGAAGATACTCGGCAAATCGATATGTAATGATGGCTACGTATGAAGCAATCTTTCAAGACGCTTATGATGACGATTAATGTTCGGGCGGCCTTGTTTGTTTTTCGGCGTTCGGCTGAGATGATGGACTGTGCGAAGGGGATGATGAGTTGGACACGATTGCGCCTGGCTGGTCCGTGTCTATATTACGCTTCTTCTTCTTCTTCTTCTTCTTGTGGATAAATTATGAGCGTGCGCCTCTGATGAGAGCGAGTTTTGGTTGAGCATTAAGGGATGAGTTCGTAACGTTTGATACCTGGTTGTTTTTGGTGTTTCGAGAAAGGATACCACAAGCTATTAGAGAGCTGGATTTGATTAAGAAGTTATAGTTACAAAAGCATAAGCACATATTATTCGATTTAATCGGCATATGTTACAACTGACTAGGCAATGTCGTAAGCTGACCGGGTGTCCGGGACTGATCAAGATGAAGGGATGCAAGGACACCACATGGCTATTGCAGGGGTGGTAAGCAACTAGTCAGGGGTGTCAAGTAAGGCTGCTTGTGGTTTGATGACACCCAACTCCAGACTGCGGCTCATCTAAGTGAAGTGATCTGACGACGTCGTCAACCAAGACTTGGCTAGTGGGAGCTATGGCCGTGATTTCGGTAAATTAATAGCAGCTAATACCATCAACAACGTGGTGTTGGAGACGTTGACTAGGATTACCACGTGTCTGTTACGTTGGGATTGCTTATTCCCCGGAATGATTTTCTTGAGAACCCGTTCGTCTCGGGGGTCGGGCAGATTGTAATCTGCGCGCGGAAGAGCTTTGTTAACTCCGCAGGGCGAGGAAGGGTCTTTTTGCTATGGGGCAAGGCGTAGCGAGGTCTAGAATTATGAAGGACATATGCACAACCATGTGATAGTGATGTATTGTATTTGTGCAGTGACAAAGCGTACAGTAAGTAGCTACCAAAACTCAATTGCGCTACGTTAGTTCAAACATATTACCTGAACTAAAGTCCTTTAGTAGCGGTAGAGCATTTTACCCGAGTTGTCGAACTATGTTAGCTTCTATCTAGACTAGGAGGTATGCTGTACGACACTACTCCGTACATAACACCGGGTATCGATGTCATGGATTTTGATTTTTGGGTTCTATTTCGTATTGCTTGTGTAATTCTACATAACTCCTCAACATAAAACTCCCCCAGTAAAATAAGATACTGTTCTCAAGATTATTACTTTCCAGGCCCCTTGCGTTAATCTCGGCACTATTGATTCTTCTGTGGCTTCCATGATCCTTCTATCCATTGTTGATCCATCCCCAAGGAATGCACCTGTCTAGACTGCAATTGTCATAGCTTCACCACAATAGGTCAATCAAACAACTCACTGACCTTCTCTCCATTTTACTAGACTCACTAACTTGTCTTAACCTCCTCCACCTCTCAACTTATTCTTTTCTCTTTTTATTCTCCTCTCTTTTCTCCTGAAGCCTGTTTCTCGTCTAGATGATCAATCTTCTCCCTCCCTGTCCGCCTTAATCTCTGCCCACCCCTACCTGGTGCAACTCTGCAAGACCCCGAAGTCTCCGGTCTGGGATATAACATTCCCACATGCCGCGTACTTGTCCGACGATCCGTCGACTGAGCTATCATTTTGGATCAACGTCAAATATCGGACCTGCTGCTGCACGCGCATATTCGTCCACTCCCTCAGCATCTTCTTCCATCATGGCTCCCACAGTTAGCGCAGCTTCTTCACACTTGAAGCCCACCGAATTGGCTTCTCAGAACACGCCCCGTGGTTCTATGGCCGCTACCACTGCTGTCTCAAAAATTCCAGGCCGGTCTGCTCTTCCAGATGAAGCCGTTTCTAATCCCCATCATCTTCTCAAGCGTGGGTCTGTCGTGGGCTTCAAGAACCCATATCCTTCATGCGCAAGTAGTCCCAACTTTGGGACTATGGTCCGGAAAATTTGGTGGTATGTGATGACTTTACCGTGCATAGAGTATTTCGTGCCCAAGAAACTGACAGACGTAGGCCCTCCTTCACCGGCGACCTTAAGAAACCCGACTTGACACCTCCCAATGTCCCGGTAGTCAAGCCCCAGTGGAATACCGAGCGCGATACTACCGACAAGATCCGTGCGACATGGCTAGGTCATGCCTGCTACTATGTCGAATACCCTTCTGGTCTGCGAGTCCTCTTCGATCCTGTGTTCGAAGATCGATGCTCTCCATTTAGCTTCATGGGCCCGAAGCGATACACTCCCAAACCTTGCGACATCAAGGACATCCCCATTGTCGATGCTGTTATCATCAGTCACTCCCATTATGATCACCTTTCACATTCCTCTATCCTCGAAGTCCAAAAATACCACCCTGACGCCCAGTTCTTTGTTGGATTGGGCTTGGAGACGTGGTTCCGCAAGTCAGGCATTAACCATGTTACTGAGCTCGATTGGTGGGAGGATGCCGACCTCACAGTTACAGTCAAGGACGGAGACAACACACGCGATATCAACGCTCGCATCTCAGCTCTGCCAGCACAACATAGCTCCGCTCGAGGCTTATTCGATCGTGACACCACTCTCTGGTGTTCTTGGGGGGTGAAGTCTGGTGGAAAGTCAGTTTGGTTTGGTGGTGACACTGGCTACCGGTCTGTTCCAAGCCTTGCTTCCGGAACAGATCATTACAGCGCTGAGTACGACCACCTCCCAAGGTGTCCCCAATTCAAGCAAATTGGCGAGCTGCGTGGGCCTTTCGATTTGGGCCTGATACCAATCGGCGCCTATCATCCCCGAGCAGCATTTTCACCCGTGCATGCCGATCCACATGATGCAGTTGAGATCTTCCGTGACACAAAATGCCAACGGGCGATGGGCATCCATTGGGGTACATGGGCGCTCACAATGGAGGAGGTGCTGGATCCACCAAAGGTGTTGAAGGAGGCTTTGCGTAAGAGAGGTATTCCAGAAGTCGGCGTGTTTGATGTATGCGATATTGGCGAGGCTCGAGAGTTCAACTGAGCCTAAGAAAAGCACCCAAGAGTAAAAAGCGACATGTTTCAAGCAAATACCCTTATTATCATTTTGAATTCGAGTTGGACATGATATCTTCGTTTCTGGTTAAAGATCACGGCCGCTGTACATTATTCTCTTTCGGTCCGGTTACAAAGATCGATAGAAGTATAAACTTTTTTACAACTTCAAGGTTGTTCAAGACTCAGACTTGACTGAACCATGACCGGGAAGCTTTGGCTTACAGCATGATGTCACAAGCTTGAAGCAAGACCCTGGATCGGCAGCCCATTAAGACGTTGTCCAATCAGAACTAGAATTCGGCAACTTTGACAAACAAAACAAACTCCTCTCTTGCTACGGAGCTCTAGAGTCTAGAACTTGAATTCTTATTCATGACTGGCTGTTGTCCTCCTGCTGTTTCCTCAACAGCTTCAGCCACACGTGACGTACTCACTCGCCACAACGCCACAGCAAACGTATAAGAAGTCCAATATCAGTCATAGTAACAACTCAACAGCCCAACACAACTACGAAAAAAAGACATTTAATTATTCCCAACTTCAAATCACGACTTCAATCTTCACAAATCAACACAATGGGTCTCCCTTCTTACTCAGAGTCAACCACCACAAAAACCTCTGAAACCCCACAAGAACAAACCAACACCACTGGCGTTGCTACCGGTGCTGGTGCGAATACTGGCGCTGGCGTGACAAGGCCTAAGACCGAGGAGGAATTGGAGGCTGATCGACTCTATGAGGAGGCTATGGAGGAGGAGTACGCTAAGCGAGATGGAGGCTCTTAAGCGGTTGTGAGAGACATGAAAGGGATGATGCGGTGAGGGATCCCAGACTCAACCTGTGATTGAGAGAAATGGGCTGACGGGCCATCATGACAAAGAGATATTCTCAACTCTGAATGAAATCAAGAATAATATACTATAATTCCAAATTATGTTTCGCAAACCACTGTTCAATTTCCAGCTGTGCTGCGGTGGCATAAACCTACCATTACCGAGAAATGGAATCAATCCATATGTTAGACTTGGAATTAAAAGGAAGATTCAATAAAACATTGATTAAGAACAGCAATCTTCATACTGCTTGATTATAGTGATTCATTATATTAGAGTGCAATGAGCTATTTTCAGCTCGTGATCCGCTGCGTGCCTGAGTGTATAGTTTGTTGTAGCTCGTATAATAAGGCCGTCCATGTTCTCAACTGGTCCAGACACAAGGGTCTCTTGTACAGCAACCAGCATTGCCGAAATAGGAGGGTAATATGCACTGCTCTGTATCTGCAAACCCCGCTGGCCCCTTACTTGCATGCCAAGGATGTCATATAGCTGTATCATAGATACTGGACTGCTCAGACTTGAGTCGTCCATGGACGCTGATGTATTTGATAATGGACTTTGGCAGTTTATACTCTCCAGCATAGTACCAAGTTGCCGGATGAGGTTTGTAAGCCTTCTGTGCTTGACTCCAAGTACCCTTGCCCGGTCAGTCAGGAGACTCGACTTAATTTGGTGATCGTATAAGAGGTACTCGTGAAAAGGAGAACCTCGTAAAGCGGACACTCTAGTCTTTGTCTCTCAATTTCGCCAGAGCAGCAGCAATACCTCCACTAAGCTGCTCATCTTTATCCGCCTGGCTCGTACGACTGGCCTCTTCTGTTTGGGCAGTCTTCTTCGATGCTTCAATAGCAGCAGCAAGCATCGCTTCTTCATCGTCTTCATCATCAGTGTCGTCCATAAATTGGAACTGCTTCGGCGCTTCATTGTTCGGTTTCTCAGAAGACGTTTCTCCTGCAGGAGGTTGTCGCGAAGATGATGCGACCGCTGCTGTAGCTGCCGGCATGTCTCTTAGAGGCACTCGAGAAAGAGGCAGAGCTTGATCAAGTCTCGCCGTCCTTTCGGAAGCCTTTGCACCTCTTTTCGCAGCTTTCTTTACTCGGAAAGGCTCATCAACTGCATTAACCCACTTCTTAACCTTGATACCTCCCCATCCATTAAGCATACCCAGCTGCTCTGCATCTGCATTTATGGCATTTCTCAAACTTCCAAAATTGCTTACCACAGCAACAGCATCCGATTTATTCAAACTTCTCGGCACAGTAACGAATTCAACCAGCTTCTCACCATAACTGGACGGTTGCTGGCCTTTGATAGCGCCGAAGGTGGCGTTCTCGTAACTTTTGTAGAGTTCGATATAGCGCGCGGCTTCGGCGGCAGACCAGCATAGAATCAGGGTTACGTTGTTGATTAAGGAAGTTTTGGAGAGTTCTTTGAGAGATGCTTCGTGGTTGGGGATGTCGACCATTGTCAGGAGGATGCGCAGGTTGTATTTGCCTTGGAGATTACGGATTCGCGTGTAGATGTACTCAGGATGAAGACGATGATACTTGAGACTGCAGCATATCAGTACTGATCTTTATCCTTCATATAGCATAGAAACGGACCTCAAAAACAGAGCGCATGTGCCCAAACCCAAGACATAGTCGGCCGGAATATCGCTGTACTCCCACGGCATAGACCGAATACTCGTAAGAACGGGATTTCCTCTCTGTCGCGGCGACACCAATATAGTCGAACCAGATTGCTTCTGTGGTAGAGCCTGAGGTGTTGGCTGCACGACTTTTCCTGCGCTTGAGGCAGAAGGGGGCGCCTTGTCGAGACGTTGCGGCGTTGGCTGCTGGATCTTTGCCGGTGTTGGTCGTGCGACAGGTGCTGGATCAGCGGCGGCCATGGCAGCTAGAAGCTCATCGTCTGCACCGTAATCGTCGTCCATCGTGTCTTTCTTGTATGTCATGCTTATTGAAAGCGATTGATTGGGCTTGCGATCATCTGCTTTGCGCTGAAATGGTTGATGACGATTCGAGATTCACGCGACGGATTGAGTTGAGGTTCGAGCTGGAGTGGGTCATCTCTTACAGCGACATCTATACTTTTGAAAACCTAACAACGTTTTGTCTCCTACAAGTTAACTGGAAATCTCATGATTCCATGCTGGAATACTTTTTCTTATTCCCACTGATCACAAGCCTTATAAATAGAAGTTACCCCTATCATCGACAATGGTAGTGAACAACGACGTCATCATCATGGATCTACTTGGAGCGGGCCAGAGAACCCTTAACAAATCGATCTCGGCTACAGGGAACGTTCAATCTGCTGATGAACGATGGATCTGATTAGATATCAGAGTAGCTAGTAATGTCCTTCTGGCGACTTTGGTTCTGGCCTTCAGTGCACCTCTGCAGCTTACCGTGCTGTAAGCACATGCCGAATGGCGTGGAGGAGTTACTATTATCGTCATGGACCCTGTACTCATAATCGACGTCCCCAGGATACGGCACTCGTTCTCTTTTCATTCTTTTTAAGGAAACCAACATTTCGAGATAGTCTCGGGTCTTACTGCCGATGTCTTCACAAACCTTTTAGACGTGCCCGGCCCCAGGTCCGGACACATGTGAATGGTGAAGCACTAAAAACGACGCCAGGAACTGAACTTGGGTTCGGCACGTATCCGCTCCATCGGTGCCAGGGCGTGCAACTCCGGGCTCCGGCACCTGCAACTTCCATTATTAGTGTGCACGGTACCTTGACTGACAACGCCGTAGAAGGACACCCTTCTATGGAACAAGTTAAACATCAACTAGAAAAACACTCTTTTTACACCAACAGGAATCGATATCAATTCACCACCTCAGTTAATCAGACCTTGTCGGCCTCGCTATGGCGTCATCCCTTCCTGCTGCTAAGCAGCAACTGAGAAAGCTTATGAAACAGAAGCTCTCTACCATCTCACAGGATTCCATCACTTCTCAGAGTATGATCACCAGACAATCAACCAACCACTTATTCACTCATTCATTGTCATGCCAGCCTGTTTGTAGGATGAATCCCCTAACTCGAGTCACACAGGCCGTTGCATATTTGAGTCACTGAAAGAACTTCAGCCTTACAAGGATGCCAGACGCATCAGCATCTATTTGGCTATGCCAACAGCAGAGGTCCAAACAGATGCAATTGTCCGTCACGCACTAGCTGCTGGAAAGAAGGTCTTTGTTCCTTACCTTCACAAATCGCCTTTCCAAACACCGGACACCCCGTCCCGCGTAATGGACATGGTCCATCTGGAAAACGTGCAAGACTACGAGAGTCTCAAGCTGGACAAGTGGGGGATCCCAAGCGTGGATCCGGCCACTGCTGATTCAAGAAAACGAATCCTCGGCGGCTCAGATGTTCAGAATTCTGACCCAGGTATTCTCGACTTCATTGTCGTCCCCGGTGTCGCTTTTGACTTCGATGAATCAGGGTCGATTAGGCGTCTTGGTCACGGCAAGGGCTTTTATGACTTCTTTATCAACAGATACATGGCCAAGCTTGAGTCAAAGGGTATCGCACAGCAAAACCCGTTGCACTTGTACGGTCTGGCTTTGAAGGAACAGATGGTACCTGCGACATCGGAGTATCAGATTCCTACAGATACTCACGATCGTAGACTCAACGGTCTCATCGTTGGTGATGGCGAGATCAAGCATGGTGTCCACGAAGCGTCTACTTCACGATATCCAGCACAAGATCTTTAATACAAATTGAGCGATTGGAGAGAGATGTTTGGAATAAGTCTAAGACAAAGATAAACAAGTGACGGTTGTAGCTTGTTTATTTCCGAGTTTGACACTAAATTTGTTGATTCATGTGAATCACATTTTGCGAATCGTTTGTTCGTAAAGGTTGTCTTCATCTCAACAAAGGACGACAAAAAATAGTCTGATGCCTACTGATTGTCATCTCATGATTGGTGTAGTTTGTCAATAAAACAAATCAGTTCCTTTATGACGCGCGAAGGCAGATGTCATCGGTTAATCTGCGGTCATCAGGTTGCCCCGCCATGATTGGCAACCTCTGGCTTGGCTAGTTGGGTGGGCTTTGCTTTGTGTATTTTACTTCTGATTGACCCCCGTAGGCGTCGAGGCATCACTTTATCCCACTTTAGACTTTGGTCTGATCATTAAAACAACTCTTTTTATACGTTCGGGGTCTTCTTTTCCCCCTCCCCCATCACATACCCTTACTTCTTTTCTTTCCTTCCTTCTCAACTGGTTCTCTCGGCCAGTCCTTCCACCAAAGTATACGCTTGCGACCCCCAATAACGCCCTCCACGCCCAAGCTGCTGCCCCCCCTTTGTATGCGCCGCATTCACCAAGGTCAATCGTGCGCAACATAGTCAAATAACCCGAACCTCGATATCCGTACCTTTTCCTCGCCGCTTGATCCGTAATGGCTACAAACGGAGCTCAGGAGGGCTTTGCGCCCCCAGATGTGCTGGCTGCTGTCATGACGATGAGGAGCGGGGAGCAAGACGCAAAGAAGCATGCTCACGAGTACTTGGAGAGATTTCAGAAATCGGTTGGTCGCTACAGCATTCGAGCTTTCTCGTCAGCTTGCTAATGTTCAAAAACACAGAAGGATTCTTGGGCAACTATAATAGGTATTCTGCAGTCGGATGCCGAGCCAGAGGCCACTCTTTTTGCGGCCATTACTCTGCGTGGAAAGGTTTGAAGCTTGCTACAGGCACTGTGTCCTCTCGTTATTGACTTTTTACAGATCACATACGATCTTTCTACCCAAGTCCCTGCGAACGAACTGCCCGCCCTCCGAACCCAGATTCTCCTGCTTCTAAAGCACTTCGCCCCAGGACCCAAGCCTATCCGTGTCCAACTCTGCGTATGCCTGGCCATTCTCGCCATTCAGATGAAGGAATGGGACGACGTCCTTTCGTCTGTTGTTCAGTCACTCAGCGATAGCCCCGAGAGTCACGCCTGCATTTTGGATTTCCTGAGGGTTCTTCCCGAGGAAGTCACCGAAGGTCGAAAGATCACCTTGTCTGTATGTGGATCGCGCAACTATAGATCGGAAACACGCTTCTTTCGAGATTGTCAAGTCCGGTCGACCTCAGCACCAGTTCAAGTCTAATTGTTGGAATTAGGAAGAAGATCTTGCAACGCGAACGCAAGTTCTATTGGCCGACAACGCAGGCCAGGTTATTCAATTGCTCATCAACTACTCCCAGTCTTCACGTACGTTGTCTTGAATCTCCTCTCTCGCTAACCGCTGACAATGATGTAGCCGCTGCTGCCCAGAACCCTCAGTTGATGGAATGCATCACATCCTGGCTTCGAGAAGTCCCAGTCGGCGATGTCGTCAAGTCACCTCTCATGGACATTGTCTTCAACGGAACTACGAGCGATAACTGCGCCCAGGAGGCTTCCGAGTGCCTTTGCACCATGCTTCGAGAGACTAGCGACGTGGATGAGAGCCAAGAGATCATCGAAATGCTATTCCCCCGAATTATTTCACTGAAGCCTCAAATCGCCAAGGCAGCTGAGGAGGAGGATGCCGAGACTCTTAAGGCTTTGACCAAAGTGTTTGCAACTGCTGCGGAGAGCTGGGTTGTTGGAATCGCACGTCAGCCCGCCCATTTCCGACCTTTGGTTGATGCAGTCTTGGAATGCGCTGTGAGAGACAAAGAGCGGGAGGTTATCGAGCATACCTTTACCTTCTGGTATGAGCTGAAGCTCTATGTCGTCCTAGATATTTACATCCAGGGCCGACTTGAGCTAGTCGACGTTTATTCCAAGTTGGTCGATGTTCTTCTTAAGCATCTCGAATACCCCAAGCCGGATTCAGGCAACGAAGACGATCTGTTCGATGGCGACCGAGAGCAGGAGGAGAAATTCAGAGAGTTCCGACACCAGATGGGCGATACGTTGAAGGATTGCTGTGAGGTGATGGGCGTTACGGATTGCTTGACAAAGGTTCTTCAAGCCATCCAGTTGTGGATGTCCAAGTATGCCAGCCAGGTGACCGATACATCGGTTCCTAACTGGCAAGAGTTGGAGGCGCCTCTGTTTGCCATGCGTGCTCTGGGCCGCATGGTTGACAAGGATGAGAGCATTGTCTTGCCTCAACTTATGCCCCTTCTCGTGCAAATGCCCAGCCATGAGAAGCTCCGGTTCGCAACTATTATGGTTCTGGGCCGTTACACAGAATGGACAGCTGCGCACCCCGAGTATCTCCAGCCTCAGTTCAACTACATCGTCACGTCGTTCCAGTCAGACTCCAAGGAGATTATCCGCGGTGCTGCCTTGTCTATCAAATACTTCTGCACAGATTGCAAGCATCTCCTAAGTGGCCAGGTTCTGCAGCTCCAGGAATTTTACGACCAAGTTCTGGACAAACTCCCAGATCTCAGTAAGGAGGAGATTACTGAGGGTGTCGCTAACGTTGTGGCTTGCCAACCTACAGAGGAAGTATACCGACTGCTGAAGCTCTACTGCGACCCCCTTATTCAGCGCCTCATGACAAAGGCCAACGCCGCTACTGATGATGAGGGCAAGCTGGCTCTCGCAGGTAAGCATTAACTTTTGTTCGATGCAGTCAAACGACTAACGATTATAGATCACCTGCAACTCATCACAATTTTTGTTCAGTATGTTGTGCCTCCTGTTAACCCAGGTCAGGACAACCCTGCTGTTAGGTACTGGCAAGAAGTGTTCCCTATCCTCGCGACTGTACTGGATAACTTCCTCAACTTCAGCCCCATCTGCGAGCGTGTATGCAGGTGCTGGCGCAACATGGTCATCTCTCACCGTACGGCCATGGCCCCCTTGCTGCCTGACATGGCAAACAAGCTTGCCGGTGGCTTCAACAACTCCAGGGAGGGTTGCTTCCTGTGGGTAACTTCAGCAATTTTGCGCGAGTTCTCCGAGGCTCGAGAGCACGTTGATCAAGCTACCACCGAGAACATTTACACCTTCTTTGAGGCTCAGACAACAACCTTCTTGCGCGTCATGACAGAACTGCAGCCCAAGGAGCTTCCCGATGTCATTGACGATTTCTTCCGCCTGTTGATCGATGCTCTTCTCTACTACCCACAGAGGCTCATTCCCTCTCACCTGCTGCGATCAATCTTCGAGGCCTCTATCTATGCCCTGACCCTTGAGCAGCGAGATCCTCTCTCCTCAACACTGCACTTCCTCCGTGACCTCCTTTCTTACGGTGGTGACAACCCTGCTACCAGCGATGGCCTACCTGAAGCTGCGGCTGCTGAGATGAAGAACATTGTCAAGACTTTGCTGCAGACCCTCGGCGAGAACTTGGTCAAGCAGGTCATGGCGGGTATGATGATCACTTTCCCTCGCGACTGTTTCGCCGATGGCAGTGGTGTTCTCCTGGCTTGCTTCGAGCTTGTTCCACTTGAGACTCACCAGTGGGTGTCTCGCACAATCGAACTGCTGCCCGAGGGAACCGTCTCCCCTACCGAGGCCAACCGATTCCTACTCAAGCTCAAGGAGAAGCTTCAGACAGGAGATTCTAGCGCCATGAAGAATGTGCGTGCGGTTCTACAAGATTTCACCAACACATACCGGCGACGAAATGTAGCTCCCCGCGATGGTCTCGGCCAGCTTGAGGCCACACGCTTCCAGTTCTCTGGATAAGTAAGGTTATGAATCGATGATAGGACAAAGGAAATTTGATTTTGAAGATAGGTAATAGATGGGCCCAACTACTCCCGCCTATTTACATGATATCTGGCTGGTACTAGAAGGACAGGAAGGACTGTTGGGAAATTGCACAGGAGTCATTCGACGTGTATGTATAACGGGGATTATCGAGGATACCTAATTGAGCGTCTCTTTGATGGGAATTATGGGATGGACATTTTGGGAGGCATAGCGAACGAGAGAGACAAGCATCCAAGGCAACGGCGTCGGGGAGAGAAGGAGGTTTTACTTGCCTGTAACGCTGAAGTATGATGTGAAGATTATGTATAGATATAAAAGTAAAGCCTTTCCATGCATTATATACTTAATAACCGTATCTCCCATCTTATCTGATGCTGCCATCACATTAACCATCTTTCACGGCAAGTCTTCTGCTCTCAGCGTGAGAGTAACATCAGTTCGTCTCTATAATACACATCGACAATCAGGGAGGGAGCTGTGACCACATCATATTAGATGAATGTAATTCTTAACAAAGAGCAGGACATGGCGTCTACTCTGAGCACTTCAGAACATTAAAATATCACAACAACGAGCCTTGGCCAATTCACAATAACAAAAGACAAGTTCCCAAGTTAGCTATCCTCGCAACTGACTTCATTGATATGCTAAATGTGTACAATTATCTTTCCCGCTCACACTTGCATTTCTTTGTACAAAGTAGAGCCAACTGCCAATATGAAAAGAATGTCTGAAAGACGAACATTGGGCGTCTAAATCGGGAACCAAAGAACTCGGTGAAGTCAATACAACAAAGACGACTTATGTTGGGGGTTCTACTAAACAAAGGGCACAAGACTCGAGGCATAGGGACTCGATAGGATAAGAATGAGAGCGACCTCGTTCTCGAGATGATTCTATTTCGTAGATATCAAAATTCATAATCTAAATAATCGACTCTTATTTCAACACTCCTTTTGAACCTTATAGTCTTTGATAGACTTATTGTTACCTTCATTCTTGCTACAACTATTATCAAATTTATTGATCGAGTCCCTCGTCTTTTATCGATATATTAAGCCGATCTATACTATCCGAGAATCGCCCTTGTCCGTCATCTATCAGCTCGAACCACAATGGCAGGATATAATGGCTACCCCGATCCAAACCAGGATACTTTGGGCTATTATATTAACTATGCGGAGGATGAAGAGATTGAGGATGCTATGATTGAGGATCGTGTGATTCACCCTGACCTACGTGGTCCCGTTCAACCTGCGCAGGTAAATGCATCGTTTTCGACTTACACGAATCAGCCATCGTCTCAACCACCAACCTCTCAGTTCCAAAATCCATCCTCGGAACCAGCTTCCAATCCCACGTCCAGCCAATTTTTTAATTTCCCTACCAATCCTACACAGAATCAATGTTCCACAGCTCCAGGGAACTCAGTCCTGGTGCCTTGGTATCCACATGCTACCCAAGGCAATCCAGCCTCGACCGCTGGCATATATGCCCCTTTAGCAGGCAGTTCTAATTTCCCTATCAATCCTACACAGAACCAACATTTCCTAAATCATCCAGTCTATACACCAAGCTATAATGATTCCACTTCAGCATATCCAGCTCCTCCTGAATCAGCATATCGACTTGCTCCTACAATCGGAGGACAACAACTAGCTCTTCCTATACCAGAAAATTATGGCCCTCCATCTACCAACACGTCTCCAGCTACGACTGGCTCAGCCTTTACAGGGTCTTCTCCTGCAGTCTACCCCAATCCTAACGATGTATCTTCTCAAACCCCTGGAACAACCCCTGGGGATTCTGAGCCAGCCACCAGCCAGGGCAGGAAAAGGCAAAAAGAAACCTCACCAAGTACTGAACAACCTCGTCGTACCCGACGAAAGACGTCAAACTTATCGGGTCCTGTCGTATACAACGACAGTCCAGCTGATGACTCGGGGCCGAACGCAGCCACATCAGTTTCCGGGAGTGCCAGAAACCGCACCACCACTCAATCCCAGAGTAAGGCAAAGGACAGCGGAACCAGCACACCTGCGAGTCGGAAAAAGCCTGGTAAGAAGGGGAAGAGTATAAACATTAGGCCCTCGCGGATGAAACAACTAGCCGAACCCGACCAGCGCAATCCCCTTTACCCGAAAGTAACCCGTAAGAAAAAGGACAATGACAAAGAAGCGAACGACGACACGGGATCCAAGAAAACGCGAGGGGGGAATGAAATCATCAAAGTGCGCACCAAATGTGACTTCTGTGCCAACCATCCCGATGGCAGGGCGGCGTTCAACGTTAACCCGGTATGCGACTGGGAACACATCGAGAGTGGAGGTGGAGAGGTTTTCAACCGAGAGTGTAGCAACTGCGCAAACTATCGCTCTCGTCGTCGACTATTCGGACAAGTTGCCAGTGTTAAAGACCACATGTGTAAAGTCCAAGGCGATGAGGGCTTACTCGATTTCAAACACAAGAAATATGGCGATGCCGACCCCTACGGCTACCCAAAGTCTGCATGTGATCGTTGTCGGAAGAAGAATGTGGAGGACGTTTGCGACGTCGATACCTTGTTGGGCTACGGGTGCTCTCATTGTCGACGTGACCAGGACTGCGAAGTCGACGAGGACCTTATGCCCCTGAGACATCCTCAAAAGCAGATTAGATTGCCGTGGTATCGACATGCCTGCGACCGTTGCAAATTACGCCATGAGATATATAAGGACTTGGAAGAAAACACCCCTTGTAACTGGCTCACGGATAGGAGGTTATGGGATCATGATCATCAAAGACAAGCATGTTCGGTGTGCTATCGAGATGGTACGCCCTGTATGAGCGACAAGCAAAATATCATTCCACCACTTCCACCTGCATCACCCATCACAAAAGCGCATCCTCCAAGAACTTGGACGATTCGCAAAAAGTTCGAGGTGGAGGAGAAGGAGAAGAAGAAAGACAGGAAAACTCCTTGGCACGAGTACGTGGAAGTCACCACTGGCACCAAATGGCGTAAGAAGTGCGCAGGCTGTCACTGGGCCGGACGATCAGTCCAGTGTCTGATCATGTGGAATCAGGCTCATTATGCCTGTGAACGCTGCACGCAATTCGGTGTCGACTGTGTGTTTCAAGATGTCATAGCCAACACTTGGGTGAGATACCCAATCCATGACTTGAGCAGAGTTGGTTTCGGTCAGTTTACCCCCTATGTTGCTTGCAAGCCGTGCAAAGATAATGGACGTCACTGTGATCGAATGAGACCATGTGACTCTTGCACCGCAGCCGACACCGTATGCGATGATCTGGTTAAGGGGAACGGACGTGGCCTTATTGCGAGGAAGAAAATCGCTCCTCCTGAGACAGGATACCCAGTTCCAACTCCTGGTCCGTTATATTATCTGGCCTTGGGATATGGCCCAAAGGGCGTCAACGATATCAAAGATGGTCGAAGTGTCGAGCACTGGATCGGTCCTATTGCTCCTGTATACGGCGTTGAAGAACTAAAATATAGCGGAGAGCATTATCGAGCCATTGCCGACATTCATCGAGGCTATCGACCACCGGAGAGAGTGGCTCCTCCAACCATCCCCACGGACGTGCAATCCAATAAATTGACTGTTGAACATATGGCATCACTCATCAGAAACCTCTGGCCAAACTCTAGAGTTCCCATGGATGATCCACAGGCCTATCGGGAGCTTTGGAGAACGCTCCGTGAAGTACAGGAACTTATTATGAGACGTGCTGGGGAAGACGTACAGTTGTCTGATGCACCAGCGATTCCACGTACCTTCCGAGGAAATCCGGTTCTTTCTGACTTGGAAAGGTTCCACGATGCATTTTCAGATGTTCCTCCTCAAGCTCAGCCTCTTCCAGAGTTTCCACCTGGAAGTCACAGTGTCAACCATTCGCAGGTTGATCAGGTGCCTTATGCTGCGCCTGCACTATTAACGGGAATCCCCTATGGCGATGGTTACTCCGACGGTGTCTATCTCCCAGCTTCTGCTCAGAAGGGAGAGGGTATTGTCGCCTCGGTGGGCGGCGTTGACCATTCACAGTTTGATCAGGCACCTAATAGCACACCTGCTACATCTGTGGGATTTACGGCTGACGGTCGTTACCCTCAAATTATGTTTTACTCACCTTCTGATGAGCAGGAAGAGAATAATATCACCTCAGAGGCCCGCGATCAGCAAGGCGGCGACGACCAGCAACTCGATCAGGCACCTGATGCTGTTTATAACGACGGTATCCCTGATGATCTCCATCCGATGTTTATTGATCCAGGGGAGCAAGGTGGTGACAATCAGCAAACTCAACAGACTCGGCCATCCGACCAAGGCCAATCAGTTGTTGACCTCTCCAAGTTTAGTAGTAAAGAAATGGAAAACTGGTTCAATCTTGGTGAGTATGATCAGGGGATGCATCGTGGCCGCTTCATGACGGGGCAGTATGCTTCTAAGACTTCCAGGGCCGGCAGAAGACCGATCAGGAAGGCGCGACCATTCGCGAACAGAGTCCCTAGAGACACAAAGGCCAAGGATAAGACCTTCAACCCTTTCCTCAGCTTCGCTTTGGATGAGAACCGGAAACCACGTCTCAAGGCAAGAGAGAGAAGCTCGCGCTGGAAAGTCTTCAACCCGCTTGAGGGTCTTGACATGGAGAAGTGGCAAAAGTCAAAGAGCCAGCCAGATGAAGACACCTCTCAGCCATGTCTATTTTCTGTCGTCAACGGCCAACGAAACCAGTCCGTACTTCGAGCTGATGTCTTGGACGATGTGCCTTATGAGCAGATAGGTGGCAGATCAAAGCAGTCTTGCGCAGAACCAGGTGATGGTGGAATCGGGCGTTGTGGCCATCAGAACATCAATGAGCATGATCAAGCCGTTTGTCAAAGTTCTGCCCACAGGGATACAGCACCAGGTTCCTTCCCAGTCTGCAATGATTGTGTCCAAGCCAACATCAAAGACATGTTCCGCCACGAATGCAATCCCATCATTGAAAGCGAGCTTCTCAGCATGCGTGCCTATCTCTGCAACGACTGTGCTGGCCATATGAGTAGCAGTGTTAAGAACGCAGCCGAGTACAGAGCCATCGGAGCTCGCCGGGTGTTTGGTCTGGAGGCCGACAAGGAGAATTCACATAGCACATACACCGCCAATAACGACCGATCACAGGCCATGGAATTTCACAAGGACACGGAGGCTCTGACAGGCTGTTCATGCGCAAACAAGCTGTTTGGAACATCCATGTGTCGGTTCCATAGATTGTACTATGCTGAGGAGGCGCTCAAGTTCTCGGCCCTGGTGCAAGAATGGCGGCTTTCCAAGTTCAAGAAGGCAGTATGCCCCAGCTGTCTCGCCAAAAAGCCTCTCGACAATGCCAACCTATCAGCAGATGTTGGCGGTTTTACGAAGGGCGGACCAACGGCTTGGGCATGTGTGAACTGCAACGATTGGGTCGCAAATGAGAAGAACAATAAGACGAACCAGCCAGGTCTCGTCGACAAGAAGTTATGGAGCTCGAAGGATGGGCGTGAACTTTTTTCTTTACATCAAGAGGCGGCGCATAGTAGGGTGCCTGAGATAGACGATGCCGATATGGGTGGGCTGTAATTATTAATAGGAGCATTGAAAGTTTGAATTCCGGAGTTGGGCGCATTTTAGACATATAGACTACCTAAAGTTAAGCAATCGATCAGTGTTTTCAGATGGTAGCTGAGCAGAGACACATATGAAGTGAGATCAACCTTTCAAACTGAGTCCGGTAGTTGTCCAAACTGCCAAGGACAATGCAGAGAGGGCTCACTGGGTCAACACTGACACTGAGCATTCCGTATCATTTCATATGAAGCCATGTGGCTGAAAACACAAGTAATCGGAATGTTCTGTTCTGCTCGAGGGACGAGACGAATTATTGAACCGTAAGAAAATGGTGTGTGCTTGTATTGTCTGACTGAACCATTGCTGCTGGAGAGAAGGAGACCTCGAGATTGACAAGATAGAAAAAGAAAAGCAAAAAAAATTACATGTATGAAATAATGGATATAGAAGAACCTGCAGAAGCCGTACTTTAATCTTGAAATATTCATCCTCCCCGGTAACACAAACCAAACAAGGAAAAGGTCGGGTGGGTTTTGTCTCTCGCGAGGTCGTTTGGAAGGGATGGGCAGCCATAGCATTGCACTGCTTTGCTTGCGCTGGCACAAATTCCCCCTCCGCTGTCTTTCTCTCTCTTCCAGTGAGTAGATGGTCCGTTTTTGTTTATCCACAACGTCCAAAATAGCGAGCCGCTCCAGAGAAACGCCGATCCATGTTCCAAGTCATATGGATCATGGTTCATTAAGCATGAGCCATCGGCCTCACAAAGACATGACATGTCGTAGGCACGCCGGGTCCCTTATCCCATATCGCTGGGTATCTCCATAGGCTGCGTCCATCTTAAACATGAACACTAGCCCAAAACCTGACTCCTCATCCGATGCAATCAAAATTCCATCCCCGTGCTCTTCCGCAAGCTTCCAGGTTATATTGCATCCTCACATCGTGTCGTATGCAATTGATAAGACCCGGACATGGCGGGTATACTCTGCCAATCACATCGTCTTTCATCCCGAGATGTGCGCTTTTCGTCCTCATGCATCGTTTCCATTTACATGAGCACACACTTGGCACAGCATCCTGCTTCTTGCTCGCCGTTGTCCATATCCATGGGCTTAGGGGGTCCGTTGGCGCCCGAGGTACCGCCGCTGCCGGTCGAGTAACCCTGCATCTCGCGGTTATATCTTCGGATTTCTCGCACGATATCGTAGAAGGCCTTGTCGACGTTGATTCTGGATTTGGCTGAGGTCTCGAGGAACTTGCAGCCAAATGACCTTGCCAGGGCCTCTCCCTCTGTATGGTTGTTAGCATATGATGGTTGAGTTTAACTCATTGAGTAGACATACCCTGTCGTGACACATCTCGGTCGCTTTCCAGATCGCACTTGTTGCCAACAACGACCATGGGGAAGTAGTCCTTATCCTTGACTCGCAGAATCTGTTGTTGGAAGGTGGTGATTTCCTCAAAACTTTGTCGCGAAGTAATGGAGTAAACTAGTAGAAATCCTTCTCCAGTTCGCATGTACTGCTCGCGCATGGCGCTATACTCCTCCTGACCAGCTGTGTCGAGAACATCGAGAAGAGCGACCTCATCATCGATAACGCACTGCTTTCGGTATGAGTCTGCAATGTACTATGTTAATATGTGCTGTGATGCGGCATGACGAGCATGAAAATGCGATTAGAGTTTACCGACCTTCAATTGTGGGATCATACTCGTCGACGAAATGGCTTTGGATCAACTGAATGGTCAGACAAGATTTACCGACACCACCGCCACCGACAACGACGAGCTTGTACTCTCGTAGGAACTGGATTTCGAGTTAGCAAACGGTCAGGGATGGCTAGCTGGTTGACGCAGGCAGATTGTCGAGAATCCGAAAGTATCTCCCATGGCGACAGTATTGTTTTCGTGTCGTACCTTTGTGTTCGCAGCCATTGTGAATTAAAGTTCGAGTTGCGCTTCCTATATTATGTGATGCTCAGGACGAGTCGTCGTAATTCGTAATGAAGCAAGGCAGGTCGCGAGAAAACGGGATTGGATTGAAAGGCAAGTAACCGAGGACGACGAGACAGCGGAGATGTAGTTGAAGAAGGCAGGTTGTCTAGTCTGCGTTTTAGGCGAGACGATGCAAAGTACAAAGGAAGAGAGAGAATGAACGATTTGCCGCTGGGGCGAGCGGATTCTAGCTCTGAATGTGTGGAGAGAGAGCAAATGGGTAGGTTCAAGAAAAAAGGTCAAAGCAGAGGGAGTCGAGCGAGGGTAGAAAGAGAAGAAGAAGGGGAACAGGCCTGAAAGGGGAAAGGGTCGAAAGGCCAGGGTAGGAAAGCATCCTGGAAGGGGAGCAAGGGAAGGGGCGGAAGGGGGGCGTCCATGAATCGGATTGGTCTAGGAGGAACTTGGAATGGATGGGGCAGTTCGGTAGCAGGTACAAGTTGATCGCCTGCAGCTTGGCAATAGTGGTAAAGTACCCACGACTTGTAATGACCATCCTCGCGCTTAAGGTAAGGTACCTAAGGTAGGGTGTTTGCGGTTGCTCTTGTTTTCCTTTCTTTTCTTTTTGGCCAGTGGTATCCGATACACGACTTCAATTAACGACCGAACAAACGAACGAACCCATCAAGGATGCAGTTGACGAGAACGGTTTCTTTCATGACCAGGCAAGGTTGGTGTACTCAGCTTTGGATGGGCTGGTCTGTTCTCCATGATTGACAGCTAAGAATCACTCTACTTTGTCTTGTTCTTGTTCACCTCTTGTGCTCACTCACTAGGCGTTCAGTGCGTACTCAGAACTCCAACGCCGGTACCAGCAACCGCCCAGGACCAACACCAACACCAACACCGCAGAACCCGCCCACGGCTTTCAAGGTGGTCAATGTCTCTGGGCGCTCCCGAGCGCTGAGATGGATGGCCAGGTTCTAGGGACCCAGGGCCCATGGAATTGATTATTGGAGACTTCCCGTCCCGTCCTGTCAGTGGATAGTATCTAGACCATTGAGGGGACACCCGATGGCCGGATTGGTCACTAGGGTCGATGAAGCCCAGCCTCTAAAGACTACCTAGAGACTAGAGGTAGGGAGGAAGGATAGGGTTATCCGTCAATAGGCATGGCATGACGAGACTCACGGTGAACGTTGACAATGGCTTGGGTAGACCGTAGACAGGATTCTACGGAATCTAGAAATTCCCATTTCAGACCTAACCTAGGGGACGGATCTGTAACAGGAACCTATCATATGTCTTCTGCAGCCCTGCCAGAATATCCAGAGACGCCATTATCCTTTCCAACTCGAAGAAGAAAAAGCCTCTCCGTTCTAAGATGAAAAGAAGCATCTGCGATCTCACAGCTGGAGCAGCTTAGTGGCTGGTTCTTCCAGCCGCCTGGACGGCGGAATATACTAAGTCAGGAGGCTAGTACTGGTTCAACAGAATGGAAATGAGCAAAAGTGAGCTGGAGCAGACCTTGTTTTGCCATGTGGTTGTTCGTCACCAGTTTGAAAACCAAGCCACCAGAATACTGTACTGCATGTAAAAGAGGCGAGAAGATACTTCTATTCAGTCGCATTCGCCTCTGCTTTTCCTACAGGACCTACCCATGATGGAAAGATCATGCTTAATAGCGGCGAGTCGACGTTGAGTTTTCCAGGGGGGACGTTCAGTGGTTTTTCAGAAGTCTTCCAGTAAGAAGACTGGAAGAGAGACTGGTATGGGGAAGGGGGGCGTGTCTTTTCCTTCAGCGTGGGTCAGGCCAAGCGTACCATCTTTTTACCTTAATGGGTCCCAATTGCTTTTCTCGGGGGACCCTTGCTCTGCTTGCTGCTGATCAGTAGCGAAGCTCCAGTTCTCGTAGATTAACAATTGGCCTTGTTCTTCCGTAACTGTACAGTAGACAGAGTGAAAGATCCGTACATACTCAGTGGAGGCTGCTGGCCTCGTTGATGCTGCAATGTGATGCGATGCGATGCGCTGCAATATTTACAGGGCAATTCTGCAAGGGCAGCGGCTGGCTGCGTCTGCCCTGCCAATCGCAGACACACTGTAGCGTGCTAAACAGTTGATTGTGCATTGTTCTGCACGCAGCTTCTCACCGTATCCGCGTGCTTGTACTCCCACCGCATGCATTACATTGCAGTTGAGATGGCCTCTGATAACCCCATCGTCGTCACCTCGAACGACGTATCCGTATAGTATTCTATACTGCTTATCACTGTACATACTGTACAGTACTCGTACATTACATACAGCGCCGATGGGTGGCAGCAGAAGTGGATGGGGATAGGGGGTAATGGATTAAGTCCCTGAATGTTGTAATTTGCCTACCAGTACCAGGGCAGGGTCGCTCGCCTTTTTACTGTACCACTCAGCTAAGCTACTGGTCACCGACGATGGATAACGAGGGTGCAGATCCTCAACGGCTAGCCAAGGAATACTGAACGCACAGTTAAAAGTGTAAAAGCACGCCTCACCTTGTCTACGATAATACAAGTAAGTCACAGCGCTGTCTCTGTCATTCACTTGGCACAAGATTATATGGCGCTTCTTTACATTAATTAAGCATTAAGCTACCTCTTACGTACTACTACTGCTACTGTCCCTTCTCACACTCTTTTGTATGGTCCATAGAACAAATTAGCCCATCGTCTTACTCGCCAATGTACCTAGGGAAATCGACTGCGGGACGCCGCCCCGAAAGACGCCGGCGCCGCAACCCCGGCCATCTCGGTCGAGCCATGTAAATGAGGCCGACCATTTAATTATTTAAATTATCATTACGGCCTCTCCCCATCTTTTGTTTATTACTATCACCAGGTAACCCAGCTATTATTCCACAACTTATAAGCCAGAGAATAACCACGCGCAATCCGCGCCAAGGACCCATGAGTATTTACTCCGATATTGCATATTTACGAACGGTTGAGCAGTCATATTTTTTCAACTCCAAGTCTCCAACCGTTCGCCCTCATTTTTCTTTTGCCATTGTCAATATCCATGGCCAATTAACATGCTATTCTATGGCCCAAGCGCCACACCTCAGAATCTGAGCCGTGGACCTGTAACACGATTCAGTCAGCAAGCACCAGGAGGGCCACCTCGACTTGTCACTCAAATATCGATAGCCTACGGATACCTATCTAGTCTTAGTACAGAACAGACTAGACTAGACTACCTGCAGTCTCCCACCTCTGCTCGATCCTTATGCAGATCGAATCCTCTGCCCCTTGGACTCTGCAGCTCTGGGGCCCCCATATCTGGGACTAAATAACTTAACAACTGGGGAACCTAATGGGGTGACGAGCTTTCTAAGGCCAAGCTCCGATGCTCTTAATCTTAGACGGTTTAGTAATACTGAGTCTCAGGCGCAAGTCCAGGGTCATGGTTCAACGTGCAGTAGCCATTACAGGGCTTACGGAGCGATCCTCGCCTTTATTCCCTTTAGCTAAATCCCACCACGATAACAGTGGTTGGCTGCTGTCCGATCGATACATGTTAATATATACGTATACTTGATTGTCGTTGAAATTAAGTGTTAGGACAATATAGTAGTAACCCGCTTACAAAAAGCAAAATTTCCAAAACATTGACCATCAGTCACTGCTATTCGATAGGTCAAGAAGCTAGACGCAGCGTACCAACGGCACAATAGTGCTCCTTCTCAACTAAGGATTCAAATGTCTCAGCTTCTAGAATATCAGTTTTACAAGGCGTTTCTGTGGCTTTGTTCTTGACATCCATTCCCATAAGCATGCGCATTAAATGTCGAAGTGACTATCCGCTCTAGTAAGGTGGACAACGACAGCGGGATCCAGCACGTTGTGCTACAGTACTGTGGCTACTAATAGCGTTGGTGTGTTTGAGGCTATTGAAGATGGAAAGGCGTGTCGATGAGATCAATGCCGTGTGGGGGTCAGTTACATATTGATGCGATAGTGAGAAAGATAACCCGTCCTATCGTGGCAGCCATTATCTCATGAAGTTATCTCCGGAGGAGCTTATCGACTATCAAGGCTCTTACTCTGACCCGAGGTTTAATATCAAAATGAATGATATCAGCCTGAAGAAGGTGCGTTTCACTTTGATGGACTTGGCAAGGTACCGAGATATACCAGCACATCAATCAAGGCTGTTTTGTTACATATCATATTGACATACAAACGAAGCCATGCAGCGACAAGGGAGTATCACGAGGTTCAAGCAGTGGTGTAAGTCGGGTTAAGCTATCCGTCCTTTCCTTACAGTTTGGTGGGGGTTTGATCTACAACCTGGAACAGTGTTTGAGAATCTTACTGCTCACAATGAAATCAGAGCAAGCAGACCAATCACGCAATTAACTTGCAACACATGATAACCACTTCCACCCTTGTCTACCGTTATTAAATCAGTTATGTATAAGCCAATAGCCGAGAACTATGTCCTTGTGGATGAAGTATAGCTCTCGGTCAAGTAAACGGGTAAGGTCAGGTCACGCGGCAGATACAAACCTATTTCGCCAAAGGTCGAGTTGATTGTCGAGATAAACTGGAGTCATTGACTCCATGAGTCGCTTGATTTGCGAGTACCGGCCGGCTTTTCCTAGGTCACGATATTGACTTGTTAGTAGTATTCTTCGTCCTCGAACAGCTCTAGAGTACACAACATACCTAAGAAAAAAAAAGGTGAAGCATCGTCCCCTAGAGAATAATCGGAATCGAAGTATGGCCGGAGCCACGTCGCGCATCGCACTTCAGTGATAACCACAACCTCCGCACGGCGTTTCCATAGGAATCTTGGTTACGGGCGAGCCTGTGACCCGCAGACCCTGCTTTTCTGTGCAATGCAAGCGCCGATTGGCGCTGGACCCTCACGGGTAGACACATCCTTTCATTTCAAAAGCAAGGGAGTGCGGTTGTGCCACCTGCCTTGCCTCGAAAGAGATAAAAAATCAGGTGGCCGAAGAGCTTCTCCGAATTTCTTACATGCATATTGTCATTTCACCAGAAGGTAAGATGGCTGTTTGTAGCATGGAAGCGCGACGTTGAAGAGGACGATGCTTAAGGAAAAAAAGGAAGCTTCGCATAATGCGGCTCGAATTTTAGCTTAAGGTACAGGCAGGCACAGGCAGGTGCGGAGGTGGGGTTGACCTGTCAAACATGCAGATATGCACGTGACTGAGCATGCTGCAGAAGCTTCACCTGCAGTTAGAGAAACCCAACATCGTGAACTGCATCGTCAACTTGATGCAGTCAAACCATGTTAGCTACCTAGCGACGACTACTAACTGTGTGGATAATCCAGGACTTTCATGGGTTTCGGCAATTTGGCCCTTTCGGCCGATAAGACTAACCTGGCTGTCAGAGAGCCTGGTCCAATGCAACCACAACCAACAGTCGCCTCCAATTCTGGTCTCCTCTTCAATTTACAGTCTTCTAGAAAGAAGCTGGCAATGACGTCTTCTTCCACCTGCACAAGTACCCGTCTCCACTGTCTGTGGTCCACTCGAATTTGTCTCTAGTGCTTCTCTTAGCAACAGCCCCTTTTCGGCAGATTGCTCTCTTGTCTAGCTTAACCCGCCAAGGAAGCCCATCACGACATACAGTAAATTCCAATCTCCTTTGGTCAAGGTCTGACTTCTCGCTCTGATCTCGTCGCCGATCATGTCACGACCCTAGCTATCGCCGCTACGATGTGCCCGAGACACCTCTTGACTCCACCTCCGCCAAATTCGTTACTGCTACCCCTGGTCTTCGACGCACGCACCCCAGGTTCTTTCTGGGAAGACATCCTCGAGTCAGCTTCCCAATTCAGCGTCCCAGTTCACGAAAAATCGAATCGCTTCCTGGTATCCCGGGTGGACGTGTCCCAATGTTCAGGTGGCGATCTGCCATGCAACAGAATCGCTACAGTAGCCCCTCACCTTACCTCACGTCGCATGATTTAATGTCTTGAGCATCAAAGTTCTCCGGGTCGATACCACGTTACGGCCCCCCAACTTCTGCATGAGGAATGAAACTAGACACCGCTCTTGTGCCTTATCTCGGTTGCTCGAAGCTGGCCGGCCCCAAGTCTAAATTACTTACTGCCTATGTGATGTGACGTACTCCGTACTTAGTATGACTTTCGCCTTGTACGCGGACACACAGCATGGTACAATGTTTTATGTGTTGGCATCAACTATTCAACATGACAGCCGACCCGTGTTTGACTACAACACGTCATACTAGGTTCCTGAAAGCTCTTCAAAATATTGTACCTGCGTGAAGTGAACTTGCAGGGGAGACATTCGGTTCGACAATCGACATCTATAACACAATCTCCCCAGGCGCTAGCGAGTATAACGACGCTGCAGCATATCAAACAAAAAGCACAGCGATCGACAACACTACTGGTCTTGTGCCGTTGAATCACCGAATGTTTCGAGACCGTGCGCCGGTATGTATCAGACTGCATGTAACTCCGAACACTCTATAATAGATGTCTACATATATCCAAGGATATCAATCAAACACGCCGTCTATCCAATAGCGACTCTCCATGGTTACTTCAACGGATGTAACTGTGGTAAAGCCGTTGAGCTGCTATCACACTCCATCAATAGTCTACTGCTCTGGTAGGTCTGAATCCGCGAATTCTCAAAGTTTCCGAGCAGCTTGCTCTGCTGTATCCTTGTCAGCGTCTGCGGTTGCCTGCTTCTTGATCTCCTTTGGGTCTTCTTCCGTGTCACTCTCGGCGGTAACTCGCATGCCCTGAATACCGGCTTCTACTTCATCGACGAGGCTCTCGAGATAGTCAAGGTCCCTTTTGTCCGGGTCAGCATATCCATAAGGAGCAGCTTGGCGTGATATCCTTTCTTACCTTCCGACCAGAGTCACAGTGTTGTTGTCCTTGCCCCAGCGAGGATAACTTCCCACCTTGACACCCTTGGGCTCGACTTTGGCTGCCAGCGTTGTGAGGTATTCAGCAACGCCACTCTCGGGAAGAGGAGTAGAGAACAGGACTCTGTACGTGCCCTTGCCCTCAGGGTCAGTAAGTCGTGGCAGAATATGAGGCTTCAGTCCCTCGAGAAGTCTTTGGACTGTTATCAGTTAGTAAGTTAACCTGGCCACAAACGGTCACGACCTACAGAGTCTGGGGATGCCCGGAAGAATGTGGATGTTTCCATTCACAACTGAGACAGGAACCCAGAGATCATCGTGAGGGAAAAGTGCCTGCTTCTTGATATCCCGAGACTCGTCTATTGGTAGCTCTGCCATACGAAGCTTAGCCCTTCTAGCAGGTGAGTCAACTTCCCAGTCGAACTTGGGTTGATTGGGATGAGGCTTTGACAGAAGCTTCATCTTTTCAAAGGTTTCCTGGTGAAGCTTGAGAGGTAGGTTGAAAGCCTTAGCAATGGATTGGTAGGTGATGTCGTCGTGTCTGATCTGTTAGTGAAAGCATGGTCAAGGTATATGCGTTCTTACGTAGGTCCAATTCCGCCACTGGTTCTTGTTAGCTATCTTCCATATTGATGTTGTTTCTTAAACTTGCCTTGTGACAACAAAATCGTAGCCGTCACTCATCCTGCGAACTGCCTCAACAATCTCACTTTCATCATCAGCAATAACCTCAATTCGCTTCAGGTTCTACAACTCTTTAGTAACATCACACAAGACTCGACCAACAGACTTACAATTCCGAGATTGAAGCAAAATTTAGCAAAATAGGCAGAGTTGGTCTGTCATGTCAATACTAAAACGGTACCCTACACTAGAAAACTCACATCAACCGTCTATAATGTTATGTCAGTATGTTTTAGATAAGAGGTCGACATGTCTATGATATTATACCTTTCCGCCAAGAACCTCATCGCCAATGATCAAGCAAGCAGCTGTAGAAATAGTGCGCACGTTGCGCTCATCTGCCGATACAGGAGCCATGATTCGTCCAAGGGCAAATCGTCTGGTGTTGTTTGCGACGGGTACTGAGAGATGGCGAGTGATCTGAGAGATGCGTGAGAACATGGATGCCAAGGGCAGGTTCAATGATATGAGAGGTTGGAAGTCAAGCAATAGGTAGATCAGGTAGTTGAGATAGCAGGGTTGAGTCTGCAAGTCACTCTATTTGATCTAAGGTTGTCTGGGTCGTCTAAACTGAATGGAGCTCACCAGGAGCTGTAGATGACGTTTACTCGCTAACTTGGGTGATGGCGGGACAATGTGGGGGGCTACCCTTTGGCGGGGCAGCGACTTCACCAACTCCCTTCGATCGCCTGATACTATAACGATACTATCTTCAAACACAGCTACAAAGAAGCGTTTACTTGTTGGAGGAACCAATACACAGATATCCAAAATGGTCACTCAACCTCCTCACTACCCTCCATCCACTCGCTAACACGGCAAACTTAGGCATCCGAATCGCGGCTTTATACCTTCTCTGGAGAGTCCAAGGACCATCTCCGCAAGTTTCGTCTTACTACTTCCCGAGCCAAGGGACCTCAAGCTGTTATTTGTATGTACGTCTCCTTTGTTACGACTTCGTCGTGTATGCTTGATTGGTCTCTTACTGACCATCCCTTGCTACAGACATGATCGATAAGAACACCTACGAGATCCGACAAGACGAAGACAAGACTGTTTATACATCTCTCGACGAGATTAGCGATGATCTCCCCGACCATGCCCCTCGATTCATCCTCCTGAGCTACCCCCTCACCATGGTGCGTTCGATCGATCCAAGCTATCTATATAACACTAACATCCGTGCAGGGCGACGGACGACTATCTGTACCATACGTGCTCATCTTCTACCTCCCCGTCACATGCAATGCCGAGATCAGAATGCTTTACGCCGGTGCGAAAGAGTTGATGCGTAACACCGCCGAGGTCGGACGAATTATCGATATCGAGACAGCAGAGGAATTGGAGGAGATCCCTGACAAGCTCAAGGCGGAGTAAAGCAACGAAACACATGAGCAAGGAAATACGGTGTGGCAGCAAAACGCCTATAGCATGACATACATAAAGGCGCAAAGTTGATAAGTCTGTCTACTCGTCTGGCAGCACATCTTGGGAATTCAATCCCATTTGCGCTGCAAGATTCTTAACTACTCCTTGGAAGGCAATGCATGCCGGACTATCTGGGAATGAGTCAAAGTAACTCTCTCCATAATCACACGCCATCCTAATTCTGGGATCCAAGGGCACTGATCCCAAGAATGGAATGCCCATCTCCTCAGCCAAAGCTCGTCCTCCTCCTGTGCTAGCCTTGAAGATTTGACTCTCATTTGAACACTTGGGGCAAACGAAGCCGCTCATGTTCTCAGCAAGACCCAGTACCCTGATTCCAGCCTTGCGGCAGAAATCTATTTCCTTTCGTACGTCTAGAAGTGAGACTTCTTGTGGTGTTGTGACCATAACAGCACCATCGATGCCACTACCCTTGAGGAATGAGTTCACACTGAGATGTTCATCGCTGGTACCCGGAGGTGTGTCAACAAGCAGGAAGTCAAGGTCGCCCCATTCCACATCCTTGAGGAATTGCTTGATAAGACCGTTCTTTTTGGGACCTCTCCAGATCACAGCGTCGTCCCGGTTCGGTAGTAGAAACTGAATGCTCATAACGGAAAGGTTGTCCATAACCCAGATAGGTGACCATCCTGTACCGCTAACATGGACTGTTTCTCCCTCAACGCCCATCATCTTTGGAATACTGGGTCCACAGATATCTGTATCCATGATGCCCACGGTGCTGTCCGGATTTGTCGCAAAGGCATGAGCCAATAGTGAGGTAAATGTGCTCTTGCCCACGCCACCCTTTCCGCTCAGCACTAGAATCTTATGCTTGACATTCTCCAGACGCGCAGAGATGACTGGAATATCAGGATCAGGTCCTTTTGGCGCTGAAGCGCAGATAGCCTGGTTCGGGCATCCGGCGCATGAGTCCGCTTTACCGGCTTGCTGTGAGTCGGGCCCGACACAGTTTTGAGGTTCTGGCGCAACCAGTTGTGGCTTTTGCTTTATCGGATTGGCGAAAACGTCGTCGACAGACTCTGGTGTTTCGAGCGACGGCGCCATGACTGCTGAGATATGAGATAATGTGAGGTCGTGGTTGTGTATGAGAAGTGGTGAGTCGGAGGTGGCGATCCAGAAGCCGAAGCTTAATAATGCGAATTGAGTAATTTGCAAGATGTACCCTGTTCGACTTGTGACAAAGACAGACTATAAATTTGGGCGAAAATGATAGCAAAATCTTCCGCGTAAAATAGCAGTTGAAATGAAAATAGTTTGGAGATGAAGTTGAGTGAAGGTTGGGTGCGAGATACCAAGATCCAATGATGGTCGTTTCTAGGGTAAGTACTAAACGAATGGCGCCGATTCGCTGCTTAGCAAGCAACGGGCGATAGACGAAAGATAACGCTACAAAATAGATGCCAGTGGACTCTTTCGAACGTTGTTATAACTGCTTTCTTTATATTTAATATGCATCTATCATACACTTCACTGGTATATCTGGTTATTGGATCATGACACCAGTGATGTCTGGCCGTTCCACTCTGTCTCACATCTGGTAGGCAAGATTGAATGTTGGAAACCAGCAGATAGCTGTGCTCTACATAACAACAATACGACTGTAAATAAACTGTTTATTAACTCGTTGAGAATATTTCCAGATCTCCCAATTTCATAGTGATGCCCAAATATCATGGTCTCAGTGAGTTGAACAAGCTGCAGCCCGCCGGATATCGGACCAGTTTGGCGCCGATCTGGCTGAGAAAAAACCGAGGGTGGCGGGGTAGGCTTTCACAAAAGATAAGATAAGCTGGACCCCGCGAAGATTTTATTCTGAACTGACTTTCAGGCACTTAGTGATCACTACGAACTACACAATTTGATACCTAAAATGTCGCCTTCCGCTGATACACCAGAGACCTCTAGCTCGGCCGACTCTACGGTCCTGAGCTTGAGAAAGTCCCTTTGCTCTGAGGACTCGCCTCTACCCATTCGTTTCCGTGCTCTCTTCTCCTTGAAGCACGTCGCGACCACTGCAGATGACGATGCTACACGAATTGCTGCCATCGAGGCCATCGCCGCTGGATTCGCCTCGCCCTCCGCCCTTCTCAAGCATGAACTTGCATACTGCCTGGGTCAGACTGGCAACACTGCCGCTGTCAAACCCCTGCGACAGGTTCTCTCTGATCTAAAGGAGGACCCCATGTGCCGTCACGAAGCCGCTGAAGCCCTAGGTGCTCTGGGCTGGGCAGACAACTTAGATATCCTCCGTGAATTCCGCGATCGTAAGGAGGAAGATGTTAGTATTATCGAGACATGTGAGATCGCTATCGAGCGCATCGAGTGGGAGAATTCAGAAGAGCGACGAAAGGAAAAGCTGCGCCCTAGGTTCGTAAAATCATATGTTGGGTTGCCCCTAATTAACATTTTGCTCTAGTGACTTTGCCTCTATCGATCCCGCGCCCCCCATGCCCGAATCCGAGAAGGAAGTCGAAGTTGAAGAGCTTGGTCGAAAGCTGATGGACACAAGCCTTCCCCTCTTCGTCCGTTACCGCGCCATGTTCGCTCTCCGAGATCTTGCCTCCCCTCCCGACTTGCCAACCGCCACGCCTGCCGTCCTCGCCCTTGCCAAGGGACTGCATGACTCCTCAGCCCTGTTCCGTCACGAGATCGCTTTTGTCTTCGGCCAGCTATCGCATCCTGCGTCTATTCCCGCCCTCACTGAGGCGCTGAGCAACACCGAAGAGGCCAGTATGGTTCGCCACGAGGCAGCCGAGGCACTTGGAAGTTTAGGCGAAGAAGATGGTGTTGAAGATACCCTGAGAAAGTTCCTACACGATAAGGAGAAGGTTGTTCGAGAGAGTTGCATTGTTGCGCTGGATATCGCTGAGTACGAGAAGGGTGGAGAGGCCGAGTATGCCTTGATCCCCGAGTCCGCAGGAGCTGCCGCCTGATTTTGAATGCGCTCGTATTGTCGAGCATTGCGTCTAGTTGTTTTCGTTCCACCTAAAGTAGATATTAGAGATATACCACTGGAAAAGTTTCGGGTTTCATACATATGACCGCATTCGCAGTTGTACATGACCGTAGAGCCTTCGTCTGCACTGCGCAGCTGAACGGTAGTATATCTGACCTCCTCGCGACCACACTTGGGGCATGTTTCTTGGGCGATACTGTCAGTTCGCACGTCGTGCTTCACAACAGATTGGACGGTTGACTGCAGCTTCTGTCTCAAGAAGGAGGGAAAATCGGAGGGCTTCGTTTGCGTGACGGTAACTTTGGAGCCGGTATCTGCGTAAAAGATTAGGACATGCGCCCATCCGGGATCCTACAAACGGAACAAACCTCTGTTTTCAGCACCACAGCACTCGCAGCGCAAGACATTTCGCTGGGTACCTTTTGTCGCGGGCAAAAGGTTACCGCAGTCGGTGCAAAAGACGAGAGTTCCAATGGCAGCCATTTTATATCACAGCACTATAAGATTATGGGGAGTTGTAGGAGTTGTATTATGAGGGCGATGCGCAAAGGTTGATCAAACAAGTTCGGAGACAAAAAATTAGCCCAGCCATCATAGGCTCAAATCAAAAGTTGTATGCCAGGGTCTTCCGGAAAAAAACAGCAAGGCCAGAGTGGGTCGAGTGGAACAAACGCTGACTGGCAGCGTGCCTGACGCACAGACCACTAGTGTCATTTAAACATCCAAAGGAAAGAGCAAGTTCACGAGGCTGATCATTGGTTTCCAAAGCTTTATTGAAGGTTGGCTTTCCACCTCACCGTTTACATTCATTTCCCCAAAAAGCTGGCGAACAATGTTTAATTAACCGCAATTAATTCACGACAATCGCATTCATTGCTTCCACAATAGATTCTATTGGCACGCATTTCACGGAAGCTGCACCGACAACTACGCGCTCGTAGCGTGTCCGCCTATTGTTTCGATTGGAGTCTCGATATTACCTGCGATCTTCCGATGCGCCATCATCCGTTCGCTCCTTCCCTTTGAATCAAGCTCTGTGATGGCTTGCCTCCCCGTACGGGATAATGGACAATATGCATCCCGATAATCATGGGGGCTTTCCCAATGGCCTGCTTGCTCAAACGGGGACTGACAATAACAATGCTGCCGTTCCTCGCAATCGCCCCTTCACTCTGCAAGAAGCTCTGCCCTTCTCACCGCAAACCTCGACGGTTCCATTCATTCCTGGTTAGTCACTACGACTTGGCCATACATTTTGTTGCTGACTCTGGTTAGATATCATCCCCGACCCCGTCTTTGGTTCTGGTTGCCCGGCACTCCCTTTGAACGACTTATTCCAAGCGCACGAATTCAACAGCCTCAACAAGGACGCCGCTGCCCACCCCCAGATGCCGCGCAACGTCAAACAAGCGGTCGACCATGTCCTCCAGGACATCAAGCCTGGCCAGCGAACGCACTAGTACGGGAATCATTTTTTTGCGTATTAATTTTGATAGTATTCTGACCGAGTAATAGCAAGTTTACACCCATTTCGAACACTGTCGCAACTCCGTCAACTGGCAAGAGCCTCATCGAAGGTCTGTCACCGGTCACAAGAAGCGTCTTCGATAAAGTGGGAGGCTACTTCAAAACGACAAAGCCTGGCATTCCCGAAGCGAAACAACTGAATGGCCAAGCTGGCGGCCACACGACCCCTAAGCAACGCTCTGCCTCGATCAATTCCCCAAACCCTCCACAGCCGCGCAGCCTTCCTGCACATAATTCTCAGGCACATAAATCGAACTCTGTTAAGATTGAAGTTGTTATACCGTCTAAGAGAAAATTCGATCCATCCACGTATGTTGATGTGAGGGACGAGCTGCAAGATGACACTCCGAACGTCGCTCCGCAACAAACTCAGCCATTGCCACAACCCATAGCGCCTACCACCGAGTCTTCTGGGCAAAATCATGTGGATACAAACAACAAAGGCTCATTTCGAATCGAACTTCCTCGCGCGAATATCAACCGTGAAGAGTATGTCGAAGTCGAAGAGACGCCAGAGGATCCACACCACCTTTCGGTTCGAAAGCAGAGTCAGCAAGGATATCCCGATAGCCAGGACCTCATCGGAGAGAGCCTGGACCAGCGCCAACGGAGTGAGGCAGCTCTTCATGCACTCGACAAGCTTGTACGCACCGTCTTCAACTCGGTGGGACGAGTTCTTGGAGATGAGCAAGGTCATGAAGAAGTCGTTTCCATGACATCAGAACAAGAGGTTGCTATGACCGCCTCTTCGCAACAGAAAATGCATGGTGCGATTCAGAAGACGATTACTCTCAGATGTTTCGACCGAATTCCTGTAGAGCACCTGGTCCAAATAATGAAGCTGAGTGATGCAAGCTTGAAGCAAGTTGAAAGCTTGGAGATACGGGTTGACGAGACTTGGAACGATGATGCCGTTGATGCATGGGTGCAGCAGCTTTCTGATGTGGAAACAATGCTGAAGTCAGCCCGTACATGTCTCCGCATCCTCTCCGGTGGCAGAGAGGATAAGCAACTATACTCCGAAACCATCATTCAAAGGAGCGTGGATATTTTCAGAAAGGTCACTGAGGACGTCGTTATGCCCCTCGTGGAGCTAAGGCCGTCCGGGCCTGCCTCAGGAGTTTTCAAAGCTCTGTCAAAAAACAAGAAGCCTATCACATCGGTCTTCCTTTGCTGTCAAAAGTTGTTTGCATTGCTGGCTGAGCTTGTCACCAAGATCGAGCTCTCAGAGACCGTGATCAATTCCCTGGAATACACGGCATCGCGACTGATATTTATGGAGAATGCCTATTTCGAGAAGGACTCCGTCGTAGGGGTTCAGAAGTTCGACGGACTCCGTTCTGTTGCAATGGATATGCTGTCCCAGATCTTCTTGATTAAGCCAGAACAACGCCAAGGCATCATCAATGAAATTCTTTCTTCACTCGAAAAACTGCCAGTCGGCAAGCAAAGTGCTCGCCAATTTAAACTTTCGGACGGAGGAAGTGTCCAGCCTGTTTCTGCTTTGATCATGAGACTGGTTCAAGCAAGCTCTGGGCGAGTGGATGACAACAAAGACAATGATCGTCACAAGTTGCTTCGGAACATCAACGGTGAACCGGAAGGATCAGACGACGAGGAACGCGCACCCACAGGCCCCAAGCAGTTCGTTTCCTCGATCAAGAGTGAGATTCAAGGCGCAAAGCAACACAGCGTCGCCATTAGGGATCTTGAGATTTCTGTTTCTCCCCTCACCGATGCTGCGCAGCGCAATGCATCGTATGTGATAAGTTATATTGTCCAGCGTGCTATTGGTTCGACCAAATCTGGTGATACTCCTTATCGAAATTTGCTTGATCTTTTCGTCGAAGATTTTACCACTTGCCTCGACTCACCAGATTGGCCGTCAGCTGAACTCCTACTTCGTGTGTTGATGGTCAGAATGGTGCAACTTTTCGAAGCACCCAAGACTGCTGCTCCAGCGAAGAATATGGCACTGGAACTGTTGGGTGGTTTGAGTGCTGCCATCTCCCGCCTCCGCTCCCATGTTCAAAAACTCATGAACTCATCACATGGCAACGAAGCTGATGACTTGTCACGATATCTTGCCGACATTGCTAACCAAGCATTGGAACACAAGACCCGCGTGGAACAGCTTGTAGCTTGGGCTGGACCTTACAGAGCCGTTCTTGAGCATGTGCAAAGCCGAAGCAGCGAAGATCCCCATTTATCAAGTGCAATCTCGTTTCTAATTGCAGGCTGGGCATTGCAGGTGCACAACGGCTACGATTCTTACAACGATGAGGAGGAAGAACGAGACGAAGAATTGGGACGCCTGGCTTATCGTCTTAGGATGATGATTGAGGACCGTAGATGGCTCGTGAACGAGTACACTTTCAAGAGTGTCTCAGCGAACCAGGCTAAACTCTCTTACTGTATCATCTTGCTGCGTTCACCTCTTTGTGAAGCCTTCAGCAAGATCCTCAACATGCTGCTTGGCTCTATGGCCAGCGATCAAGCTACAGTCAGAAGTAGGAGCCTCAAGAGTGTCAACCAGGTTTTGGAGACAGATCCCTCGATCTTGGACGGCGACTCAACCGTTATTGATCTGATTTTGGACTGCGCAGGCGATTCATCTATCCAAGTAAGAGATTCTGCACTCGGACTCTTGGGCAACTGCATGACGATGCGTCCTCGTCTTGAGAATTCATTAACACCAATGATCGTCAATCGATTTCAGGACAATGGTCTCGGCGTAAGGAAACGTGCAATGAAACTTACTCGTGATATTTATCTTCGGAATCACAGTAAGACACTCCGCAGCATGATAGCCAACGGGTTGCTGCGCCGAGTGCAGGATCCTGACGAAGGCGTTCGCGATCTAGCTCGCCAAATGATCGAGGAAGTTTGGTTCGCGCCATTCTACCAAGACGAGGGAACCGCCGTGTATCAGACGACGCTCAGTGAGCATGTGTCGCTTGTCATTCAAACTGTCAAGTCTGGAACGGTCACAGAGATGCTTGACAAGGTGTTCCGGTCCATCCTCAAACCCAAAGATAAATCTTTGAGTGGACCTTTTACAGTCTGCACCAAGCTCGTCGCTCACATGTTTGGACTGATCGATAACCTCGACCCTGAAGATCCTACAGTCCCATCTGGCCGCGATGCACTGCACGTGCTTACAATCTTTGCCAATGCTGAGCCCAAATTGTTCAACTTCGAGCAGATCCGGCTTCTGCTACCGCATCTAGCAAACTTTTCGAAGCCAGAGGAGCTGGTCGCTTTTCGGCATGTGACTATTATCTATCGTCGAGTTTTGCCGACCTTGACCAGTGTTCATACAGAGTTTCTATCAGAAGTGCGCACGTACCTACTGAAAGCTCTCTCCAAGATCAGCCAGCGCAACTCCCTGGACGATTTGGTTGCTTGCACTCAGGTGGTTTGTGGGCTGCTCAACGTCTACACTCCACTGATCGGTACTCTGCTATCTAGTCTGCTAAAAATCGAACAGATACAGGCCAGACCTATCGACCAAAATTCGATCAATTTGACCTACGCGTACAGTCTGCTGATTGGTATGGTTGCAAAACATTGCAAACTGGATGAGTGGACAGCGCCGTTCAAACAGAAATTCCCTAAATGGAAAGGAGATTCCGTCCCTTTGTTGGCCGTTGAGAAACTGGTGCCCCTTGCAGCACCCTCAAAGCCACTCGAGATCCGCAAGTCAGCACTCGACGCCCTTGGATTGATCTGTCAAGCTTGGCCACGCAATTATGCGGTCCCTAAGCTGTACACATTGTTTGACCAGGTCTTCAAAGAACAAATCCCTGGTCTTGAGATGTTGATATTAAGATCATTCCGAGAGTTTCTTGTGACCGAAGAAAAACGCTCGGAAACAGCAGCAGAGGCGCCAGCTTCTGGTAAAAAGCGAGAGTTGACAGTCATGGGAGGGACCAACTTTGACGATGTCGCTAGTGCTACTTCTCAGCGATTTTTGAAGTACATCTCTCGCATTGCACTGTCGGGCCAGGGTGATCATGCTTTCCTCGCCACAGAGGTTTTGGGTAGCATTAACCGACAGGGTCTAACACACCCCAAAGAGACCTGTGTTACGTTGATGACCCTCGAAACTTCGACGAACCGACGAATTGCGGAACTGGCGTTTTCTGAGCATCGGTACTTACACGAGAAGCACGAAACCGTGCTTGAACGAGAGTATGCCAAGGCGGTGCAGTCAGCTTTCGCATACCAGCGGGATGTTGTGGAGGATACTCGTGGTGCAACAACAAACCCCTTCCAATCCAAATTACACTTCCTGATGGAAGTGCTCAAGATTAGCAAGATGAAGAATCGTCAGCGCTTCTTGGACAAGCTCTGTGGTCAGCTGGACTTTGACCTTGCCAAACTGGAAACAACCGAGGAGATACCGTCTCATATGGCTTTTGCACGCTTCATCACCGAGAACCTGGCATATTTCGAATACCAGACGGTTGGAGAGTTGCAAACCACCGTGAATGCAATTGAGAAGATGGTGACCAGCACTGGTGCCCCCCTCGCGCAGGCCATCGAGTCGGAGATCTTCAACGTTCGCGTCGATACACTACAATCTTCAGCACCCGAGGCCTCAGCGCCAGCTCCTGCAGTTTCAGAGGACCCAATTCCTGGAACAGCACCTGGAGCAATACCATTGGAAGGTGATGCTAGAACGGCTTTGGCGATTGCATCCGAAGTTGAGCCCGCCCGACTGCGTCAGCTGGCGACTGCGTCTATCATCCTATTGTCAATGTGGGAAACACGAACCCATTTGCGTCGTCTTTATGGCATGGGTAACAGTCGGCATGACAGCAAGGCGAAGGCATTGGCTAAAGATTTGAACAAGACACCAGTCAAAGTTCAAGGTGTTCATGGAGACAAGGTATGGGACGAGATTGAGTCCCATATGGGCGGACTCCAAGACCAAGAACGAATGGTACAGAAATGCACCGCTCTCGTGGAACTCCTGAATGTCGATAAGGAGTTCAAGATTGCGGATGACGCTGATCAGATGGATATGGACGGTCCTTCGACCCCAAGTGGAGATGAAGAGGAAGACGAAAGCAATGTCGCGCTTGACAGAGGCCGCAAACGAAAGGGAGGAAACACACCAGGTGGACGAAAGAAACGGGCGAGGTCCGATTCGCAACCACGGAAGAGAGGACGACCTAGGAAGAACCCGTTGCCTGAGCCTGACGTGGGTGCAGATGTTGATGGGGACTGGCTTTGAAGAGATTTGGAGGCTCATAAAAACAGCCGACACGGGATATCATTTGAATCAGTTGGACTGGTTTTGACATGAACAATGCATATCGGGACAGGCGTTCTCATCCCGCAAGAGCGGATTTAAAGAGTATTTAGTGGGAAAGTGGCCTTGCGAATAAGTTTCTGAAAGGAATTAAAAACAGGAGCCAGGAGATGATGCATGGCGTTTTTGGAGCTTTGCGATTTATGATACCTGAGCTATTCACATATGTAGCTCACCTTAATGGCAATGGGAGGGAGCCTGCAAAGAGCATCATACTCGTTAGCCCAAGATATGGGTATTTCTGAGTACAGTACCTATATACAAATTCGACGACCCAGTACTACTTTTATTGCACGTTGCTGTAAACAATATTAATACAATGAATAGATGAGAAACTTTGACACTACATGTGAGATCGTGATCATGTCTTGATGGATTGGTTCTTTGTGAAACAACAGTCCAGAAAACAAGTTGAAACAGGAAATCACTGTCCGATGTGAATAAGACGGCAATAATATAGCCATGTGAGTGCCAAGAATCAAGGCAATTGGACAAAGATGGCTGCATAGATGACATAACTTGAACATTTGTGCATCAAGTCAGATCGCCAAGACAAGGGTAGATCGCTCGGCAACACTTGGCCGGCTTGGCATAGACTAACCCCTGCCAACATCCAGGACCAGTCTTTGAAGAACCTCTCGCTTGAATGATGACGACCCGCAACAACAAGATTTTTGTCATTTTGTGTTAGCTTGATAAAACGTCTTCCAATAGCCTGTGATCAGCTGCATCACACTGAATCATGGATACTACTCAGCCATCCACGTATATGTACTGTACGTGTAGGTGTTGCAAGTGTCTGTGGCTGACCATGTCACCATCAGTGCGTATGTAGGTCGGTAGAGTAGAGTGGAACGACCCAGCGTCTAGACTGCAAGCTTTGAATCATGCTTATTGGAGGACTTTTGCTCCTGAACAGGAGACAAAAGGAGGAGGCCTCTGGAGACCGGAATCTTTGCCGCTGACAGTGATTATGCCGTTGCCGTTACCAGGTAGAGTACAGTCCATACCTAATAACTGTAAGGTAGCAGTAGCGTAGTATCAGACCTCTGGTTGTCCCCTTTGACGTGTCGCTCATAATGAACCAACCAGCCAGTGATACACAAGTGGCATAGCACAGGCAACAAAGATGGCATTTTTCAGGGAAATGAAATGTAATTAAAAGGGGACAATGAGAGACAAGGACAGTGAGGTCACTATTGATTTAAGCTAACGGGGAATCAACAAAACGGTGCCCACCACCAACCCTTCCCGTTCTCGAATTCTTGGCAGTTCATCTTCTTATTCCCCTACCTACCTTACGGATAGGATACCTTATTTTTACTTTTGCACTGCCGTAGTGACACGCACACGCACCCATCCATCCGCTGCTGAGTGCTGACCCACGCATCAACTTGGACCCCAGTTCTTGGCGATGTCTACCTGTAAGCTCCTTTCTATTCTTTTCACATTTACTCACACATAGCCTTTGTTACTGTACTGTTATCATCATTATCATTGTTTACTTACTCACATCGCTATAGTCAATCACTTCAACATCAAGCGTCAAGCGCACGCCCTTAGCCGTACCAGTACCGATCAATCGTGGAACCCATTTCGTCACGTCGCCTGGAACCGCCGAGCGCGCACTTTTTCTGAAGCCGGCCTGGAAGGACAACAACGTACTCGAGACGAGACTACCGGAGAAGAATTGTCACACGCCGTCACTGACCCTGGTCGAAGCGGACCAGCCAGAGAGTGGTCAACAGCAGAGACGATGATGGACACGAGGAGAAGCAAGGAAGAAGGTTATGACAGAGAAAAGATGGCCGGAGGAGGCTCACCCATTGATGGAAGCGACGACATTCCTACATCACAGCGCTCACTCGTCGGCGATGAAAATCAATTACGAAACCGAAGACGCGAAGATGTCCCAGCCGCCGCAGACCAAAACGTTGATTTGGAAAAGAGAAAACTCGACAGGCGACAATCATCAAAACTTTTCCGCAATGTCCAGCCGAAGGAGCCTTTCACCGTCCGAAACCAATTGGAGAGGACCTTTCTCAACTCATACATCAACATCCTTCTTATCGCCGCACCGGTCGGAATCGCTCTCAATTATATCCACAGCGTGAACCGAATCGCCGTATTCGTGGTCAACTTCATCGCAATTATTCCACTCGCCGCCATTCTCAGTTTCGCCACGGAAGAAATTGCCCTACGAACTGGTGAGGTTCTTGGTGGTCTAATCAATGCCACTTTCGGTAACGCTGTTGAACTCATCGTCGCTATTTTGGCTTTGGTGGATAACAAGGTTATCATTGTCCAGACCTCTTTGGTGGGATCAATTCTCAGCAACCTGCTTCTGGTCTTGGGTTTCTGTTTCTTCTTTGGTGGTCTGCGACGTGAAGCCCAGTATTTCAATGAGACAGTAGCACAGACTGCGGCTAGGTAAGTTTCAAACACTGACTCGATGAACTTTCTTTGTTAACGAGGTTCCACAGCATGCTCGCTCTAGCTGTCGCTTCCGTCATTGTGCCAACCGTTTTCGACCAAGCCAGGGACACACCGGCCACTAACGTTGCCCGGCTCTCAAGAGGCACAGCTGTAATCCTCCTCATCGTTTATGCGGCTTATCTTCTTTTCCAGCTCAAGACCCACTCAAGCACTTTCCGACAGGAAGGTCAGAAGGTTGCCGCGAAACCTTGGTCGCGTGGTGGTGGCGGCGGCGCGAGTCTCCGTCAAGGTGTCATGGTCCCCGGTGCTCTTGTTGGCGGTGGCATGACAGGTCGCGAAGAGAACGAGCGTCTTTCCCAGATGCTCATGAACCCCCATCGACTACCAAAGAATGAGGAAGATGAGGATGAGGAAGAGGAGCCCCAGCTGCACTTCTGGGTGGCAGTTGCTACACTTACTATTGCCACCGTTTTGATCGCCCTTTGCGCTGAGTTCATGGTTGACTCTATCGACGCCGTTACGAAAACCGGTGGTGTATCTGAGGAGTTTGTCGGATTGATCTTGCTGCCAATCGTCGGTAACGCAGCTGAGCACGCAACGGCTGTGACTGTCGCAATCAAGGACAAGATGGATTTGGCCATTGGTGTTGCAGTCGGAAGCTCCATGCAAGTTGCGCTATTCTTGATCCCTCTGCTGGTCATCATTGGCTGGGGCATGGGTAACGACGAGATGAACTTGAGTTTCGACTTATTCCAGGTTGCTACCATGTTCGTGGCTGTCTTGCTGGTCAACTACTTGATTGCGGATGGTAAGAGCCATTGGCTGGAGGGTTGGCTTCTTATCTGTCTCTATTCTATTATTGCTGTTTGCTCTTGGTGTAAGTCAAATCTAACAGTTTACTTAACTTTACTGACCACAAGACAGGGTACCCAACTCACTCCGACGAGGCCACTGCGTCTTAAGTTGCACCTCCGCCGATTTCTCAGCCCATGGCGCAAGCTATTCGAAAACTTTCCCTATTGATGTTCATATTTCAGCCCCCACATGGCTACCCGTCCTTGCCCCAATGATATGATATGGATACTGGTTAAGGAGGCACTTGTACAAAGTCTATTTGAATTTTGAGAATCTATTCGAAGTTTACTTCATCACAATCGTTGAGGCGAAGATGACCATACCAGTGCGAAGCGATAGGCGTTGAAGGCAATGTCAATTTCTAGTTATAACTAGTCTCAATAAAATCGAGATTAAAAGTACCTCCGGTCCCAGATTATGAGACGAAAGTCCTATTATCTACTTTGTACTGTACCCCAGCTGCTGCGACTATTCGTTCGTTAGTGGGTAGTAGAGAAAATAGGATCGTCTGATAATGGATAAAGAAATGTCGGCTGGGAATAGTAGTCATGAATAATGAGTTAGCTACCCTAACCCAACAGCAATGAACAAATATTTCACTCTTTTATGCTGTTAAAATGAGTGATTATCTACTATTCATCTTGTTCAAGCTTTCCATACACTTCAAGACAGCTATTGTGAACAGCCAATCACATTACACAGTGATGTTGGTACAGCATCAAGCTTCCAAGACCAGAAGGCGGTGAATTGATTCTGCCGCGACCTCCAACCTCACGTTCCAAGCGCTCATGCTACTGACGATAACCGTTTGCGACAAGCGATTCTCCATCAACAGCCTCGTGATCGGCTTAGTCAATCAAGTCAATCCACTCAGAGCAACATGCGAGCTACAGGATTGCATCGCGCCCTGTCGAATCTTCCTCTGTAGCGAGCGAGCGACAGCCCGATCCCATGTCACGAAATGGTAGCTCCAGGAACCCGGTCCCACGCATGGGACCGCCGCACTGGCGACAGTTTAGCAAGTCGAGCTTAGATCGCACCCATATCGAGGTCCCAGCTTCCCCCGCGAGCGTATCGACCCATTCCACTCTCAAGGAAGAGAAGCGAACAAGAATAGAACGCCGATGTACTGTGACGGTCAACGAAGGCTATGCCCGGGACGAGGTCCTGCTCAATTTCGATGTAGTGGGCGCCGACGTGAAGCCTGGAATGTTGATGTGTATATCGACCGTGAAGGACGACCTGCGAAAGATTTCCGCTGGGCATGGTGCCAGTAGCAAACAAAATCAGGATGCTTCCAAGGGAATGTCAGGAACCCAAAATGGAGACAGCGCGGGTTTTAAGTATTTCTTTGTCGCAAAGGATATGCCTCAAGAGACCAAGACTCGGAATCCTGACGTCGAAGTCTATGTTTTGAAGCATATCGCCGATGCCTTTGGGATGAAGAAGGGTTCTCAGGTTCTCTTGACAATGGTGAGGGATCCCTCCCAGCGTGAAATGCATGATGCTAATATCGATCAAGGTGGATTCCAAGAATCCAGCTACGGAAGCTTCTCACGTAGAATTGTCGTTCAAGGATCAGTACCTGTCTAGATCGGACATTTGGAGAATGACTGTCGGAGAACTGACTGGAAGAACTGTTTACAAAGGCCAATCGGTACTGTTCATGGGCACCATCAAAGCGCAAGTCACTGCAATCTATCATAATGGTCGCAAGGTGCACTCTGCGTTCTTCACCCGCAACACCCGGCCTATCTTCCGAAGCGAATCAGCAAGATACGTTCTTTTCATCCAGATGGCGAAAGAAATGTGGGAGTTTGATGCAGAAAGCTCCGGTGAGATCATGTTCAACAAGGTCGTGAACGGGTTTCTCCCTGCGCTATTCAAGAGATGGGCTATGCTCAAGGCTAAGCACCTGGTCAGCATCGTACTGTTCGCGCGTGTAGAGTATGATACTGGTTTGACGGCGGAGTTCGACAGCCTTTCTGGTGACTTTTATACCGGCATACAGCCCTCTGGACCACGTCGACCGTATAAAGACTTTTACCGAGTGGTAGTCAGCGAGATGGGTAGCGGAGAATGGACAAAGATTTTGCACCAGCTGAAGGTAGAATTCAACTTCTTCCGCCGGGATATCAGTTTGTACCATCACAAGCTTAACGCCCTAGCTGAGATCAATGGTCCGGACTCTATTCCTAAGGATACACCTCCGTCTCGCGTCAAAGCCGAGTCGACTTATGCCATGTATGGCAACGTTCTAGAGGCAATAAACCTCGCTTCATCTCAGTTCGCGCACGATCATATTGATAGAGATCTCACCAGGACAGGAATATCGATTGCGGTGATCAGTCCTGGCTCTGGTGTTTTTGAGGTAGACTACGAGACTTTGCGAAGGACTACTGAGGCGTTGGTAGGGAACGGTATTGGCATCGATCTGATATGTATGCCCAAAATGCCCTTGCATTCAGTGCCCCTCTTCAAATACCGCAACCCGCAGTACTCTGATGACCACGGTCATGCTCATAGATCAAGCTTCTCGAGATCATTCCACAGTCGCGATAGCACACCCAATCACCCTACGCCAGTGATCGGTAGTTATCAATCTCTTGGCGAATCGTTCTCGCCTTCAAAAGGGCTGAGTCTTTCGCGTCGTGCCGATCCCATGATATCCATGGCAACAAGCGATCAGTGGTGCTTTGCGCTTCCGCAATGGCTTCATGTTTCGTTCTGGACTGGCGCCTCTGACGAGGCGCTATCCTATGAAGGTATCGCTTTGTCTGTGTCTAATAAGGTTGTGCAAGATGATGAAGATGAGTTCAACATTCGATGCCGCATGTACGCCCTGCAGATGAGAAGTGTTCTCGAAACAAACGAGATCGAAACGACGCCTTTGCAAGTTGACACGCATTTCCCCGCCAACATTACCGAACCACCATCCTCGCAGAAATATCGTAACACTGGAATCAACGATACTGTGTATATTCCCAAGAGACGTCCGCCGGATGGTCTCTTTGACCACATTTATGGGTTCCAAAGATTTGTTCCAGACAGGTTGGCACGTCCTGGCGAAAAGTCTCTATGGAAACAGTTGCAAGAGTTTGATGATCACAGAGCAAAGATTTCTCATGGTCGTAGTCGGCATCACTCCTCTCGATATGCCAAGGATTTGGACGAAATCACGAGAAGGCAGTTGGCTGAGGACTCGGGGCTTTATGGAACCTCGCTCCCAGAGAAAAGGGCGCCTATACTCGGACCTTCGGCAAGGAAATTGTCAATGAATATCACTGATGGTGATAAGCCATCGCCAACCAGTCTCAAGAAGAGCGCCGAACCAACAACACCGAAGCCACCCAAACAGATAGCGAAACAGCCGAAGTTGATGAGGCAGATCAGTCTTGGCCAGAGAGGATTTGGTATTGCTGCCCCTAAGGCAGTGGTTGCAGAGATCAAGGCTGAAACAGTCAATGCTTCTGGCGTCACTTCTGGCGAAGCAAAACAGCCATCAACACCTCGAGTCCGGCCAGAGCTACGCCCAAGCTCTCCACAGACAATCTCCAGTCATCCATCATCGGTTTCCATTCAGAAATATCGGCTGGATGCTCCAGACACTATCGTCGAAGGAGTGCCTATGACTCCCAGTATTCCTATTCTCAAGAGAAACAATTCCAATCTGGATGTGGCTGCGATGCAGCTGAGAAACGCATCAACCACGATAGGCACGTCAATTAATACTCGGCAGCAGAAACGGGACGACGATCGCGATCTCAAATATTCGGAAGCCCTTCGCGCTGATGATGCTCAGAAACTGTATACCAATAAACTGCGAGCCGGTGCATTGAGTGATGCTGTTCAGGATCTTCCTACGACTCTGTCGCCCACCACTGCTAACACGCCGTGGCTGACTCTTGTCAATCCTTCAAACCCAGAAAGTCTTGCGATTGACGATACCGTCTTGTATAGTCGATGGCAACATGTTTATCCTCAGATTGCCCAGATGAAGGTTCAGAAATGGAAGGCTCTTTGCTGTCCTGCGTCTGTGCCCCTGACCACCGAGTACTTCCCCTCAAAGACCCAGTTTGATACGGAGTATCATCGTCATCCGTATACCGTCGAACAGGACGCTGATGATGATGTGGTCGAGGCACCAAAATCTCGCCAGGAATTCATCCAAGAACTGATCAGTTTGCGATTCACGCAAGGATTTCAAGTTGTGGTAGGGCCATTAGTCGCTCGCGCTTTTGGACAGAACCAGATCAAGATTGGCGACATCTTCTCAAGAGATCAACCCCTGGAGGATGGTACAAGTATCTTCATGTCAGTCGGTAACAGCATCCATCAACTTTCATGCGTCAACGGCACGGAAGTCGAGGTGAACATCTTCATGCGAAAGCCGACGGATACCTCGTTCATTTCCCAAGGTTTCTCGCCAATCTACAAGCCTGCTATTCGCACGCTGTTGGATGACACCTACGAAGCGCGAGAGATTGATCTTCTCACACCCCGTACTGACCGCAACTGGAACATGATTGATTCATACATTGCTGGGCATCACGACGAAATGACAGACAGTCTTCGCTTCTGGCGGGCGAGATTCGTCCTTATTCCTGTTCTGCGAAAGGATGTCCCAATAGCAAGGACACAAACAGGAGATCATGCCGAAGAGGTACGAATTGAAGGTATCAAGCGTCTTGCTCAATCTTGGCAAAAGTATCGCTACATTCCCCCGACAGAGCGGAGGTATCATACAGTTGGCCAGCAAAAGCGACAACGTGACCCCAACCCGCTCGACATCGTATGGAAGACAGATGATCCTTCGGTGGTCATTACTGCTGAAGTTGAAACGCTTCCTCTCACAGAAGGTGTGGAAGGTGCTAATCGAAAGGGGCTGGTGTCGAACAAGGATCGTTTCAAGAAGTCCAATTTGAATTTGACGACCTTGGCTGACGCCATGCAGCAACCTGTCGAGAATGGAGGTGTTAGGCTGCAAAATCGCAGATGGCATCTTCGGCTCTACTCTGCCTCTTTCATCGGATCTGACATGGTTACATGGCTACTTGACAACTTTGAGGATCTTGATAGTCGAGAAGACGCCGAGGCGCTAGGCAATGCCTTGATGGTGCATGAAGAACCAAAGTCTGGAAACACCAAAGACAAGGGCGGTCTCTTTGTTCACGTTGACAAGCGACATCAGTTCCGCGATGGTAACTACTACTATCAGATCGCCAGTGAGTATGCCAAGCCTCATGTGGGATGGTTCAACAGTCGGCGAGCTCCTGTGCCGCCAACTCCAAGTCTTGAGGCTTCGAATCGAGACTCACCCCGAACTCTGATGTCGGCTCGTTCGGGCGAGGAAAGCGGTTCCCCTGCATCAACCTCAACAACACCGACCATATCGCTCCCCTACGGCGGAAAGAGGCCAAGGGTTGTGCTAAGCAAGGTCATAAAGTATGATGTTGATCATCGCAAGCGGTCATATAGACCAGAGAGGATCGACCTGCATTATGACCGTCTTCACAACCCTGACAGCTGCTACCATATTCGCATCGACTGGATGAATGTTACGACAAAACTGGTGGAGGATGCAGTCGAGAGTTGGGCTCGAGAAGCCAGCCAGTATGGCCTTCGACTTGTTGAAGTGCCTATCAAAGAGGCATGCACCATTACTGAGACGAACCCATTTAGAAGACCATATCGCATCAAGTTGGCAGCCCGTCCTCCAGATCAGAAGCCTGAGACGTACATCGACCCCAATTCCTTGGGCCCGACAACATCTCCTAACAAACACTTCTACCAAACGGCAATTCTCAAGAAGTTCGATTTTGTTTTGGATATGGAGGCAGCATCCAACTTCCCAAGCAACGTCGATGTAAGCTACTCCTGGGGAAAGCCTGAGTACAAGTACACCCAGTACATCCATCGCAGTGGCACCCTATTAGCTGAGATCACGGACGAAGGCGATCTTTTGATCCTGGCAAACCGGCTGTATAGCAATCGTCCTGCAAACCCACGCGACAGTAACAACCTCCGTTCCATTGACCCACCATCTTTGGCAGAGCGCGGCGGCCGCATGTCCTCGTACGGCGCCTATTCAACCTTTGGAATGACAGAATCCGCAACGCTATCCTCGCCGCTCCTCAAACCAACACACTATTATCACTCGCCAGCGCTGAAACCAGCTGATCAACAGCATAAGCCCATACCCGCAACAACTCCCGATCCCGATGCTCTTAATGCCGAGATTGATGAGTTTTGCAAGAACAAGACCGCACTTGAAGAGTTCTATAAAGAAGCTTTAGAGAAGGGTCAGAAGGTCCAAGGCACGCCCGCAACAGCGCCGGTGGCAACGCCGTTGGAGGCTGTGCCTGAAGCTAGTATCCCGACGCTTGGATTACCGCCAGGTGTTTTGGGAGGAAACGATGGAGCGCCGACGAAGCGGCTTAACAGTCCCATGTCGTTTCTCCGAAGGAGCAGTGTTCAGTATGATGGCGGATCGAGTCTGACTGGACATTAGAAGGAAGGTCGTATACTTTTCAGGATATCATAATGAATTAGCGATGCATGTCTGCCCAAGGCGGTGATGCTTGCACATGTATTAATAGTATTGAGCGTAAATTCCTCACATTCATCAAGACACTAGACAAGACATGATTATTTCTTGACGCAGTACACTTGTAAACCATTGCATTGTGCAAACTAACACTAGGGGTATACTAAAGCAAAAGGCAGCCCAAAATATAAGACTCCTTCTAAGTAAATCACGCTGTTCCATCCATCGTATCTCATACCTTGGTAATGTGTCCCTATATGCGCCGCATTCTTTATCCATATATATCATCTAAACCCTCGAGAAATTACTGCCTCCAATGTCATCATATCAAATACTTTTTCGCCCTCAGGCAATTGTGCCACCCTGGTTTAAAACAATGCAGTTGTTCAACAGAGTAGCGGCTTCATGGAGAAGCTCCCAGCGTGTTGTCTCGAAGGTATCTTTGAGAACCATGAGAAGAGCCGTATTCGAGTTGAAGCCGACTCTGTTCTGCAGGTCGGACGGATCCTCGATTGTGCCGAACTTTATAAAATAATTCCTCATGTGATGCAACTTCTCCTGCTTGTTGGTTGGCAATGGAATATTCGGGCAAGGGCCCTCCAGTGCAAATCCGTAACTCCATACAACCAGCGCAGCAAAGTACATGACCCAAGGTCGGTTCAGAAGAACGTCGTCTCGAGCGTCATAAGGTTCATCGAGATGATAGCCACCGGCGTGCGCTGGAGAGACTTGGTCAGGAGCCAGAACGGAGCACAGGAACTTGATCGCGTAAAAGGCAGCATCTCTTGCTCTTGCAGAATGCGCCCAGTGGTCTTTGATTCGCCTCTGAGCACTGTTGAATTCTTGAGGCCCAATAGTTCTGCCAAGCAGACGCTTTGCCCGAGCAAACATCTGGCAGTCGACAATGTCGGCATGCATGGCCATATGAGCCAGATGATGCAAAACTGTGCGGCTTTCGAATACAACATTGAACTCTTGTCGCTTAGTAGCATCATCCTGGTAAGGGTCGGCTGCTTCGTTTCGCTCTAGATGCTTGTCAAAATCCGCCTTCCAAGTGTCATATGCTCGAGTCAGAGTAGCTCGCCATCGATCACGACCACCCAAAGCTTGGATAATACCACCACCCAAAACGTTGACCTGAAGATCTCGCTGGTGCATATGCCACGACACACTCAAGAGACCTGTCATGAGAACGGTTCTGCCGAAGGAAGTTGTGTGAACATCTTGGCCGCTCAGTGTTCGCTTGAGACCTTCCAAGAACGAAGTCGGCTTGATACCGTTCGACATCAAGTTTGACTCAATTCTCCAGACTTCGGAGCTGCTTCCTGCTCTCCACATAGACTCATCACAGGGAAGAGGCAGTCGCATTTCATGAGCGACCATGACCGCTGAGTGGCCGAACATTGTGGCATGAATCGAATCAACGATGAATGCAGCGAATGCCGCACGCCTGGTCGCCTCATTGGTGACCCAATGCTCCCACCACTTATCGGCTGTTCCAGTGGCGCTGGAGGTGGAGGACTGTCGGGAACCGTTGGACCCATCGCGGGGGTTTGGCGGGGAATCCAATGCAGATTTGCCGATCAGGGACCGTCCCCTTCGCATTAAAGTTATCGTGGTAGCGTGGTGGATGTGGGCCCTTTCGTGGAGTTCTCTTGTAGCAAACATTTTCTCGTAAAGTTCAAGTAGGATTAAAGCTTGGAAGATCCATAGTTTGGCAGGCGGTCTGAAGTTGACATCCATGAAGATATCCCAACGAAGATGCCAGGCAAGGAAGTTGGACAGCTTGGCACTCGCTCTTGTCACCTTGTGCCCGTGAGTTCGATCGAGACAAGCACCTCCAATAGCCATCATGGCAAGTAACAAAAGATTGGGAGTCTTGTCAGGCGAGAATGTAGGCTTATGAAGAATGGGCATCTGGTCACTAAAATGGTACCAGTAAGAACCGATATAGGCCTGCATCATTCTCTTGCTAAGCATGTGGCCGCCGTTCGAGCGATCGCCCTCCAGTAGATCGACCCACTGGCGATCAGGAGGAGCATGTTTATTATCGTGAAATCGTTCTTTGATAAAATCGAACAGCTCTTGACTCTTCTCCTCGGATATCGTAGCTTCAGGAACCTGTTGATCGAGAAGATTGTTGACAGCCATAACCTGCTGGGGAGCAGTTGGGAAATAGCCGAGCGAGTTACTGTCAGTACCCAGAAGAGACATGTTGAACTGATTGCCTTGCAATTCCGCATAACTAAGCCTGGATTAGCACGATCACTCACGTATACTAGGGCTGCTACTAACTTGGTGTAGTTGGGTCCCATAACAGGAGTCATAGCCTGGCTTGGAGAGTTGAAGAGATACGCCATAAAATCCTCGGGCATTCCGACGTAAGGTGACTTATTCAAATCGCCACCCTCTCCAAAGACAGGGACAGTCGCGGGCATGGCCATCTGGTCAAGCATCATCATCTCGGTGGCCTGGGTAGTGCCTGGCTCGGAATACTCGGCCGAAGTAACGGCAGTAGAATTCTGTCCATTGGAGTACTGAGCCGGAGGCAGATTCATAGGCATTACATTCTGCTGGCTGACGAAGTTGTTCTGTCCCATGTTTTGTTGATGTTGATTCGAAAAGCCTTGTTGGTTAGCAACGGGGGACATTACGTTGTATTGTGAATTGCCGGCCGAAATGGAAGGTCTTTGGGACACTGAAGGTGACTGGGGTTGGCTAAGCTGTGGCGTACGATTATCGTATCCCTGGGTTGGGGACATGTAGCTATCCATGCCATTAGGCACATTGCCGTTTTGATACATCCCAGTTGGAGCATTGCCCATGGGCGAGTAAGGACTGGGTGTTGGAACTTGAGGTGGTTGATAGGGCGCATTCGTTTGTTGCGGTCTTCCGTAGTCGATGGAGTTGTTCCGACTGAAACTGGGGGGTTGTCCGGGAGCAATAGGTGACGCCATGTGCCCGGCCATGGTATCTCTTTGATTAAGCTGTGAGCCTTTCGCTGCATGTCGGTCCATATGTCTTTTGAGAAGATCTCCCCTAACAAATGTCCGTGTGCAGTTGGGAAAGGTGCAGTGGTAAGTTTGTTTCGAGTTGTGGTTTAGTTGATGTCGATACCTGGGTTCTATGTCAGCATATTGATAGGTAAGTTGCACGAAGTCAAGTCATACAGATGTTCGGCTCTTGAGTAACTCTTCCCGCACCCTTCAGCGCTGCACTCAAACCTCTTGTCCAAGCCTTTCCGACTGCGTCTTCGTTTTCTGGCAGGACCTGGACCGTCTGAGGCGGATGATGCTCCATTTGGGCCATCTTGGTTTCCTTCGGCTTTTATATCCTGTTCAGGACCATCATTTTCGGGTGAACGACTTCGTCGTCGACCACGTGCTGAAGGATCTGAAGTGTCGTGAGGCGAGATATTCTGGCCTCCCATTGCGCCTGAGCTAACCGGAGATATAGGGAGGGTCGGCTTCACCTGGTTTGTTATAACAGATGCCATGACCCGCTTTCAGAAGGGGAAGCTCTGGAATATGGTGCGCTGCGATATATATAAGTTATAGAATGTACTCGAAGAGGCCGAGCCGTGATATAAACCGGCAGTCAGTAGAAAGCCAGCAACCAGGCAGTTGTAGGCCAAGGCGCGTAGATGACGGTTGGCAATTACTGCACTGCGCTGTCGCAAAGCGTGCCGTTGCAGTTGGGTCTTGATAGTGGGGTTGGCTTGGTTGTGACTGGGGGCCGCGTGAGTAAGACTGGACTGGACGGAAATAAAATTGGTGTACGTTAATTGCTCCGTTCAAGAGAAGACCCCTACGAATCGGTATGTTGCTGCAGGTAACGCATGACAGAATGGGGAAATTCGTTATTGAAGGTCAAAAGAATCGAAAGGCAACAGAAGATCGACGCTCGCTCGGTTCAACCTGGATATCGGACTTTAAGCTGATGAAGATGGGCACTTATCGGCCAAACTAGTTCCTTTAATGTTAGCAACCAAGAACAACAAGTGTCGCGTGTTTCTGCGGCTAAAATGGAGACAGTATGAACGAGGTGGATCGAGAAACCACGGGCCAGTTTGGGGAGGAACGGGATGTGGGACCATGACATGACTGGAGAAACCGAAACCAAGGAAGTTGTGAGTTGTCGTATTGTTCGTCCGTTTATCTTGCAATGCACCATAGAATATGGAGTATTGAATATTTAGACGCGGCTGCAACCGAGCGAGAGCCAAAAGGTTATTATTCGGGCGCCGGGTGAGGCTTCGTGGGGGCGTATTAGTACAGTGCTAGGCGAATAGCCATGTTGTTTTGAAGATGTCGATTATCTACAACTCGCGTAACTTTCGCCTAAAATACGGGACGCTTTGATCAATATCGATGAAGGGATCACCCTTGAACGAAGAATTCCAGGAGGTATATTCATTGTCGGACGCAGACCGAGTCGAACGATACAGACAGCTGAAAGGATGTCCAAGGGGTTAGACCCAATGTTGGAGATGGGGTCTAACCAGTGACGAACGGTGACCGACAAGGAAAATACCATGCGTAATTGCTGACGTCTAATGATTTGCGATAATCTGACGATTTCCTGGTCCGGATTGAGGTGAAAAGATAACTCGAGGACGAGCTACAGGTCCAGGTATAGGTATAGGTATAGGTATAGGTGCCCGAATGTGGTCCCTGCAGTCAAAGTGGCGCCGGTGAAGGATGAGGTAGACGAGATGAGACGCGAGGAAGAGGAGGATCAGATTAAATAGAAAGTAAAGAAAGTATTATTACCTACCTTGAAAGTTGATTCATACGCAGATGTGTAACAGATGCAACACAAGTAAGTGTGACAGAAGGATGTTGGAAGCCGACAAAAGTGTAAAGTGTAGCGTGGGAAGAGAGAAAAGATGGAAGACCGGTTAATAAGATTATACTTGAGAAAAAAAGAAAGACATGGTCTGAGCGACTTATTTTCTGGGGATTGAGGGGGCTGAGACTGTAGAGAAGAGAACAGAACAGAGCCTATATGAAACAGGCTTGCACCTCGAGTAAAAGATGATAGTCTGTTACTACTAAAAGGAATCAATGAATATAGTATCCAATACTGTAACGTACAGATAATAATAGAGTAGTCAGTCGTTGCGTGGGATGAAGTGAGTTTTGGTTGATCTATGATCTGGGGAGAGTGGGGGGCTTGAATGGACTTTTAACAGCTTTAACAGCAGTAAAGGGTCCCTCTATTCAACGTCTAACCCCCAGTACCAGCCAATATCATCATGGATGCAATGCTAATGGTTGAAAAGGAGCCTGAACCCTTTTCGTACCATGCCTTTTTCCTTCTCGGTAAAGCGTCCGTCTCTGGTTCCTCCACTTTTGCTGCTTCTCCACGCACGCTACTGTGATTCATCCCTGCACAATCTATTTAGCGCAGCCTCATTTCGAATTGATTTTCTTTACACCAGAGATTCTAGATATTATCAAGAGATCGGCAATGATGATACTATCTGGATTACAGCTTCGTTCAGCTTCTATTTCTCTCGCAGCATGCATCCATACCCAGATTGACCTCAGAGATAACTATCCTCACTTACCTCACGTATCTCACGCCCAAAACACCCTGGCTCCGGGGAGAATGGCTGCACAGGGATGCTGTGCAATGGATGTGATAACGTCTGTTCTCACTTTCTGTCTGCTATCACGGACCGGGCATCCATGACTTCACCCTCCTAAAACCTGCATCTGATTGTTATTGAATTAAACATCTCAGCTAAACATCAGCCGTTCACCGAATAGTCATAGTCAGATCACTCGTCATGAAGCGTAAACCACTTGACAGTTATGACCTTATTGGTATGATCCATTGTCTGAGACAACACTACCTACAGTACTCCATATCGGGTCATACAGCCAGCCCAACCGTTGGTTCTCCAGAGACCAGCCATCCATGTCCTGCCTGCACTCTGTCTTCAGCCGATTCGATTCCTGCTGCTGTACAGTAAAAAAGCGCAGTCTGTGCTTTCTCTTTCTTGCATGCTGCACTCCATCCAATAGTCGCTTATAACTGTCACGATCAATCATCAATCTCGGACCACTCGCCCCGAGCCAAGAAAGGAACCGAAATCTCACGGACCATCCAATACATACAGAGATGGATGCTTACCAACTGACTACAGACAGCGGGCCGCCTTAGGCCTTGATCACGCTTGTCAGCTCGATTCCACCTACGCTTATCATCAAGGTCACAATACGTAATTGCTTGAGCTCGAGTCAACGACAATCGATACAATGCTTTGTTGGAACAAATACTCATCATCAAATATTTCTTGATCGCGTGCGCAGATCCACGGCCTGAAAATAGCGACCAACACCAACCGTTTCCTTCATATTCCTTTTTGTCTTCCGCAGTCTTACTTACACATGGTTGGCGATCACTGATCTACAGCACGATTGGGCTACTGGAAATAGCAGTGATTGACCGTCTCAGACTAGGTACTGTAAAGCACAGCTATTTTTGCTTTTGATTCTCCATCGAACATTTCCGAGAATAGCTTGGCCAGTTTGATATGATAAATATGAACATCTAATAACTACTTCGTGGCTACCGTACAAAATCATTCAGCCATACCACGATTGACTCCAACGATGTAGGCTATTGCTTGCCAGTGACCACGATTGTCAAGTTGGCGCAGTACAATGCTTGGCGTCCTGCTGGTTACAACTGAGCAAGGCTGTCGGTTCACTCCAACTTCTCAACGCTGTACTACCACACAGTTGAGTGGCTGATTCTGGGCATCCGGAACCTGCGGTTTTCGGAACATGTAACTGACCTTGGTATAATGTTGCGTAATAAGCAATGTATCTCATAAGAATAACGTGGCAAAGCCTATCCGTACTGTAGCTGCCCATATTGCCAGTCCTTTTTCTCAGACACAAGACAGAACATGACAGCTGTGAGACTCGCATCAACCGTCTGAGCGCTAACAGGTCGGCTGATCAGCACCCCGGGGTTTCTCTTCTCCACAGCGGCTGATACATCTGGCTGGGCATGGCATTGGCTCGCGTCTCCTCTGTCTGCAGCTATTTCCTTCAGGTATGCAGGTTCATCCAATTCGAGTGCCCCTGATTTGACCTCTCCTTGCACAAGTCTCCAGTGTAGTTGAACCCTTATCTAGGGTACTCTTCATTGGTTGCCTTCTATGCCGACGTCGAGTTCCGTTCACTCATGGAAATCCCAAGGCCAACGTAATGGATTGCGGAGTACATAGATAGGATAACACAACTTGCATGCAGTGATTTACATAGACCAGACTCCGGGGAACATCCCTACAGACGAGCGGATTCTTCTTGACAGCCTGGCTGTGAATGTGCACATGGTCGCTCCAAAGCTGCACTGATTGACGAGGTTCCAAGCAAAGGAACTGTGTCTGCTGTCCTACAATGCGATTGTGTCTTTTATGCATGATCTGGTAACACATATTATTCATCCGTCAAGCCCCATACGTTGAGGCCGTTGTGATATCGTGACACTCCGAATTGTTTTATGACCACGGTTTACAACTGTCGTACGCAGCTGAAAGAACTTGACCCATCCTCGCCGTTGACGCTGAATCGAGGGATTCTGTGTTGAGCTGCAGTAGGTCCTGGGCCTTGGACTACAGCTGTCATGCTAAGACTGCTCGGTGACCCATATGATAGTCGGTATGTATTGCAGTTTGTACTCTAGCATCAACCACAGCCCAGTAGATAGATGATGCCACATAGCAAATCGATCGGGCCCGGAAGCCCAACAAAATCTCCGAATTTTGGGAGCGTAAATCAATTCACTTGGCAGACGAAGGCATGTCGTGCGAATATCGAACCCACATGATGAGGAATGACTGCGCGTTTGACAAAAGAAACCGGTAGTACGTGTTTCGTCCCATGCTGGCGGATCGCAAGTGGAGATGGGGTCCTTTTTAGATCTCCGGTTCCAAGGCGATCGAACAGGCTAAAACCGATGCCGCGTTTTGCGATTGAGTGAGTGAGCGAGTGAGTCTTTGATTTGATCGACTCACACCAGCACGGCAGTTAAGCTTCATAAGTAACGTGGGGGTCTTTAGTTGGAAGAAGACAGGTCCCACAACATTAGAGTGATGGGCATGACACTCACCTGTGGAGATCTCGTGACAGCTTTTGTGGTCACTAACAAGTAACACCGCTTGACTGAGATTGTTAGAGACTGCCTACGCAATGATTGCGAATGCCGAATACCGGCCCATAAACAGTTGGCAGTTGTGAGTTAACGAGGGCACAGCCATGAATTCTACTAAGACGCAAGGCAGTTCGCATTTTCAAGCGACTTCGCTTGTCCCCTTAAAAGAGGTACAGAGTACCCATCCATATGATCGGAGCATTATGGCTGAGGGGCACCGTCGGTTATGGGGCACCAAACGTGGTGAAGCACGACATGCTTCTAGCGGGTAGAGGCACGTGGAGGCCGAAAGTAAAATAGAGTGATGAGCTCCATTGTTCCTTTGCCTCGCAGCTGAAAGTACTACCTTTTAGAAGCCCGTCTCGAGAGTACTTGATCTCGTTCCTGTCCCGGTCGAATTCAATTAAAATCGACGGTCCCCTTTCCAGCGACTCAACGAATAGAATATGTCTCCCTACGCCTTTGCGGCTCAGATCGACCGGAATGGGGAAGACCGACGTCAATAGGGCGCCAGGAGAGAACACTCTTAGACTCTGTAGTTAGTCTTCCTTAACTTGAAGAGTACGGACAGCCCGATATGGACGTTTGAGCCACCTACCGGGCCGGACCCTTTGGCTTTGTGTCCCGTCTGTCCCCTGCTTCTGCAAAGTAAATTAAGTAACTGCCTTGACTCGACGGAAACCTTCTGGAAGAAATGATTCTTCCTTTCTGACAGGTAATTAATTGACAACAACTATTCTCGATGGAAGCCATCAACAAAGAAAGTCGGTGAAAAAATGGGCATTGTTGGATAGGTAAATTGGTCTCACTAAAAGTTGTGATGGTTGGGTGAGTGGGTGAGCTCTTTCTTTTTTCAGGGTCTCCCATCCTGGTCAATTCTTCCATTTTTGTGTTCGGTTGGATTGGAGCTGGGTCTGTGACGTCGGAGGTGCGGTAGGCGCAACCGCGCAGACTCTTAGGCTTTCCCTCCTGTGCCGTTTGGCAGGAGCAGCGGGTGTTGGTGCGTGACCCATTCCATTATTTTTCTGGACCGACAGCGGCCTACCTTGCTTGTCCTGGTCCAGCTCCCCTTCCCTCATTTCTTCTCCCACAAATTCCTCACTCGAATCCAGCATTGTTCGTTCTACTATGTGACAGACTGTCCTACTTGATTTACCTCGTTCTTATTTTCCGCGACGATTCAAACCGCCACTATCGCCATCGACGCACTTTTCAACAGCCCACCATGCCACCCGCAAAATCCTCCCGCAACCACGACGACTCCAAGTTGGACGCTCCCAATTCCAAAGAAAAAGGCGGAAACGGTCATACTGCGACAAAGATGCGTCGTAACGCCAGCCAACAAAATCAATCTCACCTTCGAGAAGTTCAGAATGCTGCCGCTGTTGCTCCTCTACCGCCTGCTGAGGCTGTTCCCCCTAGTGTTGGTCAACCCCCTCCTCCCTACCATGATCTTCAGGCGCTCTTCCGGTCTCCCGTCCTCTTGCTTGCAGGAGACTTCACAGAAGTCGAGACAATATGAATAAAAACTATGGCATGGAAATCATCCGACATCTTTTACCGAGGATCGTCCTGCCTTACTTTGTTCTCTTGTGCCTCAGAGTGTTTCGCCTATCTGTTGAACCATTTGCCCTGGTGCTGCGAAGAGCTCGCCTACTCGGCCTGATTTCCAATATCATAGCACGATCATGCTAACTCGCCCTTCTTTACAGCTTCACTGGGCCTCCTTCGACCGAGACGTTCTCCATGCCTACCGTCACGAGCACCGCTTGAACACCCCGAGTTCTTTCTCCAGCCCATACTGCCAATGGATCTTGTCACAGCCGAACAGTATCGGTCTACACTCCCCGACCATGGTCCGACGTCGGCAAGCCCGACGACAAAGTAAGGATCAGCTTGCGCTTGCTGTGCGCAAGCACTTCAATGGCATGGGTGTGCAAGAGAACGACGTGATCGTCGACTTTATTTACAAGATTCGTCACGATCCTAATCGTATCTCCAAACCTTATGCGGGCGGCAAGACTAAGGCTTTCATGAAATAAAGGCGGGCGCTCTTAAGCAAGCAATGGATTTTCACGCAAGGGGTGGGCATATTAGTATGGAGTTTTGGGCGTTGATACGAAAGCGTTGCATCATCAGTCGCTTCGAACATCTTGCGATTTTTCTTCTTCTATACTATACGAGAGCTGCATGGGCAGACAGGCTTGTTTGCATTGGTCGCATATGGATACCTATTCTTGGGATTGACTTGGAAGTCTTGCACGGTTTCACATTACATCATAGGGATACCACGTCTAGCATGGCAGGAAATGTGTTTCTCCAACTCCAGTCGCGGGGTACTTTTATACCTAGAAAGCGCATGGGGTATATATATAGCGCTTAAATAGCATCTCAGCGAGAGAATGCGAACATCATGTTTATGCTTCCGTACCTATCTTTATGCAGTATTAAGTTTGAATTTCTGTAATATTTTGTTGTTTGTGTTTCCACAGTAATCAAATACGCATGGACCACAAGCTCGCGCATGAACCCGAACAAATATATCTTGAGCTGGGCTCATGTTATTATTCGGTGCTTAAAAACCTTGAGCCATAAGTTTTGTCCTTTTGGGAGACATTCTACATCTTCTGAAGCACCATCATGACAAGCCATAGCACGGTTGCAGTAGCGACACCATGAGACAAGCCGAGCACACCACACCAAATGACACTAATGCGGGAGCTTTGTCTTACTCATCGACCACGGTTAACAAAACATGTTTCTCCGTGAATTGTTCTCGGCGTCTCGTGGATCTCAAAGATGTTTAAGAGTCCTCGGTTAGTCGGGGTACTTTCGGCATAAGTTCTTACAACGCAACTTTGGTGATAACTTACAACCGGGATTGAATGCCGTGTAAGTTATAAAACGAGATACAGAGACAACTTGAGATTTGAGCATTACTCATTGTATTTCCAACATCTCAATTTCATATGCATACTTAAGAAGCTGTTTGACGAACCTCGAACGGCTTTGCATCGGGTTTCCAAGTTATCGATATCATAACTGCTGACCAATAAGCTTTCGTCTAAAAACCACAGCCGAAGCCGGCCGTTATGACGAAGCTGGATGCCTGAGGCTTGTCCGTCCATGGAAAAGTTCGAGATAGGTCTCGAAAAAAAGAGAATCACGAGCTATTCCGCTATTGCTATTCGCTTGTGACGGTTCCCTCTCCTCTCCGTTACCCTCTTTTTTCCCCTTCACTTTAACTTTTGCATTTCTTTGTATGATTTCTTAGAGTCAGATGAATTGCTGCAGTTCAAGATGAACCCTAGCTTGATATCAAAGGCCGCCGGTCCCGCGCGAGTCCTGGCGCAAAATGCTCCCAAGATTCAATGTTTAAGCAAAGGTGCCCAGCTTCATACTGCGGCGTGGCATGTCGGTTCTCGAGATCGACCGTCTCTTAGGAAGGGTACTCAATCTCCCTCTGCGAAGCGGGTGAGTAATTAGCCTCAAGTACCAATTGATAAAAAATCGACTTGTTCTGATGCCGTATAGTCGTTCCATGCTACAAATGCCGTTCAGTCAAAGGACCCTTACGGAGCTCTTGGTGTTAGCAAGACCGCAAGCGCTGGCGAGATTAAGAAGGCATACTACGGCCTAGCGAAAAAGTACCATCCCGATACGAATAAGGATCCTCAAGCCAAGGACAAGTTCGCCGATATCCAGTCCGCCTACGAGATTCTTTCCGACCCCAAGAAGCGCGAGCAGTTTGACCAATTCGGCGCCGCTGGCTTCGACCCCAGCGGAGGAGGTGCCCCCGGAGGTGGTGGTGGTTTCGGCGGAGGACATCCATTCTCTGGCTTCGGTGGATTTGGTGGACAAGGAGGCTTCGGAGGCTTCGGTGGTCAGGGTGGATTCGGAGCCGGAGTCAACTTCGAGGATATCTTTTCAGCATTCACCGGACAGCAAGGTTTCGGCCGCCGAGGACGACAGCAGGCTTATCAGCAGGAGATCCTGGTCGGCGACAACATTGAAGTCCAAGCTACGATCAGCTTTATGGAAGCGGCTAAGGGAACGAGCAAGACGATTTCAATCACACCCCTCAGCACTTGCGGCACATGCAAGGGTAACGGCTTGAAGACTGGCACATCGAGGAGTGCATGTAGCGCTTGTGATGGATCTGGTACCCGGGTACACTTTATGCAGGGAGGTTTTCAAATGGCGTCGACCTGCGGAACTTGCGACGGTACTGGTACGGTTATCCCCAAGGGCTCCGAGTGTAAGCCTTGTTCAGGAAACGGTGTTGTGAGGGAGAGGAAGACGATCACAGTGGATATCCCTGCTGGTATCGAGGACGGCATGCGACTCCGAGTTGACGGCGCTGGTGACGCAGCTGCCACTGGTCGGGCCGCTGAGCCCAACGCTCGTAGCCAGAACGGAGACCTATACGTCTTTGTGCGTGTCGCCAAGGACCCCAAGTTCCGACGAGACGGTTCCAACATCCTATACACAGCCAATATTCCTCTCACAACCGCTTTGTTGGGTGGTCATGCAGAGATTCCAACTCTGGATGGAACAGTTAACGTTAAGGTTGCTACTGGCACCAACACTGGTGATAAGATCACCCTACCTGGTATGGGTATGAAGCGCCTCGGTTCCCGACGTGGCGGCAATGGCGACCTCAGGGTCGAGTACCGGGTTTCAATGCCCAAATACTTGAGTGCCAACCAGCGAACTATTGTCGAGGTGCTTGCCGACGAGATGGGCGATAAGACAGCTAAGCGAGTGATGGGCGTTGGTTCTTCAAGGTAAGAAGTTATATCATACAAGATCATAGTGATCGATGTACTAACCGCCTTCAAGGGACCCAAACGACCCTGAATCGCATAAAGATGAGGGCTTCCTCAAGTCACTCTGGCATACCCTGACCAACAACCCCGCTCACCAAAAGATGAACGAGGATGGAAGCCAGAACGACGGCTCAAAGAAGCCTGACGACAACGATAAGAGATAAGAGATATTTCGCTCATGAATTGTATCATATACTTGGGAGAATTATCAACATTAGAGGAACGGAAGAAGCGCATTTGTTGGTGTTCAAAAGGTTATTATTATTTGTTGTATGGCGTCGGTGGAGGGTTATGACAGCCCAACTACTACTCATGTTGATCTGCCACAGCATCAGATCTGTTGTATACTAATCCTGTAGTATAGAAAGAGGGGGCTGGGAAGCTCCAACGAGGCCACTCTCCTCATCATTTTTGTAGTCAAATCACTGTATGGTACATATGCGCTCTATATGAACGATGCTACGAATATAGATAGAATGCAATCTTACGATGGCGATGGAACGTCACGCTCATAGCACCTACCTTTGGTCGGCAATGACCGCTTCGGCGTGGTTGAGGTGCAAACCTCGGTGGAAACTTGTCTGACTTGATTAGAGTCTAAACCGCTCATCGTTATTAATTAACTCACATACCAGCACAACATTGTGTAGTGTATCCGTGTCCCTTTCATGCTGTCATCAAAGTAAACTCCGTCGTGCATCTCACCATGCTCTTAACCGATAGGCTTGAGCTTCTTCTTCTTTTTCTTGTCGCCGCCCTGCCCTTTCTGGAACGATCGCCAACTGCTAATCCGCTCATCCCGAGTGGACTCCCAATCCTGTTCATGTTGTCGCTTGCGCTTGCGCTCCTCCAATTCGGCATCAGTACGTCGCTGCTCACGACCTTCCTCTTGAAGTTGGGCCTTCATCTGTCGACGTCTCCGATGTTCGGCATCAATCAGCACGTCTCTGGCCTTGACGCGCCACATCTTTCGGAAGTCTTCTGTCTTGAGCTCTTCGCTATCCGGCGTCCATTTGTTCTCACGCATAAGCAACATACGCGCATCTGCGATGGCCTCATCTAGTCGTTCGCGGTGCTTCTCGTCCATGAGCTCGGTCTGAGCTTTCTTTAGTCGATCAAAAGCATCGGGGGCTAAGGGGTTCTTTGTCTTATCGGGATGGATGAGTAGTGACTTTTTGCGGTATGTGATCTTGATGTCAGAATCGGGAACACCGGGCTGCAAATCGAGAACAGCGTATCTATAAAAGTGTCAGAGCAGAGTCTCGAGATGGGCTTATAATGTCGACGTACGCATCAAGTCGAAAAGCTTTCAAAATGCGGTCGATCTCAGCATCCTGTAGATCATTAGTAGGAGTCATGATGGAACATGATTATCGCAAACCGACCTTATCAAATTCCTTGGCTTCGAGCTCAAGGGCGTCTAGCGCATCCTTATCTTCCTTTGAGTCTTTGCTGGCCATTTTTGGATCGTTGGGGGTGTTTGAGAACCTTGCGAAGTCGGAATGATGAAAGAACAAGGTTGAAGCTGAAGGCAAGTATCCAATACGGTAGGTTTAGGAAGGACGACGCTAAAGTGGTTGGACCCACTTACCTGCCCCGCGAGATAAGATAACAGAAAAAAATATTGGACAGAGCTACTGTCAGTTATACAATCCCGACTCTACATACCTACATAATTCTTCATACAAATATCGCGTTACGATGCCTAAACGCGGCGCATCACCAACCCCTTCGGAGGGTGAGATTGATATCTTTGGATCTCTTTACCCCGGAGAGGGCGACAACGAGAATGGCGACAACGGCGGCGATGCGGACTTCGACTTCGATGGCTTTCTGAATGGCCCAGAACCGGGCAATGATGACACCGATGAGGCCTTTATTGCCTTGCAGCAGGCTGCTTCTTTCCGAAAAGCTTCCAACTTGAAGGGTAGAACGGTCAAGAAGGGTGGTGGTTTCCAAGCAATGGGTAAGGAAGCCAATGGTGTGAAGCAAGAGTCTTTACTAACTACTCCCAGGTCTGAACAGCAATCTCCTGAAAGCCATCACACGAAAGGGTTTCTCCGTTCCTACGCCGATTCAGCGAAAGGCTATCCCCTTGATTCTCGACAGAAAGGATTTGGTGGGTATGGCCAGAACAGGTTCAGGAAAAACTGCCGCCTTCGTTATTCCTATGATCGAGAAGTTGCGCGCCCACAGCGCTAGGTTCGGAACACGAGCGCTTATCCTCTCACCATCTCGAGAACTTGCGATTCAGACTTTGAAGGTTGTTAAGGAGTTTAGCCGTGGAACCGACCTGAAGTGTGTTCTGTTGGTTGGTGGTGACAGTCTGGAAGAGCAGTTCGGATTCATGGCCGCCAATCCCGATATTGTGATCGCAACACCCGGTCGATTCCTCCACTTGAAGGTCGAGATGGCCCTAGACTTGTCATCTATCAAATATGTGGTTTTTGATGAGGCCGATCGCCTTTTCGAGATGGGTTTCGCAGCGCAATTGACTGAGATTCTACATGCGCTACCGCCTTCGAGACAAAGTTTGCTCTTCTCTGCTACACTACCTGCCTCTTTGGTCGAATTCGCTCGCGCTGGTCTGCAAGACCCCAGTCTTGTGCGTCTTGATGCCGAGCAGAAGGTTTCCCCCGACCTCGAGAGCGCTTTCTTCTCTGTCAAGGGTGGTGAAAAGGAGGGCTCGTTGCTGCACATCCTCCACGACGTGATTCAGATGCCGGTCGGTCCTCCAGAGGGTGCAAAGGAGGATTCTGAGAAGGGATCGAAGAAGAGAAAGCGTGGTGCCGATGGTCCTGGCGGCAAGCCAACAAAGCATTCTACCATTATTTTCACAGCTACCAAGCATCACGTTGAGTACCTCGCAAACCTGCTCCTATACGCTGGTTTTGCGGTCTCTTATGTCTACGGATCGCTCGATCAGACTGCCAGACGAGCTCAAGTCGAGGATTTCCGGAGGGGCAAGACAAATATTCTTGTTGTCACTGATGTTGCTGCACGTGGTATTGATATTCCAGTTCTTGCCAATGTCATCAACTTTGACTTTCCTCCCCAGCCAAAGGTCTTTGTGCACAGAGTTGGTCGTACCGCTCGTGCTGGTCAACGGGGTTGGAGTTACAGTCTAGTGAGAGATACAGATGCGCCTTATCTAATCGATCTTCAGCTCTTCTTGGGTAAGAAGCTTGTTGTGGGTCAAGAGACGAAGAACCCATCTTTCTCCGAAGATGTAGTAGTTGGCGCCCTTAAACGAGATCCTGTTGAAGGTCAAGTGGAGTGGTTCAACAAGGCCTTGTACGAGAATGAGGATGTTTCTGCACTACGCGGAGTCGCCATCAAGGCTGAGAAGCTCTATTTGAGGACAAGAAATTCGGCCGCCAGCCAAAGTGCAAAGCGCTCAAAAGAATTGGTCGGATCTCAAGGATGGTCGCAGCTTCATCCGCTATTTGGAGAAGACGTCGATGGAGCCGAGCAAGCGAGAGTTGATATGTTGGCTAGAATCAGCGGTTTCAGACCCCAAGAAACCATCTTCGAAATCGGCGGACGCCGTGATAAGGGCACCACCGAAGCTGCTGAGGTGATGAAGCAATTAAGAAAGAGAATTACACCACGACGACAGGTTCAATCAAAGGAAGAGGACGACTCTGACGGAATTGATAATGATATAGCAGAAGGTGCCAAAGCAGTCGCCGGTTCTGACGAGGATGAGGAGGAAGAAGAGGAAGTGGAAGAAATGGATGTCGACGAGGATTCAGACGATGGCTTGGAGGTCACTGTTTCCAACGCGAACTCCAAGAAGGGGAAAACAGACTGGCGAGACCCAGAACTTTTCATGTCTTATACACCTCGAACATTCAATGCTGCCGAGGAGCGTGGCTATGGTGTTTCTACAGGTGGCAATGATTCTTCCAACTTCGTTGAGGCTGCTCGTGGCGTGACCATGGACCTCACCAACGACGAGAACGCCAAGAGCTTCGGCGAGCCCACACGTTCCAAGATGCGCTGGGACAAGAAGGGTAAGAAGTACGTTTCTCGAGAGAACGACGACGATGGCTCCAAGGGCGCAAAGATGATTCGTGGCGAGAGTGGTGTCAAGATCGCAGCCAGTTTCCAAAGTGGTCGTTTCGACAAGTGGAAGCGCGCCAACCGTCTCGGCAAGCTTCCTCACGTCGGCGAGCAAGTGCGTCCTGGTGCTACCAGCCATGTCGCCAACCTTCCCTCAGGAGTGCGTTACAAGCACAAGCAAGAGAGGGCACCCAAGGAGGCGGACAAGTACCGCGACGACTTCGAGGTCCGCAAGAAGCGTGTCAACGAGGCGAGAGAGAAGCGTGTGGGACGATTCAGAGATGGTATGGGCAGCAACAAGGAACTCAAGGGCAGAGACGATATCCGCAAGGGAAGAATCGAGAAGGAGAAGAAGAGGCTCAAGAACGCTCGACCAGCCAAGAAGAAGTAATTTCAGAGATGAAGTGGCATTTGTGCATGGCGTTGGGTCAATATATAGAGAAAAGAATTCAATTTGTTCTAGCAAGCCTCCTGTCGTCATTCAAATTAGTCCTGGGATGTGCTTCTCGTTTCTCCCAAGCATAGAATCAGCAGAACTTAATGGTTGTTTCATTCATTGTCAATACTAGATCAGTGGCCCAGCAGTAGGGTGTCCAGTTCAGGGGGCAAGACTAGTCACTTTTCATATCATCACAGGGAAGCATCGTATCAAACATTTAGCAAGGTCAAAATGATTACTACGTGTAGTAATATAGCACATAATTGTTCTCCAAACTCCAATGCTATCGCCAATCCCCTTCCAATCCACGAAACGCCAACCTCTAAAATGGTTAACTTCGCCAGGAAGCATATCTCAAAAACAAGTTCCTCGCTAACAGACAGACCAGCCAATACATGCCAAAATGCACAATGTCTAGTTCAGAGACAAGACAATTAAAAGCAAAGAGAAATTAGAGCGGTTCCTTAACGCTTCTCTCAAGGTAGAGTAGTTTCCAAGGGTTCATGTGCGTAACAAGTACGAAGCATGGGGTATCATTTGGAGTTCTTGGTAGGAAAGGTCCGATGACGATCATAGATCCGCCGGATAAAGGTTGTATGCGGATGATAAAACGATGAAAAAAGCAGAGTCATAAAGTCGTAAATTCGGGATAGCTTCAGTCAGCTTATCCGTCGGTAATATCGAGATTATCAAGCCACATGCCGATGGCATCATGAAGCGGGTTTCGTGATCCACCATTTCTGGCATGGTTTGTCTCCAAGTGTCGCTTCTCACGAATGTCGATGACTTCGCGGATACTGTCTTCAAGTGCTGAAAGAACGACTGTCTTGCACTGGACACGAGGTATCTCGAGGGGTGCTGGGGCCAAAGCTGGAGTAGCGGGAGCTGTGATAGATAGCGGCTCCTCAGCCTCAGTGCTCATGTGAGCATCACTGTGTGTTTGAGAGGATGCCAGAGAATGATCCTTGCTGGTATCTTGGCTCAAGCTGATGACTCTTTCAACGGCATCAGTCAAGGTCTCGTCAGGGCGCAAGACAGGCTCTTCGATCCATTCCTCCTCCAGCTGGGTTTCGTAAGGAAGAATCGAAGGAGTAAGGAGTCCTCCATAAGAGGTTGAAAGACCAGGTGGGCCAGTAAGAGGTCGGTGATCAGCAGGCGCCCGTGGTTTAACCAATCGACGATATCGAAGTCGAGTGATTGAGTTGGTAGTTGTATCGGCAATCATAACACTGCTGATATCCACCCATCGCTCATTAAGGTCACCCAGAATGGGGTAGGCAGGAGGGGGGGTGGGTTCAGCTTGAAGAGATGCTTTGATCTGATCAATAAGGTCGTCCTGGGGAGGAATAGCCTGGAGGGCAAAATCTGGGTGGTAACGATTAAGCCAGCCAGCAGCGTTCAGGGGAAGATCGCCATCAATGCATAAGCGTGACGCTTGTTCAAATGACTCGAGTCCGTTTGGAATTCCAGGAGTAGACAAGTACCCACTGCTTGAAGGCGAGCTGATAGCAGACTCAAAGGACGTCATATAATCGGGGAAAGAGATGTCGACGTCAATGATACCATCGTCGGCATTGATAGAAGTCTTGACAGGCGATTCGAAAGCACCAGTAGGATCCGGTGTTCTGTCAGGACGGATCGAAGGTTCCCGGCTATGGCCTTTGCATTCTCTTGGTGTGCCGCTTCCTCGAAGGGCATCAGTAGAAAGGCGTGCCGATGATGTTGGTGCGTTTGTGTCTTCCCCCAGTGTTGCCTCTTCCACCATCTGAGACAGCTTATCCGTTCTGTGGAACGAAGCCTTTGCTGGTGACTTGGGATCATATCCACTGTATGTACTATAAGAGGTCGAATCACGGCGTCGAGTGCTCCAAAGGCCACTAATGACGCTCCCCCAGCGCGAACTTTGGCTTCTAGAGTCGTTGCTGGTGTTGCTCATCGCGCCTGTGCTTTCACCTCGCTTCAAAGAGCGCTTCAGATCGTCAGTAGCGACACTTCCGCTGCTGCTAGGGCGAGGTCTTCTTTGCGACTCCACTCTTTGAGCTGTTGAGAAATGCGGGATGGTTGTCTCAGGCATGATAGTTGTGGTTGTCGCTGCACTGCTCTTTCTGCTCACCATATCGTTGCCAAACATAGCAAAGTTTGAGGGTCGGATAGAGGCTGCATCTGAAACACGCCTTTCATGATTTCTATCCATGGTCAGGTGAGCTAGCTGTGCAGGAACAGCCGAGGCTCTAGCGCTTTGGCTTGTCGTTCTTGAGTGGGAAGCTCGACGGAGCCCTGTGCGACGATTGATCTTGCGACGAAGGGACTCCTCCCGTAGAACAGGAATGACGAAGGTCGGGGGCGAGTTGGAATAAGTCCCCACCGATGTCGAAGTGCTAGGTCGGTGAGCGCGAGGCATAGGAAACTGTGAATTGGCAGGCAGGAAAGCAGACAAAAGAAAAACGAGGCGGCGAGCTACCATCTTGTCGTCGGAAACGACAATTGTTCGCGCCGGTAGTGACAAGTCTTCCTCGTTACGGTTCTTCTGCTGAAGATAGAGCCTTCTACGATACGAAGGGGGGCATAGAGCCTGCAGCCAATCTGTGTGGGTGGAGAGGAACCCGGTAAGTAGGTTGTAAAAGAACTGATTCTGCTGATCTGTTCCGGAAACCCATTTGGACGTCCAGCGTGCCTCATCACGCCAAATTCCCCAACGTCCTTGGCCAGTTACAACTCTTGCTGCACTCAGTCCCATAACAATTCTGTGTCTGGCGGCGTCAACTTCTCCAGCAATGTTTGTGTCATCTGCAAGACAGTTAGGCCAAAGGTGAACAAGCTTAGTAGTGCTCTTCGGAGGCTTAATCCGAGGCATTTCATGTCGTCTTTGCTCGGAGAATGAGGGAGCTCGGCCGGTCTGTGAAGATGTTGGAACCGGTCCAACAGTAGGTCCTGGAACGGGTCCAGGTGAAGCGAGATCGACCTGTCTGAGCATTGTTGCGAGTATTGTGGCAACCACAGACTGAAGATGGGTTAGCGTCCTCATGATGATATCCCAGTGCCGAGTAAGTGAATCGATTCTATCTTCCATATCGGCTGTGTAGGTTGGTTCTGCTGCTTCTCCAGATCCGACCATAGTCCATCCTGAAGGTCGAGCTGAGCTAAAGGACGATGGGAAGAAGTTCTCCTGATCGTTATAGGAGCTTGATTCTCGTTGACCGGATTTGGATTGGGCCGTGGACATGCGATTTGAGGTGGTGTTTGCAGCAGGCAGTTGAACTACCAAGACCACAGCATACATGGGAGTTCGCCGTTGCTTGACCTGGGGTTTCTTCTTCTTGGGTACAGATTCGTCGCTTGTCGTAGGAAATGGAAAGCCAGTGTTGTCATCTGCCCAGTTATTCGAAGGCGAGACATTGGTTTCTAGGTCGTCTAAGGGGAGGTTGACGGGAAACAGGCGTGTTATCAGAACTTTCTTCTTTTCTACTGAGCGAGAAGTAGGGGCCTGCATAGGAGCTGTGCCATTTGTGGGAGAAAAGGCTTGTGAGGAGAAGGACTGAGACAGTCGGCTGGACCGAGCACTGGAGCGTCCAATGGAGCTTCTGCCATCGCCAATAATGCTGCTGGTGGGATCAGCAGGGCGTGACTCACTTGGTACAACGTGAACTTTGGTGGATGTTCCCTTGTAAGACGACAGCTCGGAGTTCCCAAAGATGCAGCTGGAGAAGGTCGCAAGTTCCTCACGATACTCGCGAGCTGCTTTCTGTCCGTCTGACTCGACTTGGCTATCTCTGCGTCCCTGCAGTGAAGCTCGGCGATCAAAAGCGCCTTGTCGAGGTGAAGGTTGTGGTCCTTCGGGTTGAATTACTAGAGGGCGTGATATACCGCCAAGACTGCTTTTGCGCTGCGAGATTGATGATCGACGAAGCTCTGGCGAAGGAGGCCCACGCTCCGTAGGTGATAGTGGAGGAGCGGGGTGGCTATCAAAGAGAAGGGAGGCATTAGAAGGGCCCAGGGCATCCTGCATTATGATAACGCGAACATCGCGAACATCCAAGTCGACATCACCGCTGTAGTCGAAGGCATTTGCCGTGGAGGTGGCAGGGGTTGTGGGAGTGGTTGATAAAGGAAACACTTGGTCATTGCGATGTTGATACAAAGCATGAGCGTCTGGAAAAAGCAAATTTCGAGTAAAGATGTCCTCCTGGACAGATTCAAGCGAGGATACGGGCCTCGAGGTCTTTGCGGTGGCCTGGGTAGGCGTGGCTGAAGGGCCGCCAGAGCCCAAGTGCAAGAGCCGGCCGAGCATGTCGGGGGGCGCACTCAGGGATTTGGGCAGCAGGTTGAACTAACAAAGGAGGCGGCCGTCGAATATTAATTACGACGGCGAGCCATAATCAAGGTGGGAAACGAAGTATGTCGAGCTGGGCGTAATCGCATAGTCACCACTGCTCGTGGCATGTGAAAGTGCAACCTCGTAAAGCAAAGTTTTGAGTTTATGCTTGAGCTCAAGCTTTACATTCGAAGCAGAGCAGAGTAGAGCAGTAAATCAGAATAGTCGAGGGGTGGAACAAAAGAGGACTAGGGAGACACTCGTCAAGCTCAAAGGAACAAAAACAAAAATCCAAGTTGGAAGCTTTGTTTGTTTGTCGTCGCAAATCCAGTCAAAGGTGGCGGCCGTCAGCGCGTACGAGAGGGTGGTGGTAAGGTGACAGTGAATAGAGAATGATGAGAAGCTGATGCCGATAGTTTCCTTTTGATTACTGAGAAAGAATTCGATACGATGCTTTGATATTCAGCACGAAATGCGGAGAGCCAAAGCCAAAGGGTTGGTTGTTTTGTTTGGTCTTTCTTTGTGAGGGGTTGATAGTTCGTGGGTGGAGGCAAACGATATGCGGTCTTTGCGTGTGATCAACAGGAGAGAGATGGGGTTCGATAGCTGCAGGAAGGACGATCGATCAAGAGGCAGTTGATGTGACGACGAAGAGACTGTGGCTGGAAATGGCTGTCGGGGTTTCTGTGTTAATGAATGTGTATAAAGACCGATCACGAGTAGGTAATAGGGAATCAATGTAAGTGGTATGTAGTAGTGTTAAGTTGAGTTGGGTTGAGTTGAGTTTGATGTTGTTGATCCAGATGCTCGGGTCAAGGCAAGGTAGTAAGTGCAAGGCAAGGAAGGTAAAAAGGCGCCAACTCGGAGCCGGGTGGCAGGCAGCCCAGTTTTGGGTGTGTGTGGCCTGTGTGTGTGTGTGCTGAGGTTTACTGGGATTAAAGGTTCCGCGGGGCCATCTAGTGGAGGTCTGTACCGCTGGCCCAGGTAGCTGTTAGTGGCGGTTGAGGGCTAGCGCTGGTGGCGGCAGGACCACGAGGTACAAGATGCCAGGTACCTCTTAGTTCGGAGCCAGGATGGAGAATGGAGATGAGATGGGGAATAGTTGAGTGGAGATTGCATGTGTATGGGTGGGTAATTTGTGTCTTTTTCTGTTTGAATTGAATTGATTTGAAGGGGATTCAGATTCAGAAAGAAATGTGGACTGAATACTTACCGAGAGAGGCAACTCAACTCATGAGCAAAGACTCAGAGAGGAATGAACTGCATCATTGGATGTTCTATGTTCTTCCCCAGAGTCTTAGATTAAGAGGGCGCTGTAAAGAATGGATGATAAGCGAAATGCCAGACATAAAACGTCTTGCAGAGCTAGAGCTATACCAAAGAGGTGTGGCTTGGAACCGAACCGAAGTCGGGGGACAGACTGACTTGGACTTGACTTTTCTCTAACACTGCAAGATAAGTGATCAACAAGATCAATCTTGGATTAGTGAGTAGATCTGGTCTGCTTTTCTTTCGGCAAACGTTGGGCAAGGTTGGCCGTTCAGAATTTAATTAAAAAAGCTATGTCCGTATATCCTGTTGCTGTAGAATCGAGTGCTTCGATGCCGATGAGCCGCAACTAGAGTCACGTAATGGAGACTTGTTCAACGGCGACAATACTCCAAGCGGCGATGTTAGGTAATTCTCGTTAATATCGACGGCGGCACTGCGGGTGGCTAAACAGCTAAATGGAGATGGGATGGAGATGGACTCTCGGCGTGTGCGATTCCATTCCACAGGAGGCACTTTTGGTCCAAGTTGATAGGCTCAGGTTGAGGCTGAGGGGCGGGCCTTTACCTGAGGTAGCTAAAACGTTTATCCTCTTTTTTCTTGTCTGCCGGCGGCTCTGCTCTCTGTTTCTGGATTGTGTCTGCCTCTTCTGTTCAAAGGGCGCGTAGAGGCACGTCTAATCAAGACAAGAGAGGGTAAAAAAAAAAAAAGAGGGTCGAGG